GTGCGTGCTGCACGAGTTGGTAGGCGATTTGTGATTGAAGACGAGGAAGCGAGTGAAGATGAGTTTGATGATGAGGTTGAGATTAGTTCTAGTGAGGACGAAGGTGGAGGAGGAAGAGGGAGAGGAGAAGATGAGGATGTGGTTGGGAAGGCACTGCAGAAGTGTGCCAAAATCTCAGCGGATCTTCGCAAGGAGCTCTATGGTAGCTCCTCTGTGGCTACTACTTGCGATAGATACTCTGAAGTGGAAACTTCTACTGTGAGGATTGTCACACAGGTACTGCTCTTCTTACTTTTTGCTCAAATTTGGTGAATCAGAACTTTCTGTTTATTGGGTTTTTGAATGTGTTTCTTAGCCAAATCGGAACTGGGTTTTGATTAGATGATTATAATATATATTTGAGGCTATCTTTGATCTCGTTGCTGTAGTTTTTCACTGTCTTGTTAACAAAACTCAATTTGGTTTTGGGCTCTGTGATGATCGCAGACTGATATTGATGAAGCATGTAAAGCAGAGGATTCTGATTTTCAGCCTATACTCAAGCCGTACCAGTTAGTTGGTGTGAACTTTCTTCTTCTCTTGTATAAGAAGGGAATCGAAGGAGGTAAAAGTTTACATTTTTACTACTTTGGATCTGTAAGAACTTTCTATAACGTTTTTTGTTAACTGACAGTTTTCAACTTCTTGTAGCCATTCTAGCCGATGAGATGGGTCTCGGAAAGACCATTCAGGTGCATTGTGCCTCTGTTTTTACATATCACAAGTGTGTCTTATGTTTCTTTATCTAAATCAGAGACTAATGTTGCTCTCGTTAACAGGCAATCACATATTTAACTCTCCTGAATCACTTAAACAACGACCCTGGTCCTCACATGGTTGTATGCCCTGCCTCTGTCCTGGAAAACTGGGAGAGAGAACTCAGAAAATGGTGTCCGTCGTTTACTGTACTTCAGTATCACGGTGCTGCGAGAGCAGCCTACTCGAGAGAATTGAATTCTCTGTCAAAAGCTGGGAAGCCGCCGCCATTCAATGTGCTTCTCGTGTGTTATTCTCTGTTTGAACGGCATAGGTACATTACAACTTTGAACTACTCTTGTTGGCTTTGTTTTGATTACTGGCTTTTCCTATTTCACTCACAGATGTTGGAATTTTGCAGTGAGCAACAGAAAGATGACCGGAAAGTACTGAAACGGTGGCGCTGGAGCTGTGTTTTGATGGATGAAGCACATGCTTTGAAGGATAAGAACAGCTACAGGTGGAAAAACTTGATGTCTGTGGCCAGAAACGCAAACCAGCGTCTCATGCTTACAGGAACGCCTCTACAGAATGATTTGCATGTACGGTTGGTTCTGTTCATATGTAACATCTAATTTACCTAATAATGAGAACATATCGGTATGTGGCGATACAAAGCTTATTCCTTGGATATGCTAATCTATGCAGGAACTATGGTCACTCCTGGAGTTCATGTTGCCTGATATATTTACTACAGAGAATGTTGACTTAAAGAAGTTGTTGAACGCAGAAGACACCGAGTTGATTACACGAATGAAATCAATTCTTGGTCCTTTCATCTTGAGGCGTTTAAAGTCTGATGTCATGCAGCAACTTGTTCCAAAGATACAGCGGGTATGTGTACATATATCCGCATGTTCGGTTAGAGGATATTATTAGACTTTGCAATCTCTCATCGATTTCTCATCAATCCAAACGCAGGTTGAGTATGTTATTATGGAGAAAAAGCAGGAAGATACATATAAAGAAGCCATAGAGGAATATCGTGCAGCTTCTCAAGCTCGGGTTTTGAAGCTTTCATCAAAATCAGTGAATTCCTTAGCCAAGGCACTTCCCAAGCGTCAGATATCAAACTATTTCACTCAATTCCGGAAGGTAATAGTTCTCATCTGCAATTGCAAATCCCAACAATGTTCTCATCTGCAATTGCAAATCCTAACAATGTTCTTGGTTTTTCTTTCTTCATGGTGCATATCAATTTTGGGTTGTGCAGATAGCAAATCATCCATTGTTAATTAGGAGAATATACAGCGACGAAGACGTCATTCGCATTGCCAGGAAGTTACACCCAATCGGTGCGTTTGGATTCGAGTGCTCCTTGGAAAGAGTCATCGAAGAAGTTAAGAGTTACAACGATTTCCGTATCCACCAGGTAAACAATTTTCTCTCTTACTCAAAAAAAAAAAAAAAAACATTTCAAAATCCATAAACGAAAACATGTTATACAGTTCAACAAGCTAAACTTGTTTCTTTCTGTATATAGCTTTTGTTCCAGTTTGGAGTTAACGATACCAAAGGAACTCTCTCAGACAAACATGTTATGCTCTCAGCAAAATGTCGGGTAGGCAATTATCTTCTTCGTTTCATACGTCTTCCGAATTTAACTAACCTCTCGTGAGTGATCTAACTATCTCTTTATGTAATCAGACATTAGCTGAACTTCTCCCTTCAATGAAGGAATCGGGCCATCGTGTTCTAATATTCAGTCAATGGACATCGATGCTCGATATCTTGGAATGGACGCTCGACGTAATCGGCGTTACATACCGAAGACTTGACGGCAGGTAAAAAAGAAAGAAAGAAGAGTCTCATTTTTTCTTTACGATCCTCTGCAACAAAGAAGAAAACTTAAAAAGGCATATTGTTTATTTTTGGTTTTGTTTTCGACAGTACTCAAGTCACAGATAGACAAACCATAGTCGACACATTCAACAACGATAAGTCGATATTCGCTTGTCTGTTGTCAACACGAGCAGGTGGACAAGGTCTGAACTTAACCGGAGCAGATACGGTTATCATTCACGATATGGATTTTAATCCTCAGATTGATCGGCAAGCTGAAGATCGATGCCATCGTATCGGTCAAACAAAACCAGTCACTATCTTCAGGTTTGATCTTTAAATTTTCTGAATCAAGTCAAAATTCTATATTGTAGTTTGTATAACAAAGTTGGCTTGGTTTTGGTTTAAGAATTTGGATTTGGTTCGGTTATTATGTCCACCGTCAAATAACTTTGGCAATGTTGGTACAGACTGGTAACGAAATCGACGGTTGATGAGAACATCTACGAGATTGCGAAGCGGAAACTTGTTCTTGATGCGGCGGTTTTAGAGTCCGGAGTCCACGTAGATGACGACGGAGACACGCCTGAGAAAACCATGGGAGAGATTCTCGCTTCTCTTCTCATGGGATAACGCAATTCTTTCCTTTTTTTTTTTTTTTTTTGTTTGGTTTTGAGGTAAAATTAGCCAAGTAACGAAATTTATGTGTTATTGGAAACATGTGTAACACTAGCATTTAGACTAAGTTTAATAGATATCTATTATAGTTTATGTTTCCTTTTACGCATGTAAATTGAAACCTAAAACAACTGAGACCTAAATGATGGACGAACACTTGAGGTCTCGGTTGTTTCAAACACAGTTCTTGTGTTTGCAAATTACTTGAATTTTTATAACAAAATTAGAAAATTATGATTTTGAACTGGAAATTTAATCCTCAGAACTAAAAGAGGCCAAGAAGAAACTTGGTTAAACTGTGTGAAATGAGTAAAGGAAATCGTGTACAACTATAAAGTCCCACGATAAAGAGAAACTCAACTAGCTTTTTGTCTGCCACTTCCCAATTCCCAAAAGACATTATTGCATTACTTTCTTTCAATTTAGTTATATGCATTTCTATTATTTTTCATAAGAATATTATTTTGTTTTGGAATTAATCTCCAAACAAACTAACATGGTAAAAATATTACTTGGTAATTTGCTAACAGAGTGTGTAAAACACCAACTTTTTTTTTGTTATACAACCTGTAATTTTTTTTAAAAAAAAATTGGTACGATATTAATAAAGACTTTTTTGTTATATAATCATATTTGGAAAACAATCAAATAATATAGTCATATTATTCAAATAATATGCAAACTAACCATGATCCACATAAAAATTACTAAAATTTCCTTCTTCTTCTCATAAGAATTTTATAAAAACATATGTTGTCTATATTTTTTTCTGGACTATACTATAATATGTGTTTTGTTTCCAACAAAACTAATATAGTATAGTACATAAAATTTTAATTACATATTAGTTTTTATTGTTATACTATACTATTTATACTATTTACAAAAATGAGGGGATGGAAAAGGAAAGGAAAGAAGAGGAAGAGAGAGGAGAAGAGAGGGGATGGAAAGGAGAGGAGGGAAAATAAAAAAATTAGGAAATAAAAGAAAGAAAAAACAGGGGAAAGGAAGAAAATCACAAAAAAAAAAATATAATTAAAATTAAAAAGGGTAATTTTATATATATTATAAAAAATACAATAAATACTATAACATTTCAATTGTTATGGTTATTTGCTGAATTTCAACTCTTCTTTTATGGTCATCAGTGCCAATTTCCCTATCCATCCTTTTACTGTACTTCACTTGATTTTACTTTTTCACGTGGCCACTAGCATATTGTGGACTCCACATTAACTGACTAACTCAATTATTTGTTTTTTTATAAACACACTTTTGTTTTTGTTTCTTGAAATAAATTTTGTTTTATTAATTTCGAGAATGACTTGTCGAAACGGTAGGATCTCTGTGCATGTCTTGTCACTTCCAATAAGGACTAAATTTTACATTTATTACAGTGTCGGTAAAGCAAATAAATCGACAAAATAACATTACAAAGAAAATCTGAAAAAAGCAGAAAAAATAAAAAGAAAAAACGACAAATCGTCGTCACACCACTGTGACAAAAAAATTAAAAGCGAATATTAAGTTCAAAAAGATATACCTTTTCTCTGTATTTATTAAAAAGCTTTATTTCAAAATATCAACTAAATTACTAAAATACTTTATTATGTAATATCTCGATCGTTCTTATACCGCTTTATAGTCTCTTTATATAGTGCCGACTTCCTCATTAGCTCCAGTACACACCACTTGTTTAACTTCTCTTTCTCTCTCTCTTTGAAAATTTCCTTCTCTCTCCAAAAATGAAGCTCTCCATGCGTTTGATCTCAGCTGTTCTCCTCTTGTTCATGATATTCGTCGCCACAGGTTCATTACTCTTAACTCAATGTCTAATTTTACACATATGCATGCAAAAGTATAATCATTTACATATATAGAACATCTTTGTGACAAAAGAAAAGAACATGTCTTGTATTTATGGATGGATCTAATTTATATCCGATTGTTCTTGTGAATGCTCATGTGAAAAGTTTTTTTTTTATCGATTCTCCTTCCCACTGTTATATCAACATGCCGAACATGAAACTAGTTAAGCTATGGCCTAAACTTAAAACTCTAAATCTAAAGTATGTTGTGTGTGTTGATTTTGTCTAGGGATGGGTCCAGTCACAGTGGAGGCACGTACGTGTGAGTCAAAGAGCCATAGGTTCAAGGGTTTATGCCTCAGCGAAACAAACTGCAAGAACGTGTGCCACAACGAAGGATTCGGCGGAGGTAATTGCCGTGGGGCTCGTCGTCGTTGCTTCTGCACCAGACATTGCTGATCCATCGATTCTCATAACCCAAAAGTCTTGGATCCACCACCATCTTTGTGTTTGCTTCATTTTATATAAACTTCCGTACAGTACCATGTCGTACCGTACATGCGTGAGTGTGTCTAGTGTGTTCTCGAATAATTAAGTGTTTGGTTTGTGTGTTTACGGTTTTAATGTAATGTTAAATCAACTAATTAATGGCTTTTCTTATTAAGGAGTATTTTACGTTTACGAAGCTACTCACGCTAATGCCGAGATATTTGATCAACTCGGGTAGATTCATTAAGACTGTAGAGCACCGGAAATTTTGAAACTTGTAGTAGATCGGTTTATAGACAACGGATTAAAAAGAATTATACAATTACTATGTATATGTTTGTATTATAAAGTTGGATCTTGGTACTATTAATTTTAGGTTGGTTAAAAATAGCTCGTTAAATAACCACTAAATTATTAATAAATTTTTATTGATATAATTTTGTAATGTAAAGTAACACATGGAGCGTTTTAGGCCAAGTAAAAGCACAAGGCGCGTTACATACTACACGTATCTTTGGTGTCATATACAAGAGTTCTACACATGGACTACTAGAGACAATATAGTTTTTTTTTTTTGGAATTTTTTTTATATAAACCAACAAAAAAACTATGTTAAGCTGTGACTCATCCTTTTGATGGGAATATATTGTAGATCAACGACGGATGCAGAACGATGAGTAAAATGCAAGAAGGTTAATAAAAAAAAAGCAATTTAACAAGGTTTGATAATGTATTTACGTTTTTAGAACATTCGCTAAATTTATAAAGTTCGTCTGCATTATGACATTTCCAGTGTGTAACCAACCAATCTTTAGCGAGACACATACGTCTCTCAAGAAACAAATATTTACATTCTCGGTTTATGAAGTAAACACTTAATGGTTTATACATTTTAGTAAGAAAGTCTTTCTACGTTCATTCTTAATTTAATTAGCTCATGCATGATGCATCTAATGAACAAAAAGAAATTGATTATATATCTCGTCGCATAACAAACTAACAATCAAGTAATAATTTAATATGTTTCGCCATACATGTATATAGTAAAACACGAGCATTGGCTATTTACATTAGATGTCTTCCTAGAATGGTATAAAAATACTACCTGTAATTATTTTTTTTGTGATAAATTCAACTGTGTCCACTATTTTTTTTTTTTTTTTTTGCCAAAGTATCAATTTTTCTTTGTGGATTGTGCGTATCCTATTTATATTAGAGTTTGTGGATTGGACTACTGTTTTAAAACAACTCAAAAATCTGCTTAAGCATTTTGAAACTGGAAGATTTAGCGAAGAAATGGAGGAGAAAAGCTAAGGCAAATCGTAGGGTTTAATTAACTTGATTACAGTAAAACCTTTATAAATTAATAATGTTGGAACTTTCAAATTTTATTAATTTATAGAGTTATTAATTTATAGAGATATTTTTAGTATGAATTTTTAATATTTATTAAAAAAACAAAATTAATATTTTCAACAATGTAAAATCCATTCAAAAAATATCATAATAATGATTTTAGAAAATAAATCAAACAAAGTTTATAAACTTAAAGCAACCATATTTTTACATAGACATTTCAAAAAAATTATTATCTTATTATCTTATCGAATTTTATCAATTTTTACACTGGTTCAATTTGGGACTGGCAAAAATTATTAATTTATAGTGATTATTAATTTATCGAGTATTAATTTATAGAGGTTCTACTGTATTTTAATTAAGTGGTCAGCCTTGAATTACGACTGCTCCTCTTGGCAAAAGGTTTAATTGGTTTACGTTTTGTTTCTATTTTTTGTAAGGCGTTAAACTATTTATTTTCATTAGTAAACAAAAAAAAGTTCGTCCCTTTTTTTTATATATAGTGCCATCTTCTTCTTTTTCGATCTTCTTAATTCTCATTACAACTTTTTGATCTTTCTCTCCCTAAAATGAAGCTCTCTCTGCGTTTGGTCTCAGCCCTTTTCCTCTCCTTCATGCTCCTCCTTGCCACAGGTTCATAACTCATCTCATAATAGTTAATATCTAAATTTTCATGTATACACACATGTCTGAATGATCCATGCATGCCCTGTTATTCGTCGTTTATACTTTTATTACTTTACTACAAAGATATTCAAAGGTCACCGGGTTCGAATACCGTCAAAGGAAAAGAAACTAATTGAAAATAATTAATATAAAAACATATCTGATTTCTATGATAATATATGCCTGTCTTTTTGTGTGCAAAATATTGTTTATATATATGCATGCATATGAATATTATTACAAGGAAGTCCTAGTCACGATCATACATATCATTTTTTCAGAGTTTGGTTATAGTAACAAATATGTATGGTTCTTTTTTTGGGTATTAATGTTGATATGTATGGTTCTTCTTAACTATGGTACGTTACTTATGCTCCAAAGTCTCCAAAACGAGAGTGTTTTAAATAATTTGGTGGGATATGTTTTAATAGGAATGGGTCCAGCAGTGGAAGCAAGAACGTGCGAGTCACCGAGTGGGAGGTTTCAAGGAGTTTGTCTCAACTCAAAGAACTGTGCCTCTGTTTGCCCCAGCGAAGGTTTCTCAGGTGGTCATTGCAGTAGCCTTCGTTGCTACTGCACCAAAAAGTGCTAATTTTTCAATTATTTTTTTTTATTCTAACGATGAAAAAAAAAACCAATTTGAGACTTTCTTAATTGAAAAGAGCAATTTGTTTTGTGATATTTGTACATAGAGCAATCTCAAGGTTTTATATAATGATGGCTTTTTTTTTTTTTTTAGTAAGAGTTTTAAATCTTCATGTATTTGACTTAAAATTCTGCTATTATAATATGTATATCTTATACAATCCACCCCTGTAAATCCAATGTCGTTATTTATATATTATTTGTCAACATAATCATGAAAATGAAATTAACTAATTACAGTGTATGTAAAAAAAACTAATGTATAATATACTGCATATGAGTTCTTTAAAAAAATGGGAGTGTGTATATTAATTTCAAAATTTGGATCTATATGTTTCTAAATGTTATAAAAATGTAGATATCGATTAAAATGTAATTATGTGTTGAAGATTCTGATGATTTATAATATCATGGAATAATGTTAAGTTATTCTAAGTTTTTTATAAATGGATTTGTTCATCAATGATTAAGCTCTCATAAGTCAAAACAAAGATAAAGTAGGATAATTAATTCGGTCATTAACGTTGTTCAAATTTTTACTCGTTTTACCCACACATGACGAAGAAGTCAAGCTTTCATGCGCAGCTAAATCAGATGGTGAAACGTTATTCAAAATTTTACTCATTTTATCTATCCATGACGAAGATGTCAAGTTTTAACCATTTTAGTATATGACCAGGGTCTATTCATAGACAACTAATCGATCGTCGTCATTCAAATTAATTAATGCAATGATACTCCAATCCAAACCATAGTGGAAGAAGTGGCGCAAAAATCACATAGTTACAAATTACAACCATTCTAGCAATTCAATAAAAAGTATCCAACGAATAAAAGTAGTCGCTAAAAAATTCTTTTTATTCCAAATAAAATACCAAACACAATGAATTATATACATCGATCTCAATCGTTCTTATACTCACACACACACACATTGAGTCGTCATTGCCTATATATAGTGCCACCCTCTTAATCTTCCTCATTAGCTTCTTAAACTTATTTCCAACAATATACTGTATCTCCCTCTCTCTTAAACATATATAATCTCTCTCTATCTAGAGATCTCTCTCTTTCTCCAAAAATGAAGAATCTATCGCTGCGTTTGGTCTCAGCCGTTTTCATCTCTCTCATGCTTCTCGTTGCCACTGCCACAGGTTCGTTACTCTTGCCATAATCAATAGTATGTAAATTTTCATATATATAATGCCTACTTAGTTGTAATCATCTACATTTTATTTGAAAGAATCATGCCTAGTTATTCCTCATTTGCGTAGCTACGATAATTAATCTTGTAGATGCATTAATGTATATAGGAAACCATCTACTCTATGTATATCTTGTTATTCCTCGTTTTGGCCATATATAACCAAATATACAATATGTGTGCTTTCTGTATGATTATGAATCTTGGAAATATTTAACAAACAAAAAAAGGTTAATCTTGCAAAATGCAGTTTTCTTACACAAAACTATAAAACCAACTATATTGTCAATATATAGTCTATGTAACCATATATATGTATATATGAAACTATCTACTCTATGTATATCTTGTTATTCCTCATTTTGGCCATAACCAAATATTATACAATATGTGCTTTCTGTATGATTATGAATCTTGGAAATATTTAACAAACAAATAAAAAAGGTTAATCTTGTAAAATGCAGTTTCCTTACACAATAAAGTATAAAACCAACTATGTATGTCTTGTTATATTATTTATTCTAAGTAACTGAGAATATGTTTGTCTTGTTGTCTAGAGAGGAGTCCTGCTCCTGTGGTTGAGGAGCCAAGAACATGCAACACACAGAGCAAATATTTTGACGGAGGGATTTGCTTGAACTCAAACCACTGCGCCATCATCTGCCGTCACTTTGAGGGTTTTGAAGGCGGTCACTGCCGTGGACTCGTCCGTCGTTGTTACTGCACCAAACACTGTACTTGATGGGATCTTCATCATCATCGTGATAATATTCTTACCAAATAAAAAATAAAAAAATAGTTTCGATCTATCTCTACAAAACACTGTACTCCCTAGCCAGTATTTCCAGATTTATAATAATTAATAATGGGTTTTTAGTAAGAGTTTAATTCTATTATTGTGTTTTGGTTCAACTTCGGATTCTCCATTGTGACAACGAAAGCAAAAGATTTGGATTCTCCATCTAATAAGTGAATAGTTTTTATCAGAAAGCTTGCCCATTTTAGTATGTTATCGTTCAAGTGTCAAGTCTTTATATGCAATGTACTCTAACTAATACCAGCCACTCACTGAAATAGTCAAAATTAATGCAACCAAATATTATATATAGTCCAACCAAAACTTACTCTAATTATATATTTTGTAAGAATATATTTTTGTATAGGATTACAAAATTAATATACAATCACACATCTTCTTCTAATAATTTCATCTACTCACGAATTCTGCAGAATCATTCATTGTTATGTTCATATACAATTTTACATAGCAATAATTATATATAAGTGTTTTCACATTTGCATTAACCAAAACTAGGAACACAACACAGTTTAGTTAAATACTTCCGGGACAAATTAATTAACGCTACCTCTCTTCTCATCTGAAACATTACACTTCTTGTAAAAATGTGGCCTAAAATGAGATTCCAATTCGAGACTTGAGCAAAAATATTGTCTCTTTTCACTAAATCCCAGGTCTCTTGCAACCACACTCTGAGCAGAATTTGGATGTCTCTCTCAAGTACTGTGCTCCGCACTGGTCACAGAATTTCGCCGGACTGGTTGGCTATGGAAAGGCAAGACAAACATATGAGAGGACTTTTGATGAAGATTGAAAATGATCAAAACTGAAATAGAGATTTCGAAGATTTGTACCATGACATGGCCTCCAGCGAGGGGTTGCAAGCAAGCCATGTGCTGCGAAATAGATGGTGACTGGTGCGTGTGAGATAGTTCAGGGTCGCATTGATGGCTCTGGACGGGAAAATGTGTGGCTGCGTGTTGACTTTGGTAAAGATGATGATGGTGGTGGCTCTGGTGAATAGATTGGTGAAACTGATGAGGATGGTGAGACAGAGGTGACATGTGATGTTTGGAAGGAGAAGGAGTGTGTTGTTGGCTTTGATCCTGCAACACGATCATAAGATAAGAGTTGATCAACTCGATGATCTCAAAGTTCATTTCCATGACATTGTGTAATAGATTTGGAAGGAGCATGCACCACTTACTTCACTAACAGAGCGAAACCCTTGTGTATTAGCTATTGTAGATGAATCCATACCTGGAAATGTCTGCAGAACAAAGAGAAACAATAACAAAGTACATTGTCACTTTGTTCTTTCAACTCATAAAAAAGAAGTGTGTTGATCGAACTTACAGGCAAGCCATGGATGGTGGAGACAGAGTTTTGAACACGCCTATGCTTGTGTCGAGGGCAGTAGAATTTATAATCTCTAGCAGAGACAGCTACTTCATTGCGGCCAGTTAATCTCTTAAACCTGTAGTGACAATATCTAATTACATAATTCACAAAAAATATACTGATGATGAGTAGAAAGAGATATTCTCACCATTCAGCATCTTCAATGGGTATATCATCCGGCTTTTCGACAATATCCAAACCATTCACCACCACAAACCGAACTCGTTTCTCTTCATGTATTACTAATTCAGGAAACCTCGTCCTTGTCTCAACTGAAGTTGCCAGTTCTCTTCTCCTGTACATGCAAGTACCTGTAAATGCAAAAAAAAAAAAGACAAATCACACAACAAATCCTCGAAACTAATCAAATTTTAACACTTTTTGCAAAATACCTTTCTTAGGAAACTTCTTTGTTAACTTTCTATATAATCCACCTGCTGCTTCAAGAGCTACCCCAAGGCTCTTTTCCCTTATCCCATTCAATGAAGCCACCCTCACATTTGCTTCACCGACTAAGGTCTCGTACAAGTTTGCGATATACATCAACGGCAATGCGAAACTCGGGTCACCTTCGTATTGTGTATCATCCGACTTCCTCTTGACTTTACTGCTATTGTCCTGTCCTCCTGAATCCATCTCGTGGTCACGCTTGTTCTCACAGACTTCAATGACATGTTGGCTAATAAAGTAATCCAATATGATCTGCAGAAATCTCCCTCTTGCTGATTCAATCGGAGAAACATCTATAAGAAAGATAGGAAAATGAGAATCAATCAAGAAACTCAGAATCAGTTTTTTTTTTTTTTTGTGAGAGCCAAGCCTTGTTTTACCTTCAATGTTTAGCATATTGTAAGAAGATCCTGCAGGTCCCTTGTTAGATCCACCTTCTTCAACTACATCATCGTGGATTTGCATCGAGTTTCTGTATGATTCGTGGATACAATCCTGAAAAAGAGACAGAATGAAAACTTCAGCTCAAACATGTGAAACCCACAACTTCAATTCAAGTTTCAGAAACTAATTCGAGCTTAGAGACCCACAAAACCCTAAAAGTTGAGATTTTTATACACACCGCAGAAGAGGAATTGCCGTCGTTATCCAAGCTATCGCCGCCACCGGAGCCTCCGATGGCGTCGATATCTCTCGACGGACCATCAACGGAGTTGAGATCGTGGAGAGAGCTACTGATGTAGGAATCAGCCGATCCCAAATTGTAATGCTGCACTTGAACCCTAGCTCCCATCTTTTTTCCTCGAACAATCGAAAACCCCAAACTGGCGCACAAAAAAACACATATAAATTCCTAAAATTAGGATCGATTTTGGGTAACAATCAACCATTTTCGATCACAGATTCAACTCCAGAAGCTGCGGAATCATCTAGAAATCGCATTGAGTTTACTCAGACCGATCTCGTTGCTCTGTGCTCGTGATTTATGTGAGAGAGATTAACGGCTATACAAAGCGCGAATCTGGTAGAGAGAAAGAAACCGAACCTGAGCTTATCGTACGCCGAAAGATATCTCCGAACCTGACTCCAGACTCCACACCTGTTACCGAGCCAGGCAGTCTCAAACTCTTACAAGTAAATAATATATGACCGAAACTAAGGAAACTCTTTTATATATTAAAACATTATTTTAATCCACAACTAACATTTAAGTCTAAATAAAATAAGATAAAAGTATATAAACCAAAAAGCTTTCAGTTTTTGTTTGGCAACACATTCATAATCTTCGAAACTATAAACATAAAACTGTAATCTCCTTCTATCTTCTGACTACACGAATAGAGTTTCAAACTCCTCTGCATTGGAAAGATTATATTTGTTCAATACTAATTTATTCAATCATCAATAAGAGAAAATACTCTTTGGGAACAAAAAAGAAAGTTATGTACACACCAAAAATTGGGGATTGATTTGGTTCCTTAATGCTAACAGCAATACAATAAACAATGAAGAACCCTCAAAGTCTTCCTTAACCCATCTGTGAGCATTTTACTTCATGATCTTCACTCCTTTCTCATCTTTTCCATAGCTTCAGAGCTCAAAAATCTGCAACAAAAGGTTTTTAACCTTTTTCTTTTTATCACAACAGACCCAACTCAGATTTTGATTTCAAAGCACCCAACATTGGTTCTGTGTTCATACCTCAGCTCTTGTCGATGAACAATATATCCATTCGATAAGTTTCTCCTCGGATGAAACCTGATAGATTCACAGGAGAAGCTCACGCTGAAGTGTCCAGATCTGGTTCTGGTTTCTTCATCTTCTCCAGAAGAAACAAGGTTTGGATCCGAATTACCTGAATCGGTCTGGTACGAGCAAAAAAATTGCGTCTTTCAGAGTTTCACAAGTTTGGAAGTGCATCATTGTTGTCACTGGTCAAAACCTGATGCTTTATCAAATAACTCTGCAACTCTACAGCTTCCTCTATACATCCAACCTCATAGTGTTTCTTCAAGACACTAACACACAAAACCTCGTCAGGGAGAATTCCTTCCCCGATCATTTCCTCAAGGAAAGATCTCGCTTTCTGCAACTGATTGCATTGTGATAATCCCCAGACTAATGAAGTGTAAGCAAGCAAATCAAGCTTCATACCAATCTCAGCCATTTTGTCTCGTAGAGCTAAACCCTCTAGCACATTCCCTTGCTTCAAATTCCCATCCATTAACGATGTGTACGCTTGTCTGTCTGGGACTAGACCTTTCTGAGCCATTTGTTCAAAAAGAGTTGTTGCTCCCTCAACTTGATTCTCTTTACAGAGACCATCAATCATCGCTGTGTATATCGCTGTGTTTGCTTGTAGACCAAAATCGTTACTTATCCTCTCGAAATAACCAACCGCCTTAGAGACTAACTTGTTTTTGCACAATCCATCAATCAAAACGCAGAAGGTAACAACTGTGACCTCGATATCAAGTTCTAGCATCTCTTCTAGGAGATGCAATCCCTCCGTAGGGTTTCCAGACTTAAAGTAACCGTCCATTAACGTCGTGTAGATCAACGTATTCGCTTTAATCCCATAGTCCTGCATTTCATTCATCACTACCTTAGCAGCCTCGATCTTCTCTACACCGCACAAACCCCATATGAAAGTTCCATAGAGCAGCAAATCTGGTTTAATACCTCTTCCCTTCAGCTCGTTTAGAAGCTCTAACGCTCTGTCCATGTTTTTCCCCTTTACAAATCCATGAATCAGAGCGTTGTAACTTGCAAGATTTGGAATCACACCGGCTATAACCATTTTGCCAAAAAGTTCTTCAGCTTCTTTCATTCTCTCCGCATCACAAAGACCATCGATCAGTGCAGTGTAAGTGACCACGTTCCATTCCACACCAGCCTCCAACATCTCATTAGCCAACCTGAAAGCATCTGAGAGATTACCGATCTTACAATAGGCATCAATGAGGGAAGTATAGGTATGCTCATTAGGCACAAGACCAAGTCTTCTCATGTCGACATAGAACTTGATGGCTTGTTGCATCATACCATCCTTGCAAAAAGCATCAACCAAAGTGCTGTAACTAATAACATTCGGTCTCAACCCACTCTGCTTCATCTCCCTGAAGAAATCCAGACCTTTAGGCAATCTCTCGAATTTACAGAAACAGTTGATCAGCGTGTTGTATGTGATAACATCAGGCTCACAGCTCATACTCTTCATTTCCTCGAAGAAGCAAACCGTATCATCTAATCGACCAACTTTCCCATAACCATCAACCATAGAGTTATATGTAACAGTGTCTGGAATCAAACCTCTAAACTTCATCTCTTCAAACAAGCCACTCGCAGCTTCTATATCTCCTTCTTTAAACATACAATCTATCATAATGTTGTAAGTAAACACAGTCGGCTTCGAACCAGCACCAATCATGTCTTTGAAAAACCTCTTCATCCCATCCCTCTTCCCCAATTTCGCAAACTCATGCAATAAACCGTTGCAAGACCGGGTCTTTGGGAAAACCCTAAATCTCTTCATCTTAGAGAAACACTGGATAGCTTCCTCAAGCATTCCTAGATCAATCAAAGCACTAAACAAAGCATCAAACACTCCAAATCCAGGAACACACACGTTCCTCGTAGACCACAGAACATCAAAAACATCGCAGTCGTTTAATTCAGCCTTGGACAAAACCATCTCTCTAAGGATACGATTAGCATCATAATACATTCTAGCACAAAACAGGATGTGCGCTACTATACAGTATGATTCAACGGTGTGCTTAAACCCATTGCGGCTCATTGACCATTTGAAGAATTTGAAAGCTAATTTCGGGTCTTCTTTCAATTCAACGAGAACCCTTGGAACCCAAATCGGAGCCAATGTCGAATCAAACAACTTCTCAATTTGGGGATCATCCCATTGATCATTCTGAACAACCTTACGGATCCAGTCTCTATCGAAATCTTCGGAATAGGTGGAAGGACCGCTTTTGCTAACGAAAGGGTATCGAATGATGCAGAGAAAACTAGTGAACCAAACGAAAGGACACGAGATAAAGGAAGATTGAGACGGAGATGACAGAGGAAAACAGAGAGGTCCTCGAATTTGAGAGAGAGAAGAGGAACAAGGGCTTACATGGCGAGGGAATCTGCGATTAACGTGAATAAAGTTGCGAAGAGAACAGAACATTTTCAGGAAAAAATTCAAAGCGAATACAATGAGCCTCATCGTTTAGCTCACAGACATTGTAATCTGTTGATCCTCAGCTATACGACTGAATGAAGAGGAAGAGCGAGATGAAGAGGGGGAAGAAGAAGAAGAAGAAAGTAGGGTTTATAAACTCTGGGTTTTGTTGCTCCTTTCACTGAAGACTATAAAATTTCTTTTCTGTAAATTTTTACTTCGTCAAATATAGATTTTTATGGGCCTTTAGATACGGGCTGTATAGGCCCAACTTATGGTTTTAACTGCTTTTTCTTCTTCTTTTTTCAATTTAAGGTTAAAATACTTAATTAGAGAGATAGATAACCAAATTGTGACACTTAAAATAACTGTTCTTCCTTCTTCTTCTCGTTTAGATGGGGGTTTCATCAAACACTGAAGAAATCAAGAAAATGGTTGTTTACTGTGAAGACCTTTTTTTTACTTACTATGATTACCTTGTAATTTAAGGAAAATGTCACACATATCGAAACAAATTAGGAAAACAAAAAAAATCAGAAATTTGAGGTAGAGTTGTATCTTTTCTTTCTTCTACTGTTACAATTTAAGAAATCAAAGTAGAAAAAATTGGCGACTTAAAACTTAGTGCCAAGCCAAAGAAGATAAAAGCGACTTGCATTATTTGCTCTCCGTTTGCATTTAGCAGAGAAAAGGAGCAAAAAGCTTCGTGTGTCACACCATAGATCATATCAATCTCTCCATTTTTTACGACAACATCTCAACAGTCTTCTTCTCAATGTCATCTTCTTCACCCTCTGCTCCACCTTCTACGGTTGCTTCTTCTTCTCCTTCCTCAACCGCGTAAACAACTTCTTCGCCTTCTGCGCCTTCTTCATAAACGTAATCTCCATCTTCTTCGTATCCTTCTTCGTAATAGTACTCTCCGTTTAGCTCATCGCCTTCATAAGCTTGCTCCTCTTCAATTCCTTCATACACTTGCTCCCCCTCCTCTTCCCCAATCACTTCTTCTCCTTCCTCCATAATCGTTCCTTCTTCCACTTCAGCTTCGTGGGTTGGATTGGGTTCAGATACAACCTCCTTGGGTTTCTCTTCTGTGACGAGTTTGGTCTCATCTCCAGCTTCCTCTTTTGATATCGTTTCTTGAGGTGCCCGGTCCTTGTTATTGTTGCTGCTACCACCAGATGCAGCCGCTCTTTTTCTCTTGAGAATCTCACTGAAAGGCAACGGAGCTGCAAATGAATCCCCTGATGGCTTATGAGGATGATGATGATGATCCTCCTCCAAGCTTTTTCTCTTCCCGAGAGATGTCTCTGTTTTACTTTCCTCTTTTTGGCTGCTTCTAGTTTCTCCAATGCCTCTAGGAGCTGAAAAGCTGGATTTTCTTTCGTCGTCCATTTCTCTTCTTCTCGCCCATGGAGCTCGGAGACCTCTTTCCTGATTACCACTATTGTTTTCCTCTAACCTACCCTTAATTCTATCTCGGAGTCTACCTTGAGATAACTCGCTTCTGTCTCTTCCTCTCTCCGATCTCCTATCAAAGTGGGATTCGTCGCCATTGCTCCTCTCACGAAGCTTAATTCTACCATGAAGACGGCTGCTGCTAATGGAGCTTTCCCTCGGTGTATTCCTACGAGAGTCTCTGTATCCTCTTTCCACTGACGAGTCGTGAGCAGCAGCATAGTCATGGCTTCCCACTGATCCCATACCATTAACTTTCCTCTGCTTAGCCAAGCGATATCTCAGATCAGACGCCAGTATGTTCTCTGATCTCTCATCTTCCGCATAAACCCTTCTCTCCGCACGATCTCCTCCTCTCTCGGACGAAACTCGACGGTGGCCCCATCCGTGCCTGTCTTCCCTCTGGTCATACGAATCAAAACGCTGATCGCGGAATGCTTCTCTATCACCATCAGCCATTCCACTGAAATCAGGGTCATACTCATTCACAGAGTTCCGTCCCTCCTGACTTCTCCGTCCATATCGATCTTCAACATGATAATACTCAGAATCTCTAGCCTCGTTATCCACAAGAACATCAAACCCAGGAGACGACTCTCTCAAGACGTCATCCGAGTCTTTACCATTGTGGAAGCTGTTATTATCATCAGATCCATATTTCTGAAGAAACTGAGTAGAATGGTTTCCTCCTTCAGTAAAAGAAGGAACACCCACAGCCTTTTTCTGCGAAACAGGCTCATATCCCACATGTTTTGGAATATATCCCTCTACACCTCTACTATCCCTTATGCCAGCAGACGTGACTCTTGGTGCGGCCGATAAGTCCACATGGGCTTTAACAGCCTTTTGGAGATTAGCATCAGGCAATTTCTTCTCCCCGGTGTAATTTTCAATTGGCTTTTTGGCACACTGAGAATCAGCATGAGCAGGCTTAGCTTCTGCAGGATGCTGCTTTTTATAGCCAGACGGATTCGGCGTGTGCATGAACGAACACATGTCTCCTTTCACACACATGCCCTTTTGAAAGAAAACACACGGAACCGGCTGTTTTGCAAGACCGGGATGAGCAGCTGCGTGTGGTGGCTGTACAGAACCAGCAGGAGCACCTCCTTGATTTCCCAATAGTCCCTCCAAAGGCTGTAAGGGAAAAAAACAACAACATAAGCACTTTGATAAAAAAAAAAATTTGAAGCTCAATTAGAAGAATGAGGAAGAAAGTAAACTCACAGGATGCCGAAAGCCACACTTGGGGTTCATGCAATTTCCACTCAACCAATAGTAGCAATCCCTTGGGTTGACACGCGCATACTCACTGTGGCGATACTCACACTCTTCTCCCTGAGAGGAAAAACAAGAAACCATAAGAATCCTTATAGACTGAAGAAACTTAACACTAGAGCAAGACCTAAGAGGAAATCAGGATTGTACACATTAAGCAAAAATCTCTTTCACAGAAGATGAAAAATCCTTTTAGACATTCGTAATTCGTAATAAAGCGCTGCTTGTAATTTAAAATCTAGTAAGAACGCAGCCGGAAGAAGCAAGCATAGTTTCAATCAAGAAGCTCGAAATCGCCAGATCTAAATTTTGCAACCAATCAAGCAGATGGAAAACCAAAGTGTGTGTATTACATGACTTCGGGCGAAAACAGGTGCAAGAAACTTGAGATCTCGAATCCAAAACCCTAATTTAAGCAGAAACTGGATAAGATCTAGAAGAAATATAATCAAATCAATACCTTCTTGCAGGTTAGAGGAGACGCGAGAAAGTAAACGCAATCGGTGTTCCACTTCAAGGCCTCTTCTTCAGCAGATGAAACATGCTCCGATTGATTCTTCTGCTGCTGCGGCTGTTGTTGCTGTTGGGTCGCAGGCGCAAACATTATTCTAAGTTTCTAAATCTCTTTCTACTAGATCGCAAGGTTTCAGATCGAAACCCTAGAAAGATCAAGCCCTATGCGTGGATAATCACCGATCGGAGAATCCCGTGGAAGAAGAAACGGAGCCGCCACAGAGAGCGAACCAGAGAGAAACTGCGACTGTGTTTGCGCCCTTTAAAGCTAAGCCTAAAAGTTTTGTTTTCTACTCTCTTTTTTTCTTTTGCGATGGGGGAATTTAATAGATGAAGTTCGGTTCGTATTTTCTTATCAATAGAATATAGACACGTGGAAACCCTTAAATGGTTCGTTAGACAAATTATTTTTCCTTTTTTTCTGCTTAAATGAGCCTTGATCTTGTACTTCTAGTGGAAACAGCGTATTTGGAATGTTGTGAAACAAACGGTGATAAGGTATTTAAACCGACCCAAACAAAACCGAGTCTGAACCAAAATCAATTATAAATCGATTGTAGAGAAATCAACCAAGATCGTATTCAGTCTAAACGTACCAAAAGAAATTTGTAACACTTTTAAACCAAAAATAAATTGAAGCTATACTAATTCCAAACCAGAAAACTTATAAAACCGATCTCGATATTTCCACAATCAAACCAAATTATACAATATTTTAAAAATTAATTCGTACTTTTAAATTATTTTTGTTATACTTCTAAACAAAACCAAACCAATATCAAATTTTGCCGGACCAAATATTCTAATCCAATCCGGCCTGAAAACCAAAATTCCCAGATCTACAAAGCAACTAAGAGATTAATATAGAACACAATAAAGGTACTTTTACGAAGCTTTTTATTGTACAGAAACATGGGTTCTTGAGAATTAACAAACACCAAAAAAAGAGTGGACTTTTATAATACTAAGAACAAAAGCTAAAGCAAGAGAGCATCAATGAAGGCACTTTCCCTGTTCTTCTGATTTGTTCAGCCTGTTTCTCTGTTTTAGCTGCTTGACGATTCTTCTTGGCTTCAGCCGCTGCTCGCTTCTCCTCTGCTTTGCGCTCGATCGCAGCTAGTTTGTTCATCAGCCGGTCTTGCGCTCGTCCCTTTATCCTCTCAACTTCCACCTGCAATGTCAAGAGCTTATATAAGCAGAGTCCACGGTTTACATGACTAACTTTGATCAACTTTGACAATGTTTCTTTGAGGTTTTCAGGCTACTTACCTCGGTTTTCCTCATCTCAGCTTCAGATTTCGCCTTTTGATGATTCTCCCATGCTTGTATCTTCATCTCTTCGCGTCTGAACCTGAAGATTCCACAAGTCACTTGAAGCTAAAAGTTTCCAAGAAAATTAAAGCAATATGATCAAACAATGCAACTTCAGGTACCTAGCCATGTGCTTAGCCTTCTCCGCTTCCTCCCACGCAGAGGCACGAGCTTCAGAGACACTCTTGGAAGTTTGTAGAGAAGCTTTAGTCTTCAGTGACGAGGAAGCATCTTTGTCTTCATCTTCTTTGCTAGCCCAAGCTGCAATGTTTAATTTACCAAGCTGAGTCCCCAACACCATTATCTCTCTCCTAGTTTTCATCTGAAGCTCTTTCTCCGACAGTTCCTTGTTACTCATAGGAGAAGCCGACGCTCGTCTCCCGGGACTTGAAGGTGCAGAAGATATAGGGCTTCGCATCGGCGTTGTTGCCCTTATCGGTGTCCCGTTTCTTGAAGGTTCTTGGCTCGCTATTGGAGTCATCTCGGTTCCCATGTCTCTCATCGATACAGACCTCGCTGTTGAAGGCGGTTGAGCAAACGCAGTTGCGATTGACGAGTCATGTCGACTTAGATTAACTGCAAACAAGCGAATTCTGGATTTAGAAGCTATACACAAATTGAAAAAGACTCAAAGAGAAGGTTAGGGACTTAGGACAACCTTCAGTTGCTGATTCTACAATGGAGTTCTCAACCATAAGAACCGGTTTGACATATGAATCGGCTTCCCAGCTAACAAACTTAGGTCCTGACTCCTTCTTCACTTGGCTTACATCTATTCGCTTAGTATCAGGCTCCTCAACCGCAAACGTACCCGCTCTTTGATCAGCAACTTCAACGATCTTCATAGAAGACTGCCGACCAAAGCTAGGACCTTTCTTCGACCCCGGAACCTGAACCTGTCCCTGTCCCGTCTTCGGCCGGTTAGCTGTTGGACTAGCAATCCATTTCTGAGCATCGTCCCACTTAGATGGAGCTGGTTTAGAGAATGATCTAATGGGCGTCCTCTGAGTGACTTTCTCCTTCTCTGTCTTTTGAAACTCAAAGATCGATGCAGAAACACACTTGCTTTCATTCCCATTGTCGTAGTCAAGACTTACTCTACAATCTCCAGCCATCCCTGAAGTAGAACAGTCGATAATCTCACTCACAACATCAACGTCTTTGCAATCATCTGATCCACTAGCTACTGCATTTTAAAAGACAACAAAAGAAGCTGAGCTTAGAGTAAAGTCACACAAAAGGAGAGACTATTTCAACATAAGAAAGAGAAAAGAAAGAAAAATACAGTTCTTGAGTGAGATTCCATTAAGAAAATGTGGACAAAACCGTTTTAGAAAAGCGTATTAAGAAATCATTAAGGGGCTCCACCATAAACCCTAGATTCCGAATAACAAAACAACAAAAAGGGGGAAGAAAAAGTGTACCAGGGTCATCGATTTGACTTGACCCAGATCTCATTGTAGGAGTAGATTCAAGCATTTCTTCTTTCTTCTTTCTATCAACACCGAGAAGCATAGTCCTTAACTTCCCTGGAGAAAATCCGCCGCCGCTAGTAACCTATCACAAAACTCATCGGAGAAGAAAAAAAAGGTGTTTATATAGAAACTTAGTGAAGCTGAGATTTATCAACAAATCAAAGACAGAGATGAAATGATTCTGAAAAAGACGTTTCCTATTTTGTTTATGTTTCCAGTGAAAAAAAGAGAAAAATCCCCCAAAATCAACAAGAAAATGACGCAATCGGAACGAAATCAACAGAGATCAAAAAAGTAGCTGCCAAATCATGCTTTCTTTTTTATTCCCTAATCGCACGCAAAACCCTATTTCGCGAATCGAGGAAAGCTTGAAAACGAAGCATTTTCCAGGAAAAAATAAAAAAATCTCACCTGGGTCTTTTCGATTCGCTCGTAATCGATCGAAAGAGAGAGAAACTTCACTGGCTTTGCTTCACTTTTAGTGTCTAGTCTACTCAAATTTCGAGGGAGAGAACTTAAATCACCTAAAATCCTAAAAAGACTGATGAAAAATGTGTAAGAAATAGAAAAAAAAAAAGAAATATTATAGATTTTATCGCATTATTTGAATGGAAGAGTACAGTGATAGAGCTTGGAAGCTTGCGAAAGTACAGAGACTGTTGTTTCTTCTCAAAGCTTCTCTCTTTTCTTTTCTAAGCTGACATCAAAATAAGGGACATTCACAGTGATGAGCCTCTAAGTTAAGCAAACTGTACTCTCTTCCAAAAAGAAAAAGAAACTTTATATTATTGTCATCATTAATATTATTATCATCATTAATAGTCTTCACATTCAAAATTAGTCGTTGATAATACGATTGAGTTGGTACTTGGTTCGAAATTTTACTCAGATAAATCTACATTTATATATATGTCTCTATTTATTAGGCATATTTGTTTTCCGAATCAAATTCAAAAATTTAAACAACATTATTCTTAAGAAAGACTAATTTGTTAATTGTAAATGTTTATATAAATGCAAACGCATAGAATTGTGTTTCCACTAAACATTACAAGTTTTTGAACTGTTGTCAATCGTTTTTGAATTACTATCTCAATAATGGAAGAAAAACAAATCATTATTAAGAATATGTTGTTTCAATTTTAAACTAAGATTGTAAGTTAAAAATTACATATATGATTAGAAGTTTAATAATGTAATTAGCACAAACAAAAAGTATACACTATGATTACGAAGACCTCCATAGGATGCTGTCTAATAAGGCACATACCCCATAAGGAAATTGGTTTTTTTTTTTCCATTTTACTAAGATTGATTATATATATTATGACAGCTATTGTAATCCCGTATCCAACAGACCAATGCTAATTCGAAATTAGTCACTCGATAACTAACAATTTATCTTCTTGTTGCAATTCCCATTTACCAATTTTTTCCCTTTTTTATTCCTTAGCAGACATCAAAATAAGGGACATTTGCAGGGATGGAGCCTTTAGTTGAGCAAATTGTACTCTCTACCAAAAGAAAATATAAACTATATTATTCTTGTCATCATCAATAATCATCTATTGATTTTTTTAAAAAAATATTTCCTTCATTAAAACTTAACCTTTTAAGCTATAAAAGGAGAGAATTAGATACTTTATTAAATTGATAAACAGAAAACAGATAAATTAATAGATAAAAATAATCGATAAACAGAAAACAGATAAATTACTAGATAATTTTTCACAAAAAATAACAGTAAATCTAAATCAAAGTTCAGATGTATTTTTGAAGTTTTTTCGACAATGCTGGATGGATAACAGATAATCACATTATCTTATGTGACGTTGATATACAACTCTTATTTCTTAAAAAATCGTAAAAATGAATTCTTATATTTCTTCTGGCCATACAAACCGTTATACAAAAAGATAGATAAAAAAATTGCACAGATTTCACAATGATGAAATCAAGGAAAACCTGTTTAACAGAAAAAAAAAACAACAAATTATCTCCCAAAAAGAAAGGAAAATGTTAACACATAACCAAACAACTTTGATATTAAAAAAATAGGGACAAAACTCGTTACATATGTTGTGAAGGCCATGTCTAAGATTATACTTCGTAATAAATGCAAGTTAGAGCATTGAAAGAGGAAATATTTTGTTAGACAATCGTTGATTGTTGTACAGTATTGTTTGTAGTTTTGAAGGTTGTTTGTGGACCAGATTTACAAAAGAACATAAATGGGATCTTTTCATATGTACAATAATGTATTCCTAATCAAAAATTTATTCCTAATGTATACAGATTTAATTGCATTGTGATTTAATTGTGGTTAGCAAGATGTATACACTGTGGAAGCCTCCTTGGTCCAGTGGTTTATTAAAGATTTAAAAATATTTCTACATTAAGAGATTTAGGTTTCAAATCTCAATCCGATAAAACACGATTTATTATTAATTATGCAGATTAATAAAAAATAATACAAATTATTGGAGATAAGTTTACAAGAGATGTTCAGAAAGGTATAAGCAGAATCATCACACTTAGATTTTCATATGATGATGGTAAACATGGTGCATCCAAAGCTATTAGTCATGGATCTTCATAAAACGGTAGAATTAACCATTGTAAAATTATCGATGTAACAATTTTTATAATTTGTAATAGTTTAATAAATCAGTATTAAAAAAAAGATGTAAACGCTTAAAAAAATCTAGATTTTTATTAATTCTGAAAATTAATCCATATTTTTAAGCGAATTTATTTTGGTTATTAATTTTTTATTCATAAAGGAAAAATACAAGAAACCAAATTTAAATTCTTTTTGATGTATATTCTAACATCAAAGAGAAAAATTAGGCAACATAGCTGCTTCACAATATGATATTAAAACTTAGCTTTAAGAACATTAGTTTTTAATCCAACTATACATGAGCTTTTCAGGCTTATGATTTTTAGATAAATAAATAGCTTCATCTCGTGCGTCCCATATGTATAATGCGTTACATCTATAAATGGGATCTCCTTCATATGCTATAAAACTTTGATGATATTCCAGATTAACTCCTTTCCATAAATTACACTTAAAGATCGTTGTGAAGATAATATCATCATGAAAACTAAAATTATATGAAGAACCATGAAATTTCACAAAATGATCGCCTAAATCGTCATTTCTCGATTTGCAATGAATCTTGAGAGTACTATGACTTAGAAAAAGGTTGTTTTGAAAAAGCACTATGTTTTTATGACATTTAGCTTCATTTGACACAAAACACGAAACAAATATAAGAAACAAAAAAGTAATTAAAAGATTCATCACTTTGAATAAATCAGTTTTTCTTAAAACTAGTTATATTTAGCTCTCAAATATTTTTAGTTATATTTGTTTATGTTTTTACTTATTTATACACCTTGTAGGTTTTCTAAACTAAGGAGAATGTGGATATTGAATGATTGAATTTAAGAGAATGTAAAAAAAGTCAAAATAACTAATTTTTAAGTAATTTATTTATCCCAAGAAGTAAATAAATTCTATCAAAATTAATAAATAAAAAATGGTAAGTATTGACTGTTTTGTATTTTTTATTTAAATTCTATTAAATTCCTTTGAAATAACATTACCATATATATTGGAATATAATTGAATTACATTTGTATTAAACAGAATTAGGAAACTAATAAATTGAAAGTTGAAACAAATACTAAAATATAGTATTTATTGAAAAATTAAAACAAAGTAAATAGTAAATACTTATTTTAGAAAAGTTCAATATCTATTATTATTCGTAGATTATATATTATATTATAAATTTGTAATATTTTTATAAAAAAAATATTTATTTATTAGTAAATATAAAATTTTAAAAATATGTATATGATATTAAAGTTTTAATATTTAAGTAGTTAATATTATTTTTAAATATAAAACACCATTTTTATCATATTATTTTTTTAGGTTTATTTTTATTTCCTTTTTCTAAAATAAAGATAGATTTATATAATTTTTTACTTGATAGTTCATATTAGATAAAAAAAATATTTATAATTTTTGTATTTCAATGGAGCAAACTGACCTAGAAATATCCATAAATTTTTTGATTTCATATATCTAAGTGGGGTATATTAAATTAATGATTTGAGTTGATTTTTTTTTTTCCAAATCTCTTCTTATTAAATTTAGCATTTGAAAAAGTTATTTAAAATCCAAGATTATTGGATTAGTTATTTATATAAATTCATTAAAATCTTGCCTTATTAAAAAATTAGGATTTAATTAATGAATTATTTAAAAAATGATTTGGGATGATTTGATAGATAATTAGAGATTGAGAAAAAAACCCAATAGATTATAAAACCACCTCATATGATGATATTTGAGAGAATTTAGAAGGCAAGATTTTTTAAATCATTTTAAATCTTTAATTCATTAAAATCTTCATAGATTTGGATTTATCCAAATTATTAATCCAATTTACCCTTAAAGTTTCCTAAAGAAAAATAAATTATATAATTAAATATATGATAAAAATGAAACTAAATATTTAAAAAATTTCAATATCAATTCTCTGTCCAATCATATTATTAATTGAGAAGCAAATTAAATTATTGTTGAGAGTTATTGTGGTTGATACTATTTGTCCTTCATGTTAATTTACATAATTAATCTTAATAAAATTAATTAATTACAATGATTTGATTGATATTAATTTGTATAAGAAAAGAATTTTCCTAAATAACAAATATAATATATTTTGAATAGTTTAGTTGAAAAAGTAATTAATTTTAATGAAATTAAAAATATATGTAATATAGTTTAGATGTATATCTTGATTTAGATTAATTCAAAAAATTAATTTCTTTTTCTTGTATATATTTATTGGATTATAAATAAAAATGTGGTATAGACTTTAAATATTTATTTATATAAATAGTTTAATATTTTTGGCACTTTTCTATTGATTTGTATATTTAAGTTTATGTGTATAGATTTTGTTTTTTTTTTTTATTTATTTTATATTTTTTTATATGAAGTCATTTTTCTTTATATAAAATTGGTAAGTTATTTAATTATTTATTTATTTTGACGTGTTTACATTAATATATTTTTATAATAATAATTTTAGAGAATTTGAAAAGATTTGATTTTTAATGAAATTTTAGATGATTTTATGTGGATTGATGAATTTGATATGATTTGATATTAAATTATATAATTTCTTATTTATAAGAGTGAGATTTGTTTTTTTTTATATTTTAGCTAATAAGCTCCACTAAATATTTTAAAATTTATTATTTAAAATATTTCTAATAAAAATGGATTTGATTTGATTTTTACAAATTTTTGATTGAATAACATGTAAGTTTAAGTGATTTTAATTGGTTTTAAATAAATTTGATGTTTAATAACATAAATTTTAATAAGACATTTAGATTTCATTAATTGAATGATATCTATACTATTAAAAGAGGATCACTTCAACGTTTAAACATAAATCTTGTGTTATATTACATAAAATGTCATTGCATTTTAACATTTTCCTTAGTTATTTGTTAATACAACTAATTAGTATTCATTTGATTTTTTTTTTTATTTTAATTCGTATATTCCTATTACCAAACACATTAATTTACAAATACTATTTAGATTAGTTTAACTCTAATTACTAAATATATTTAAATAATTTAAATATTTCCATAAATAGTTATTTCGAAAATTCTAATTAATCTTAGGATTAATTACATCCAAATTTATATAAAACGAAGTTATAATTATAATTACTATATATGTATAAGATTAAATTATAAACAATTATACAATTTAAAACATTTTGCGAAAAAATAGCAAATAATAATTTTCAAATATTTATTATTATGTAACAATATAAGAAAATAAAAATTACAATTAATATAATTAAAATATATACATTTACACAATATAAAAGAAAAATTGCAAAAAAATTATTTGAAAAACAAAAAATCATATTTTTATTATTATGCAATAATATAACCAAACACGTATGTTTATAGGAAAATAAACTAAAACCTAATTTTTATGAACAATTATATATTATTTGTTATATGTTTAGTACAATCTAATATTAAATTAAATTTGGATTAAATTAATTTCAAATTTAAAAGCATCATAATCAAATTTTAAAAAACTATTATTAATTAACAGTAAATTATAATAACCATATAAATTTATTTAAATTATATTTAGTTCTATAAAATATCTAATGAATCGATTTTGTAATATTTTATTAATATTTGATTATTAAAATTATGGAGCAAGCTTTCCAAATAAAAATTAAAATATTTTTAATTAAAAAACAGTAACTGCATAAATTTTAAGCATATTCTGAAAAATTTGGATTTTAGCATATTTTAAAAAATATTACAAACAATATTGATAAATGTTTTTATTGTAGAAGTAAAAACATATTAATAATAAGAAAATTCAGTAAATTAATAAAAGATTTTCATAATTTACAATTAACATAATAAAACTATTTATGATAATAGTATTTCAATAAACTATAAGAGAAATAAAAACAGTAACTCACATTATCTCATTTTCTCTAATTTGTTTTGGCTAATTTTTTCCCTATTTAGATTTTCAAAAAAAATATCTTTGCAAACATCAATATTTTTTAGTCGAAATTAATTTGTTATATGTTAAATATATTGTTTCAATTTGTTTACTATGTATATGGTTGTTATTTTTAATCTTTTTAGTTTTAAATTTATCATTTTTTGTTTGACAAAGAAGAAAAAAAACAAATAAGAAGGAGAAGAAGAAGGAGGAGAATAAAGAGAAGGGATGGATGAGAAAAAGAGTAGATGAAAAAAAATAACAACAGAGAAGAAGAAAGAGAGAAAAAAAAAAGAACTTAAAAAGAAGGAGAATAAGTGATAAAGAAGAAGAAGGAAAAGAAAGGATAATAAGAAGGGATGGAAAAGAAGAAAAACGAATGAGAAGAAGGAGAAGTGATGACGAATAAGACCAATAGAGAAGATGAAAAAACAGAAAAGGAGAATGGAGAAGAAAGAGAATGAATGAAGAAGAAGAAGGCATAAAGAAGGAAGAGAAGAAGAAGACGAAGGATAATAAGGAGAAGAAGGGATGAAGAAGAATATAGATACATATAAGAAGAAGAAGAAGAAGAAGAAGAAGAAGGGAGAGGAAGAACAACGAAGGAAAAGGAGAAGAATGAGAAGAAAGAATGAAAAAGAAGAAGAGAACAAGGGATGGAGGAGAAGACGAAGGAGTAAGCAAGAGTCGTTAACTTGATTGGTAAAGGATTTAAGCAAAACTTAGAGATCACATGATCGAGTGATGCTTATGATTAAACTAATATTACATGATGTGGTTTTGGACTTGCAGAGATTGCAGGCTTTGACCCAGACCTTCATGGTAATCCAAAAAATAAAGAAGAAGAAAAACAGAGAAAAATAAAACAAAGGATAAAAAGGAGAAGAAGAAGAACAAAAATAAATGAAGGGAGAGAAGAAGAAAAGATGAAGAAGAAGCCAGAGAAACAGAAAGAGAAGAAAAGAGAAAAAGAAAAACATAAAAAAAGAAACATATAATAGAAAAAAGAAGAGAAGAAAAACATAAAAAAAGTAACATATAATAGAAATGAAGAAGAAAGAATAAGAAGGGAGAAGGAGAAGAAAAAAAACTAAATACAATATTAAAAAACATAAATTTCATATAAAGCCAATAACATATCATCATATTTTACAATAACAACTCGTGGGTCTACAATATTGAATTAGTTGCACGTAACTTTTACTATCTTATTTTTAATTTTATATTTTTGTATTTACAAAATTTAATCTAAATCCTCATAATATATAAATAAATAATATATTATTAATATAACTATAGTTTTTTTTGTAAGAGGGGGTGGAAGAGACATTGTCTCCTGATTTTATTCAAAACATAAAAACCAGCTACACACAAACTCTTCTTGGACGCGCAGAACCGATCATATCGTAACTGAAAATCGAAACTAAACTAGGTGGAACCGAATCTAAAAACTGGACACCTAGATGAAGGAAAAAAACAGAGTTAGCTAATCCATCAGCAAGATAATTAGCTTTTCTGTTAGCAAAAAAAAACAATTAGTTTTTCTATACACATATAAAAAACAAACTATTAATTCTTTCGAAATAAAGTCATGATATATATATACCAGAAAACAATCTATCTTATAATATAATATATAATAAATCTTCTTATAGTACATAATTTAAATATTTATAAAATTTACTTCAAAAATCATATACCTGCGTCGCGTAAATCCAACATTTGAAAGAATTACAAATTTTTTAAAAATTTCAGTTTTAATACACTTTCTAATTTCTAATCTTTAGTTACGTGTAAGGCGCTTAAACTAATATAAATGTAAGTTTGTTTTATGTTTTGGCATCATAATCATATTCACTTTTCGACTTTAATTTAATTATAGTATTGCACCAAATATTTGAATTTTATTTCCTATCGAGTTGATCCCATCATATTTTGTGGATCAACCAGCTTGGCTTTGCTCTTTATCCAGATGTGCCACGTGGAGCAGCGTGTCAGTCAACATTCAACAACGACTCCAATCTCTCGAAGGAGAGGACAGGTTATCACCGGTGCTCCCGTTTTTTTTTACTTATTTTTATATTTCTTTTTTCGTCAATCTCCGACGTCGGCCGTTTCTTTTTGTTTTTTCCCCAACTTTTTTATTTCGGTAAAATAGACAAAAAAGAAAAGAGAAGAACATAAAAAGAGGTGATTCAATTGATTTCTCATTATGTGTTCAAAAACAAGATCGAGAGCTTAATCCAGAAGGAATCTGAATCGTTTTTCTCCATAGATGAGAATCGGCGGCGTCGAGATTATGCAATATGCGTCGGAGATGATGATGTCTTCATCGTCATCTTCGGCGGTGGAAGCGTTGAATCTCAAGGATGCTTCGAATTGGTGGTCGGACGTAAATGAGTCGCCGATTTGGCAGGATCGTATCTTCCATTTCCTCGCTATTCTCTACGGAATCGTTTCCATCGTTGCTGTGGTACGTACGTCTTTCGTTTTGCTTTACTTCTCTCGTTCTGGATTTTTTTGAAATCGTTTTGCTTAGGGATTTGGAGAAAATTGGTGTAACATCATCTGATTGAATTCTGAAGAGAGGAAATGAATGTTTGTTTTGCTAGATTCAACTTGTGAGGATCCAATTGAGAGTTCCGGAATATGGCTGGACGACGCAAAAGGTCTTTCACTTTCTCAATTTCGTTGTGAATGGAGGTTGGTGCTGCGAATTTGTTGATCTTCGGTGTGTTTTAGATTTTCTCTGTGTATCGATTCGTTGATTTTTGCTCATCTTCTGTTTCGCAGTCAGGGCTGTGGTTTTTGTCTTCAGGCGAAATGTGCAGTTCATGCATCCAGAGGTCAAAGGCTCCTTCATTATCAATCGTAATCTTAACATTTTTGACTGGTGTATGTCAACTTTTCTAAAATTTGTAAATCTTTTCTTGGAATATTGTAGATTCTGCAACATATCTTGCTTGATATTCCAAGTCTTGCTTTCTTCACCACCTATGCTCTTCTAGTCCTCTTCTGGGCAGAAATTTACTATCAGGTAAAATTAGTATGTAGTTTGGTAAGTTTCTTTGTTTTCTACAGTAGTTCTTTGGTTTTGATATTAACTCAAAAACATTCTTTAACTGGACAGGCGCGTGCGGTATCTACTGATGGACTGAGGCCAGGCTTCTTCACAATAAATGCAGTTGTGTATGTTGTTCAGGTATATATGTTTCCATGCAATCTTTAAGATATTTTTGAAACTTCAAAAATGAATTTTGTTTTTTGTGCATTACTTCCAGATTGCTCTTTGGTTGGTTTTGTGGTGGAAGCCTGTTCGAATTATGGTGGTCCTATCAAAGATGTTCTTTGCAGGTATATGCTTCGATCCTATTTCACACATGCATGTTTACACTAGATAGTACTTGTCTCATCTCTCTACTGAATATAATTACAGGTGCTTCATTGTTCGCTGCCCTTGGATTCTTACTCTACGGTGGAAGGTAAAGCTGTCGTCACTTTGAATATGTACTACAGTTGACATTACCGTAGTTTCTATCGTTACCAGTCAAATAATTTTGACTAGGGGTTGTGTTGCCGAGAGACACCATTGAGTGATGGGATCACAGATTGTGCCAATCACATTCACTTGCATTCTTGTTCTGCTTTGATCTCTGGCTAGTCTAGATTCCCATGGTGCTAAAGACGAATACATCTGCGAACCATTGAAAATTAGTATAGCCTTGCATTTAAGCTTTGTTTTGTGTCCTTTTATGTTTATCTTATGGCAGGCTTTTCCTAATGTTGCAACGGTTTCCAGTAGAATCTAAAGGGCGTCGCAAAAAGCTCCAAGAGGTGAAACATAAATTATACAAAAAATAAGTAGCGCGAATCAAGTCTTTACTACTTTCTGCTTATTGACTGTTTACTCCCTTATATCTCTTATGTATGATAGGTTGGTTACGTGACAACGATATGCTTTACGTGTTTCCTCATCAGATGTATCATGGTAAAGACACACACACACACACACACGCAAACAATCGTTGTGTTGAATTCTATAAATCCTTACCTTCTATGTTGGATTCTCTATTCTACTTTAGCCGGTTTTAGGATTAACAACTAACCAAAGCTTTGTTCATTCAAAATTTGTTTAGATGTGCTTTGCTGCTTTCGACGAGGGAGCAAACCTTGATGTGTTAGATCATCCTATCCTTAACTTCATATATTACCTGGTAAGCTCTCTCTTAGCTTAGTCTTAGAATCTGATCATGGATAGATTTATTATGCATATACAAACCGATTCTTTCCTGTTTATTATTGTGTGGTGGAAACCTGATCTTGTTGCTTAATAACAGTTGGTAGAGATATTACCTTCCTCTCTGGTCCTCTTCATCCTGAGAAAGCTACCTCCAAAACGAGGCATCACACAATACCATCAGATTCGCTGAAATGCCAAAACACAACAAACTAATGATCAGACGAAGAAAGGACCATCTTTCTTTTATCGGATATGCTTTTTCTGTATTCAATAGAGAAAAAAAAGCATAAGATACAAATGAAATAGATCTAAAGCTGTTCAGTCTTTTTGGTTTGATGATAGGAATGAATTCGCCTGAGTTTTGTAAAACTGGGTCTTGTAGTTTGTTCCCTTTTATATAGGTAATGTTGTAAAGAAAAGTATTAAAAGATTGTGCAGGTTTGTGTTGAAACCTACTTTACTTACCTCATCGTGGTCATATTAGCACTATTCTCTTTCGTGGCTTGATGATTCAATCAAATCTATCTTCTTAGTATAAAATTTGGAGTTTGAAGATGAGAAAGAGTATGGTGACAAAAAAAAAAAAAAAAAAAAAGAAGATGAGAAAGAGTAAGAACCAAGATGACGATGCTGAGTTTTGTGATCATGTTTTTATGGAGATTATAGTCAGGTGAGATGGAATGTTTTTATGGAGATTATAGTCCGGTGAGATCGAAGTACCTAACTTTTTATTGCAGTAAAATCAGTTGACTGGTTGGTTTGTCTGGTTTCTTTTACTTTTCAAATTGTATATGTTTTACTGTCACTTTGATTAAATCTGAAACGTCTAATGTCTCTATAGTTGATAAACTACCATCGGATAATTTCAAACATTTCGTTTTTCAAATATGTAAACTTGAGTTTCCCTCAAGACTTCTTTTTTTGTAAAAAGTGAAAGTGAGCAAGGATTTATAGACTTGTAGTCATATAAGTGACGTATAGGGTTACATCAGCTACAAATTGTAATGTGTATGTACATTGAATAACTTTCAAGTACGGATCATATATATTTCTCCCAAAGGCAACGCAAAGACAAAATATGAAAACCCAAAGGCTCAAATGGAATAGAAGTGGTCAATTAAGAGCAACTTAAAGATTCATAAGGCCCATAAAATTAAATTGGCATTCAAGAGAATTTCTGAAGCGATACAAAAAAGATAGAATGAAGTCTATATTATCATTTTGGTTTGATAACGGAAAACATCTTTTGGTCAGATCTTGGTAGATTTTTGTTGTTTGCCACTAGTGATTCAATCATGCAGAACTGCAAAGCTTATCTCTGAGTGGAAAGAGCAAGAAGAAAATTCATTTTGGTAGAGATAATCCAATATAAATACTGCCACCTTTGTTTTCATTGTAAATTGTAATTGTAAAGTTTTGAATGGTGGAAACTAAATAATTTTCAATAATTATGATGATGAGGTTTGTGTTAGTTTAATCAATTATTCAATCATAAAGATCTTTCCTCTCATGAAATCATAAAGTCCACTAGGGACATAGAAACATGTTGCGAATGAGAAGAGTATCTCTATAAGTTATAGAATATAACAAATAGACAAAACAAACAAACAAAATGAGAGGCAGACAATCGAATCAATGTTTTGAGTGCTGCAACTATAAATGCATGTTAGTGATCCTATCATATAAGCATTATATGAGTTTTAGTGCTCCTTTCTTTTTCTTTCTTGTACTTCGTTTGTCATATTTTTGGCTGTTTTCATGTAAGTTGGAAACAGACATAAGTGGACAGCTATCTTGACTATCAAAATATGTATCCAATTTTTATAATTATTACAAAAATTGCAAGTGTTTTAATTTTTCATTTCGTGCTCTTTGGGGAATTAGGAAATCAGTAGAAAGAAAACTGGACTATCTTAAAATTCAAACCTTTCCAGTGAGGCCAATGTTATATTTTGACCATACAAAGTCAAAATCTTTGAATTGGTTCAATGAATTGAAAAATATTTTCACACCCATAAATTAGGTTTAATGAAATGGCTTCTTAATGAACATTTGACTATAAGTTGGCCAAAAGGAATTCTTTTTTAAAAATGCCAAAAGAGGAATTTAGCTAACAAAATTAATATTTCTTTCAATAAAATCAGCCAAATATCAACAGAGACCCATAAAGCAAAACATTTTTTTTTTAAAAGAAATACTACAAAACATATCAACAAAAATCCATAAAGCAAGTCATAGAAAAAAAGTACAAAAATACAATTTTTTTATTCTGTGTTGCTTATTCACAAATCACAATGCTTGCTTGAGACACAGCCTTCTTCAAGAACTTCAGAAATTACAAAAACAGTTTCCAGTTTTCTCAGACATTGTATGTCTCAGTCTTTTATCTTCAATATCTAAAATTTGAATCACATACGGAGATTAAAAATTTAAAAATGAAAGAACGAAGAAACAAATTATTATTCTCTGGAAACTATGTACAAATGTATCCCAAAAGGTATGAAAATGTCACCCGAACAAAAAGCAACACTGCGTCTCTTGAAGATAAAACAAGCAGAGACATTGTTCTTGTTCTTCTTCTACACATCATCAAGCCAAGTGACTAACTCTTGACTCGTTGGTCTCTGTTTCGGGTTTTCGCTCAAACATAAACAAGCAACCTCAAGAACACGAAACATCTCTTTCTCATTCTCTTTCCCATGAACAAACGGATCAAAAACCTCACTTGCACGATTCTCATTCTTCATCCGAATCACCCACGAGATCAAATCTCTACCTCCTTTCGGTTTACACATATCAACCGGTCTTTTATCGGTTAAAAGCTCGAGAAGCACTACGCCGAAGCTATACACATCGCCCTTGTAAGTAGCAACCGAAGCTTGCCCATATTCCGGAGGAATGTAACCTAACGTCCCAACCAAATCAGTGCTTACATGAGTCTCATAAGGACTCATCAGCCTCGCGAGCCCGAAATCCGCTAAATGAGAATCGAAATTCTCATCTAAAAGAATGTTGCTCGACTTAATATCTCGGTGCAAGATATGAGGATCACAAGCTTGATGCAAGTAACATAATCCTTTCGCAGCGCCTCGAGCGATCTTAAGCCGTGTTCTCCAATCCAACAAAGCTGGACCGTCGTTACGCTCGTGTAGCCAATAGTCTAAGCTTCCGTTCTCCATATACGAGTAGATCAAAAGCCGGTCGGTTTTGTAGAAACAGAACCCTTGAAGCAGAACAAGATTCGGATGCTGTGCTCTCGAGAGTGTTTCAACCTCTGCCTTGAACTCTCTCTCGATTTGGCCGCAGTCTCCTGATAACCGCTTGATCGCGACTTTTCTCCCGTCCGGTAACGTCGCTTTGTAAACCAGACCGAACCCGCCACAGCCGATGATGTTAGCTTGGTCGAAGTTGTCTGTAGAGTCCAAAAGATCATCAAAGGAGAGGTCTTTATCATTGTTCTGAAACAGAACCACAAGCTTTGATCCAATCTCTTCGATCTCTTTACGGTTCATGCTCTCTTCTTCAATCTCCGGATCAACTTCCCCTGACCTTCTACGAGCACGAAGCACTATCAAAGCGAGGAGAGTGAGGAGGAAAACAGAACCCAACGCGATCCCAACCGCCATCCCAATCTCAGCGCCTTTGGCTCTTCTTGAATGTTTCTTGATCGATGTCGTTCCATCAGAGCTTCGATCCATAGCATCCGCGGAACAGGGGAGCCTGTGTTCGCCGCATAGATCGTTAAACTCGAAGCTCGAGTTAGGGAACGTCTGAAACTGACCACCGGAAGGGATTCTCCCCGAGAGATTGTTACTAGCGACGCTGAATTTCGACAGAAACGAGAGTGCTTGCAGAGAAACCGGGATGGTTCCCGAGAGATGGTTGTTCGAAAGATCAAGAACTTCCAAGCTTGTCATACCGGAGAGCGAGCTAGGGATTGATCCGGACAAATTATTCCATTTCAGATCAAACACATGGAGCTTCTTCAGTTTACCAAACTCATCCCAGATAGGTCCAGAGAGATTGTTGTGACCGAGCTCAATCGTTGGCGGGAACCCGAGAATCTGATTGTACTGCAAAGCTCTCGCACTCTCGTTCCTCTTCATGAAGAAAGGAAAATCCGGAGATGGTTCGTTCACTGAGATACTTCTGCTGGTGAGGCTCTGCAAATTCGTCAGGCTCTTTGGGATTTGTCCTGTAAACGAGTTGTTGGATAAGTCCAAGTAGAAAAGATCCTTGAAATCACCGATCCAGGTCGGTATAGCTCCGGTTAATCGGTTCCAAGAGAGATCCAACAGCTGAAGGTCGTTGCTCGAGCTTAACCATCTCGGCATCGAACCGGTGAGCTTGCAATTCGCAACGACGAGCACCTTAAGCTTCTCGAAACGAAGAACACTCGAGTCATCGGGTAAAGCCTCACCATGGAAGTTCAACGTGAGAACAAGAGTCGTCAGGTTCTTGCAGTTCTGCAGGATCCTAAGCGCTGATGAGATATTTTCCAAGCTCGAGTTCGATAACGAGAAGTAAGAGAGGCTCTGGAAGTTCTTGAAGCTCTCTGGGACTTGTCCATGGAAGGCGTTTCGAGCGAGGTTAACGTTCCTTAACCGCTTGCAAACCGGGAGATTCTCAGGCAATAGCCCTTTGAATCTATTGGTACCGAGATCAAGAGAGTTTAAGGAAATCATCGCCGTGCAGTTCAACCGCAAAGGACCGGTTAACGAGTTGTTCCTCAGGTTAAGCAGATTCAACGACCCTGAATTCGCCAGCGATTTAGGGATTCCTCCGGTGAAGCTATTGGTCTGAGCTAATAGAAACTTTAACTGAGGCATTTTGTCGAACACGTCGGGGATTTCGCCGGAAAACCGATTCGATGAAACGTCGAGACGAACGAGGCTGGAGAGGTTATTAATCGCAGGACTCAACAACCCAGAGAGACGATTCTCTTGAATCCCTAAAAGATTCAAACTTTTGAGATGAAACAAATCCGCAGGGATGTTACCGGTGAGATTGTTCATGCCCAGACAGAGATGCTCGAGCAAAGCGCATTTCCCGAACCCAGAAGGGAAATCTCCGGCGAAATAGTTCACCGCCAGTTTCACAATCCTGATTTGACTGGAGTTGTGGCAGATATGCGACGGAAGCGAGCCGTTGAATCCATTGGAGGAAAGATCAAGGCTTTGCAGCGACGGGAGGTTTATGCTCTTTGGGATTTCTCCGGAGAGATCGTTAGAGCTCAAGTCAAGGCTTTGCAGCGACGGGAGGTTTATGCTCTTTGGGATTTCTCCGGAGAGATCGTTAGAGCTCAAATCAAGGGTCTGCAGATTCGCCAAGCTGAATATCGAGAGAGGGATCGAGTCTCTGATGAAATTATGAGAGAGGTTAAGAACCCTAATCTGATCCAGCTTCCCGAGGGAATCAGACAACTTCCCCGACAGCTTTTTGCTCCCGAGCTCCAGTTTAGTGACCCTTCTGGTTTTGTCTGGATCGGTAGAGGAGGAATTGCAGGTGATTCCGGTCCAGCTGCAGCAATCTCCTGCTCCGTCCTTGACCCAGCCATCTGGTTTTGGTTCGAGGTTGGCTATGAAGTCACGCAAGGCCTCGAGGTCAAGTGTGTGGCACGTGAAGGACTGAGATTCCGAGGCCCAGAAGCATAGTAGCTCTGTGAGGAAGATGACGATCACCCACAACCGATGAATACGCATTTCAAGGAGTGAATAAGAAATTTTATTTAAAAAGAAAGAAACTTTGAGATACAGTTTTTTTTCAAAGACAGAGAGACAGATAGAAGGAGAAGAAGACAGAGAGAAGGTGGTGTACTTTCAATCAAAATTCAATGAAGCCCTTGAGAAATCTGAGAGGATACATCATAGGTTTTCTGATTCTCGCCATTTTAGATGATGATCAATGAAGAAGAAGCCAGAGAGAGAGAGAGAGAGAAACAAAAAGAGACGAGAGAGCAAAATGGCGACTTTTGACTTCAACACGCTACAGCAAGTGGTGGGTGCTTAAATGCAGGCTCCTAGAGAGAGAATCAGGAGAGAGAATCAGGAGAGAGAAGTGGTATTGTGTTTGGTTTTTTTCCTCTCTGTATTACTGAAACAGTATATTTAACCCAAAAAGAAAAACAATTTCTTCGCGATTGGTAGAAGAAGCTTGTTAATAAAAGATTCGTTTCCTATATGACGGTCACTAAATAGTAATTTAACAATAATGAATACAACTGATTTTGATACATGTCTTTATATTATTATATGCCCGTTATGGAAATTTTGTCCTTTTTTTTATTTCAAGGCCCGTTATAGAAATTTCGTTTTTTTTTTGTTTAACTATCATTGGAGGTCATTTAGAATTACTGGATTATATGAAGAAGTCCTAATCAATAGTTTTGACTTAAGAAAGTCTTTATTTATTTTTTTCTAAATCTTTCTTTGAATAATTGTTGTTCTAGGCTTCTAGCATTGGCCTTCAACGGGTAGACGGAGGAAAATTTGGAACGATTAATGAATAATGAAAATGATCGAACTTAGAAAAATATATGCAAATGGCAAAAAATATGACTTTTTCTTTTTTTGGCATAAGTGTTCCTTTTATTTTACATTTTTGCTTTCATTAGCAAACGGTTCATTTAAAAATATATCTTTTTTTAATAGATGTTCCTTTAAAAGTTTTTTTTGCAAGTGGTTAATTTATGTATTTAGATTTGTTGATATGTTTAATTAAAAAATGACCGGAGAAGGAGGGAGTAACCGGTTAGGTCAGCTTGAGGAATAAAGATGAGGACAAGAAGATAGATAGAAGTCAAAGCACGGACGTTGACACCTTGCATCTCTCTTCTCAACTGCAATATTGTTTTTCCAATTACTTTATTTATATCTTTCTTTTGCAAGTTGGTATCATATATTAATGAATGAAAATAGACCTACAAGATATTCTTAATTTCCGATAAAAAAGCTTCGGCAAATATCTTCTCTATGTAACATGCTCCAAAGAGGAAAGTTATCGACCTCATTTTTGTTTTTGGGTTAAAGAAATTTCCAAGAGCTCTTGCATGATCTTGTATATATATATATGTTCGAATCAATATGTTATATTTCCGATAAAATTATAAAAACTATTTTACTACACATATATATACACGTTTTTTACATTATAAAACTATACAAGTGTCCATTTTTAATTTAACAAAAAAAATTGAAAACAAAAATATTAAATCTTCTTTTTTTGCCATCAACAATTGTACGCTAAATTTTAAATCACTTTTTATCGCTAAAATCCACCATCATTTACTATTTAAATTATACAGGATTCGAGTAACTACATCTGGCAGTTGGAAAATGGATTCTCTTATAAATAACATACGTTATGGCTCGAAACCGAAAAATATGTATAAATCAATAGTTTCATTTTTTGGATGTTCAAAAAAGGGTAAAAGGAAACAAATTCTCATTTTTTGACCAAAAGAAAACAAAAACAAATACAAAAACACAAAGTCGTCTCACACTTTTTTGCCACAATATATTTCTCAAAGAACAAATAGGTTGTATACACAGCTTTCTTTAATGTTTTACTTGATTTGAAAGTAATTGCGGACAATGTAGGTGAATGGTGAAATGAACATAGACATGAAAGACTATTCCTGAATAAATTAATTAGCCTACATTCAAAGTTGGTTTAACAAAAAAAAAGAATTATAGTGTGTGCATGATCTTTCATAAAGAGGTTAAATATTGTTTTACGTAGAAAGTTAAGATACGATTCCACGTTAACAATAAAATATTGAAGTCGATATCTATAATGAAGGAGACAGTCAAAGCATGTGACATCGACTATTCAACCCTATATTCAATCTTCCATACCATGTGGTCGTAATGGATCTTTCATTATCGATTCGTTAGAGACTTCTATATATCTTGTAATAATGTAGTTTTTAAGTCTTTTAAACAAAAAAAAAATCAATAGTGATCGTTTCCGTTCGAGACTTCTATCTTGTATTAGTAGTCTAAATAAAATCAAGTTGTTTGGTTTTACACTTCTATATATATAATCTATAGTAGTTTCATAAAATACTACGTACAAACGACACAATTTCTCAACTCTTTTTCCTAAACAACATGTTTTATACGTGTTGAAACTCGAATGACAATGACACATCAATAGCACTATAATCACAATCAACTAGGTTACACGTACTCTAGCTCAATATTATTCATTTATCCTAATCACTGAAGATTGTCTACGTAATGAGCAACTTAGACCATAATTATTTTGTAAAGGCCTTTGAGCCCAATAAATGATGAAATTTTGATGGGCCCACTTATACTTGCTTAAATTTTGTTAGTACTTTTATAGCACACAAAAGCCTTAAATTTTGTGTTGTCATTATATAATAATAGCTCAAGTAACCTTACACATAACATAATTAAGGTAACCTTAAATTTTGTGTTGTCAATAATAAATCATAATTTTGGTGGATAAACGATCTACTACAGTCATCTTTTTTATTTTTGCCGGCAACTTTAATTTGATTAAAAAGCCCACTAGGCAAAAGACAGTGATACAAAGATGCAGCCCAATAGAATTAAAAACAATACGTGTGATGCAACAGTTCCAAATTCAAGGACTTGCGAGCGTAATAAGCCAATCCCGTCGTGAGCCGGTCTCTTGGCTTCAATCGCCGGCGATGCTGTCTACAATATGTTCGAGTAGATTTTTTACATCTCTCAAAAATACCCAAAAAAACAAACAAAGAAAAAAAGTAACACAAATAGTAAGAAAAGCTTCTGTCATATATTATTGAGTTCTTCGCAATCAAACGCACAAGTGGTAACACGAGAGAGCTAATTATCAACTTTTTTGCTTTTCATACCAAAAACTTTCAACCTGTTAAACAAACTCTAGACATGAAACTCCTGTTCATACTTTCAAACAACACAAGTTTGATCATTTCGTCACCACTTTTTCTTCTTTCACAGGCCTAATCTCGATTCCCTGGAAAACCAAACCACTCTTCCAATGTCCCATCTGAGTCTCCATAAGAGTAAACTCAATCTCATCACCATCACCACAACCCACATCGTTAATCTCAAACTTGCCAAGCTTCACTTCACTCCACCCATCTCCTCTCTCCTTAGGCTCCTCCACAACATTCCCACCAGCCTCCTTCTCTCCTTCAACCTCTTCCTCCCTCGGCATCCGCATCCATGGACGCCTCGTCCTAAACGCTCTGGACACCGCCGCGTGCGAGACCCCCGTGTTACGGTAACCGCCGCGTGGATCCCTGCCTCCAGGTTCGAGAAACACGAATGTTTTTGTAGCTTCTTTTCCTACAAAACCGACTCCAGCTTCAATGGGCGTGTGGTCGAAACCGTGTGATCTATTGTTTGCTCTCTTGAACACTGCGTAGACCGAGTAATGTGTCCCTTTTGACAGCATTCTGCAGCTTATCTTGCCGCGAATCTCGAACCAACACACATCACGAAGCTCTGCTACTTTCTCAAACCTGATTCACACACAGAAGAAAGAACAATTTCAGAAAACAGAGCAAGTACGTAAGTAAGCAAGCAAGTGAAATTTTCTTACTTAGATTCAGGAACAGTGTTCCACTGCCAATAAGCAGGAGAATCTCCCCATATGATTGTTAAATCCATCGCAGATATCATGTAACACTTCTTTCCGCTAGATTTCTCCACCCAAAAGCTCTGAATTTTCTCCCCAAAATCAGGAATTAGAACTTCAACTGGTAAAATAAAACCCTAATTTTCAACATTCTGTTAAAAAATTTACCTTTTTGCCGTCATCGATCAGAACGGAATCATCAGCGAGAGAGAGATACATCTCCTTCTTCGACGAGCAATTCAGCGATCGAGGAACAAGAGATGCATACTCCGGCGGAATAAACGTCTCCCAGACCAAATCCGATTGAGCCGCCGATTTAATGGTTTTCGAAACCGAAGCCACAACGCAAGCGTCGCGTGGAGTAGTATGAGAGATTACCATAGAGATGCAATCTTCCGGTAGAGTATCGAGTCGCGGCGATGCTCCGACCAAAACATTCCCGTCGCTCCGGGTACTTCCTCCGCCGCAGAAATTCGAATCTCCGACTTGAATTTGCTCCATAGCGTTCGAATCTGATGTTTTTTTTTTGGAATCTGATGTGTATTTAAGTGAAAGAGAGTATCTTAAGAAACGGTGTGTTGTGTTGTGAAGCGTGGAAAATGAAGTGGATATTTATAAATCGGTTTCGTGATTCGTGTGAATGACTTACTTGTTAAGATTTAATTTTTATTTCCCGATAATACCCTTATAAGTGTAATAACGTCCTCGAATAACTTTTTTTTAAAAAAAAATCAAATTAAAAAGTTTTGGCCTTTTATCTAATCAGCGAAAGCAGCCAACTTTTTGTTTCGTGTCATGAGTTTCGTGTTTATCTTACTTATGAAGTCTTCGCAACGGGAGCATAACAAAATTAAATTATTTAGAAAGTCAAATAATTCATAAATTTGATCAATCTTTTGTTTAAAGACCAGATCATGTTAGTTAATTTTACTCATTTGTTATTCTAACGCTATTATTCTCGGCTAAGTAAAGTGTACAAAAGAGCATTGTGTTTTGTAGAAGAATTTCTTTATTTATGGAGTTTGTGAGAATGATAATATGTTTTAAAAACACAAGAATTTCTTTCTATATTGAGTTTGTGAGAATGATGAAACATCAAAAATCATTCAAACAAACATAACAATCCAAAAACTTAAAAGATTCAACAACATTACAACACAACAAAGCTCTTGATCACTTGCTTAGACATGAAAACTGAAGCAAACCAAGCATAAACCAGAAAATCATTGAATCAAAAACCAGTCGGATATAACAACTTTAAAGGTTTTCGTAGGGCAAAATTCAATTCCTTGAATTATGAAATCACGTTTCTAATAAAAAGATTTAGGGGTTGAATAATATGTTGTTTTTTTTTACGTTTTCAAGTTTTAAAAACATGATTCTATTAAATACATATCATTTATAATATTAAATACTGAATGATTAAAAAATAAAAAATAAAAAATAAACACACTATTTTTTAATTCATCTTATACGTTTAAAATTTATAACTAGTTTAGAGAAAAAATTATTCATCTAATAAATACTAATTTTTAACGTTTTGAATTTATTTAATTTTTGGTTTATCTATTAATTACACTAATTCATTATTCAACTATTCTACTATCCATCTATTAAATTTAATATACCATTCAAATCCTTAATCTCAACAACACTCACAGAAATATCATCACAACAAGGCTTCACTAAAGAACTCACTCACCAAGCTCAGCTTCCATCCACCCATCTTTAACACACAAAAAAAAGAATAATAGTGTGTGCTTGATCAATAAAGAGGTTAAATATTGTTTTACATAGAAAGTTAAGATACGATTTAGTAAAAGAATGAAGAAGTTACGATACGATTCCAAGTTAACAATAAAATACTGAAGTCGATATCTATAGTGAAGGAGACAGTAAAAGCAAGTGATGACATCGACTATTCAACCCTATATATTTAATCTTCCATACCATTACCATGTGGTGTGGGTCGTAATGGATCATTCATAATCGTTTTCGTTAGAGACTTCTATGTTGTATCAGAGCATCTAACATTGCTAATCTTTTAATGAATCTTTTAATAAACAATTAATAGTAATATTATATTAAGTATATATGATTTTGAATTATATAAAATCAAAGTTTGAGAGATTTTTTCAAAGTTTTTTTTTATCTAATTAACCGATATAAAATTTTATGGCTATTACGAAGATAATATACTATCATTTGGAGAAAAAAAAACTTTATGTTATGTATTCTATGGCTATTACAAAAATAATATATTACAATATCATTTAAAGATAGAAAAATAAAATTGATATGAATATCTTCTATTATTATATAGGTAAAAATGATCTTTTCAAATGATTCATTATTTTTTCTTTTTTCTTTTTTAATGAGTACAATGATTTAATAAGATTATATTTTTAAATTGTCATTAGCCGAGACGGCTAAGTTAGCATGAATCAAAACCTCACACAATTCAAGGACTTGCGAACGTAACGACATCGCTTAAGCCTATCCCGCCGTGAGCCTGATAGATTAAAGCTTATCCCAACTTTTGTAAATGAATTAAAGAAAGATAGATCGAAGAAGAAATGATACTTTTATTAAATCAAACTCATAAATCCAAAGAATTACAAAACTGACTCTGATCGCCAATGATATTCATCACTGATCACATCGATCAGTTTGAACTGCACATCCCAAATTCACTTTACCAAATAATTCTTTCGATAGAACCAAAACAATGCATACACCAGTGGATTTTTTACATTTCTCTTGAAAATATCCAAAATAACAAACTAAGAAAAAACTAACACAAATAGCAAAACAAGCTTCTGTCATATATTAAGTTCTTCGCATTTAAACACACAAATGGTACACGAGAGAGCTAAACTCTCAACTTTTTGCTGTTATTTTTTTTTTTCTTTCTGTTCAACAACTTCTTGCTTTTCATACCAAAGTTAAACAAACTCCAGACATTGAAGTCCAGAAGCTTTAAACCTCCTGTTCATACTTTCAAACAACACAATTTTGATCAGATGTTGTCGAAATTTTTGATTATTTAGTCACCACTTCCTCTTCTTTCACAGGCCTAATCTCGATTCCCTGGAAAACCAAACCACTCTTCCAATGTCCCATCTCAGTCTCCATAAGAGTAAACTCAATCTCATCACCGTCATCACAACCCACATCGTTAATCTCAAACTTGCCAAGCTTCACTTCACTCCACCCATCTCCTCTCTCCTTGGGCTCCTCCACGACCTCCTTGGGCTCTTCCACAACCTCCTTCTCTCCTTCAACCTCTTCCCATGACCCCGCCCCAAACCCTTCGTACACCGGCACGAGCGAGTCTCGCAAGAAATCAGGAAGGTCGGGAACCCTATCGGAAGGCTCGAGAAACACGGATGTTTTGGTAGCTTCTTTCCCCACAAACCCGACTCCAGCTTCCACATGCACGTGGTCGAACCCGTGTGATCCATCGTTTGCTCTCTTGAACACTGCGTAGACCGAGTAATGTGTCCCCTTTGAAAGCATCCCGCAGCTTATCTTGCCGCGAATCTCGAACCAACACACATCACGAAGCTCTGCTACTTTCTCAAACCTGATCCACACACACATAATACAAGAGTATGTGAAGCTTCATTTGCACAGTTTCAGAAACAGAGGATATAATAAGTTAAAAAGTTAAGAACTTACTTAGATTCAGGAACAGTGTTCCACTGCCAATAATCAGGAGAATCTCCCCATATGATTGTTAGATCCATCGCGGACAACATGTAACACTTCTTTCCGCTAGATTTCTCCAACCAAAAGCTCTGATTTTTCCCCAAAATTTGACAGTCAAAATCAAGAATTCGAACTTGAAGTGGTAAAATAAAACCTTAACTTTCAATATTCTCGAGTCGGGTTTTGTTAAAAATTTAACCTTTTTGCCGTCATCGATCAGAACGGAATCATCAGCGAGAGAGAGATAAACCTCCTTCTTCGACGAGCAATTCTTCGATGCATACTCCGACGGAAGAAACGTCTCCCAGACCAAATCCGACTGAGCCGCCGACTTAACGGTTTTCGAAACCGAAGCCACAGCGCAAGCGTCGCGTGGAGTAGTATGAGAGATTACCATAGAGATGCAATCTTCCGGCAGAGTATCGAGTCGCGGCGATTCTCCGCCGACCAAAACAATCCCGTCGATCCGGGGACTTCCTCTGTCGCAGCAATTCGAATCTCCGACTTGAATTTGCTCCATAGCTTTCGAATCTTTGGGATCTGATGTGTTTTTTTAAGTGAAAGACAGAGTATCTTTTAAGAAACTGTGTGTTTTGTGATTGTGTTGTGAAAGCGTGGAAAGCGAAGTGTGGATATTTATTTGTAAATCGGTTTCGTGATTCATGTGAGAATGAATGACTCAATGACTTACTTGTTAAGATTTAATATTTATTTTCCGATAATACCTTTATAAGTGTAATACTGTAACGTCCTTTTTTTTTATCTAATTAAAAAGTTTTGGCCTTTTATCTAATCAGCAAATCAACCAACTTTTATTTCGTGTTTTACCTTACGTATGAAGTCTTTCTTACGACATACGTTTCTATAATAAATTAAAATTATTTAGAAAGTCAATAATTCTTAAATATGATGAATCTTCAAGTATTAAAGACCAGGTCATGTAGATAATATTTTACTTATTTGTCTTTAATCTCTATTATTCTTGGCTAAGTAAAGTGTACAAAAACAATGCAGATAGGTTAAAAGAAAAAAAAAAAATCTTTCTTGAATTTGCTCATATGAGTGATGAACATAAACATCAAAAAGTAAAAACCCATATTCACAAACATTACAATCCACAAACTTTCAAGATCCGAAAACATTAACATACAAAAGCTTCTCACTTGCTCAGACATTAAACTGAAGCAAACAAGCATGAACCGGAAAAATCATTGAACCGGAAACCGTTATTCATGTGTGAATGATGAACATCAAAACCAAACAATACAAACATAACAATCCAAAAACTAACAAGATTCAAACAACATTACAATACAACAACGCCTTTTATCACTTGCTTAGACATGAAAACTGAAGCAAACAAGCATATCTATAAACCGGAAAATCATCGAACCAGAAACCAACCGGACATAGCTTTAAGGGTTTTTCGTAGGTCGGAACTCGATTCCTTGAATGATCAAGCCACGTTTCCAATAAGGAGACTTAATCTCAACAACACTCACAGAAATATCATCACAACAAGCTTCATTGTACAACTCACCAAGCTCAGCTTCCATCCACCCATCTTCCCTCTCCTCAGGCCTCGTCACATCTCTCGTTTCTCTGTCTCTCCTTCGACCACTAGGCCCGACAAAATATATCAGCTTCTGACTAGATTCTTGTCCGACCAATCCAACTCCAACTTCCACAGGAACATCACCTAATCCAGGACATCCGTTCTCTGTCTTGAACACGATGTAAACCGAGTAACGAGTTTTAGGAGACAAGTAACGAGTATGCATCCCCGCACGAATCTCAAACCAACATACGTTCAGTAGCTCTGCTATTTTTTCAAACCTGACATTACAAACATCATCATCATAAGAATGAGCATGAGTGATTTACAAACGAATGTAACGAAGAAATAAATAAAAAAGGAGTTATATATATATATATATATATATATATATACCTAGATTCAGGAATTGAAATCCATTGCCAATATTGAGGACTACTTCCCCATGTGATCCACACTTCCTTGGAAGATAACATAATACATCTTTTCCCACTCGCTTTCTCTAACCAGAAGCTCTTTGGTTTTAGGGAAGATAACAAAAAAAAAACACATAAAACCTCAAAAAAATCAGAAATTACACCAAATTCTCTAACCAAGCACAATAAAAAAAAAAAATCAGATCCTTGTAGAAATTTTCTTGAATTAGGTTGAATCACATCCTTGTTCCCATAATTCTCTAACTTAAAATCTATGAAATCAGATTGAATCACATAGCGCTCTCAGATATAAGACTTGATGATTCCATGCATTAATCTCAAATCATATAAAAGAAGTGCAAAAATGATTAGTAGATATACACACATAATTAATATACCTTTTTGCCATCTTCGATAAGACGAGGATCGTCGCAGAGAGTGCAATAGATCTCCTTCTTGGACGAGAAAACTCGCGACGGAGGAAGCAGAGATAGATACTCCGGCGGCAGAAACTTCTCCCATACACTATCAGACTTGATCGCCGATTCAAAGGTTTTCGAAACAGAGGCGGCGACGCACGCGTCTCGTGGACTTGTGAAGGAGATTATGTTGGATATGCAATCCTCCGGCAAGGTATCGAACGGTGACGGTTCCGAGATGTTGATGATCTCTCCGCCGCCTTCGCCTCTAGATTCAACGCCGTGATTTTGCACCATCGTTGCCTGCATCATCTGAATCACAATCGCTTGCGTCTGGAGTTTTGAGAGAGCCCTTAAGACTTTTTGATAAATAATAGACTCGTAAAGTTCTGTGACTCTTTCTTTAAAGTCGAATCTCTGTGATGAAACGGTGAAAGAATGAATTAAGAAAGAAATAATCGTACGTGTATAGTCGTCTCCACATATTTACCAAACTACCCTTCTTTCCGCGTGCGTCTCTCGTCTTTCCTTCACGCTGCATGTTTTTTACGGTTGGTTTTCTTAAAACCAAAATTTAAGTAATTATTATCAATTAATTAATTTTTGAATCATCACAAAAATAGTTTTTCATATTCAAATGTGATATATTAATATTTTAGAGCGGATCTACTTTTTGAACTAGTGAATATGCATGGATGGATGGAAGCAATGAACAAACTAGAAAAGTTCAAACAGAAGTTTGAAATGTGTTATCATGGATCGTTCACAAAAATAAACTGGTTCATGTGTAATAATAGCTGCTTAATTAATTTTTAATATTCATACTTACACGATGAATATGATATTTATATTTTTTACTTAGTTTGACAGTAATATATCTTTTCATCACCAAATTAAAACCATCAAACAAAACCATCAGTACTAACCATCACTTTCGAGCTTAACTTTTAGCAACCTTCTTGTTTTGCTTATCATAAAAAAAAAGCACTAATATTGTTTAACTGAATACACTTGTATCACATCTTCACTCCATCGCAAAACCAGTTTAATTATGATCAATAACACCATTAAATGTAGCATGGTCGATTAAAAATTAGTGTTGAGTCATTACAACAACCGGACATTCGAAGGACGGATTTCAATTCCTAGAACGATCAAGCCACGCTTCCAATTAAGCACCTTAGTCTCTGAAGCACTCATCACAACTTCATCACAATTCATTAATCCTCCTTCGTTGAAGAACTCACCAAGCCCTATCTCCACCCATCCATCTTCTCTCTCGTCTGGTTTCACTAGATCCCTCCATGCCCTCCCTCCATCATCAAAACATACGAATCTTGTAGAAGCTTCTTGTCCGACCAATCCAACTCTAGCTTCTATGGGCATACTGTCAAAGCCAAAACATTGATCCCATCTCTTGAACACAATGTAAACCGAATAACGAGTTCTTGGTGATAGGACTCGAGTATTTATCCCACCACGAATCTCAAACCGATATGTATGTTGAAGCTCTGCAACACTTTCAAACCTGATCACGTGCAACGTTTTACAGCAGTTTTCATCAAACACGAACGAGTTGTTTAGAACTGAATTAACGCAAAGATAATAATGAGAAAAAGGGTACCTAGATTCAGGAATTGTAATCCAATCCCAATACTCAGGGTCATCTGCATCTAAGATTGAGAGGTCCATTGCTGATAACATGATACACCTCTTCCCAGTGGCTTTCTCTAACCAGAAGCTCTTTTTTTATTCTCCGTAACAAAAAGCCCAAATAATCAGAATTCAGGACTATTCAATAGCAACACACGTTACAACTTCAAAGTTACACCAAACTTATCCAAAAATATTGCTGAAATTTTCTGAAAGAAAACTTTAGTCACATCCTTTGTAGTCACAATTCTCATAATTATATACACAAATTGCAATTTAAAGGCGAGGGACAGATCACTTTTCTCAAATCCAATAAACAAAGTGCCAAAATAATGAAAAAGGTGAAAAAAATGGTGAATGGGATATATATATATATATACCTTTCCGCCATAGTCGAATAGAACAGGTTGGTCGCATAAAGCAAAATAGAGCTCCTTCTTCGATGAGAAATCTTGCCATTGAGGGACCAAATAAGAATAATCTCGCGGAAGAAACTTCTCCCACACGATATCGGACTTAACCGCCGATTCAAAGCTTTTCGAAACCGTGGCAGCCACGCAAGCGTCTCGTGGACCTGTAAAAGAGATTATGTTGGAGATGCAATCCTCTGGAAAGTTATCGAACGGTGATGGGATTGGCCGGGAGATGACGATCTCTCCTCCGGCTTCGCCTCTAGATTCAACGCCGTAGTTTTGCTCCATCGTTGACTTTATATCGCTCAATAATCCCGTCTCAAAGGTTGAGAGGCTTTAAAAAATCGTTTTAAAGTAGTATCTGCCGCGTAATATCCAAAAAGAAAGAAAGAAAGAAAGACTTAATGTAAAGTCGTCCGTATGTAATTACGAAACTAGTCTTCTTTGCATCATTGTGCACGTTTTGTTTCCTCAGTACTGTTTAATCATTACTGTTGGTTTTGGTTTTTGGAAATATTCTAACTAACAAAGTCAACTCACAGGTTTTAGCTAGACATAGAATAAAACACTGTTTTCTTTTCTCTATCGAATTCGTTCATGTGAGAATGATAACTAAACATCTTTTTTTGTTCCTTAACTTGATTCTTAGACATGTGATAACAAGAGCATAACCGGGATTATTGTAAAGTGTAAACCGGTATTACATTTTTCACAGGCCGGAATTCAATTCCTTGAATGATCAGTCCACGTTTCCAATAAGGAGATGTGATATCAACAATACTCAGCTCAATTTCATCACAACCCAATGATAATCCTCCTTCATTGAAGAATTCCCCAATCTCTGCTTCTTTCCATCCATCTTGTCTCTCATTTGACCTCATTAGCTCTCTCCTTCCCCACCTTTTTATTCTATCCCTAGACTCATCAAAGCATATGAATTTTTTTGTAGCTTTTTCTCCCACCAAACCAATTACAACTTGTATGGGCAGATCTCGGAATCCATGACATCCGTTTCTTGTCTTGTACACAACGTAAGCCGTGTAATGAGTTCTCGGTGATAAGATTCGAGTACTCATCCAACCACGTATCTCGAAAGCACATACATCAAGAAGCTCCGGTACTTCTTCAAACCTTTCAACATTTTCCCCCATCATCATAAATCATCATGCATTATGTAATTAACAATCGATCTTAACTAGAAAAAGGAGTTATACCTAGCTTCGGGAATTGAGATCCACTGCCAATACTGAGGACTATTTCCCCATGTGATTGCGAGTTGCCTCGCAGATAACATGATACACCTCTTCCCACTCGCTTTCTCTAACCAGAAGCTCTTTGTTTATTTGTTTTCCAAGTAAAGAAAGTCATTTAATCAGAAAATTATAATAATTAAATTTGCATCACTATTTTAATAACTAGATATACGTACCTTTTGTCCGTTTTCGATTAGAACAGGGTCATTGCACAAAGAAAAATAGAGATCCTTCTTTAACGTGAAAACTTGCGACCCAAGAATAAGAGATGAATACTCCGGTGGAAGAAACTTTTCCCATACGCTATTGGACTCGATCGTTGATCTCAAGGTTTTCGAAACAGAAGCTGCAACGCACGCGTCTCGTGGACTTGTAAGAGAGATTATGTTAGCGACGCAATCCTCCGGTAAGCCATCGAAAGGTGAAGAAGACTCGGAAACGATATTCTCTCCTCTCATTTTAATTACCGACAGAAACCAATGCCGAGCTTTTGTTCCATTGACAAACAAAAAACATCAATAGAAGCTGAGAGATATCTAGACTAAAAGTACACACTTCTGACTTTTCTAAAGTCGCCCCCATGTATTTACGAAAATACCCTCGTTCGCATAATTGGCACGCACGTCTCTCCTCGCAAGTCGCAGCTCCATGTTTTACTGTTTAAAAATAGAAATATATAAACTAACAAACCAATAGAACCGAGTATTACAGACCTATTGGATGGTTGTCAACTATAAGTCTGTGCTACTTGGTCAAAATTTTTTAAAACTCAGAAATAGAGAGCGGCAAAGCAAGAAAAAAAAAAAATCTTCTAGCTTCCGAATATTTTTGTTCATAAATTTGTTTGTGCAATTATTTCTTGCTTTAAAATTTAAATCGTTTTCTTGGGGGATTTGTTTTGGGATTAAACTCCTACTACAACTATGCATTTCTTTAATTTTGAATTCATCAATGAAAATTATTTATGCATCTCATAATAATTCAGTTTTTTATATGAATTATATTTTGAGACAAAAAAAAACCTAAAGAAGTTAGAAACCAAAGAACAACCTTGACGAAAACACAAAACCTAAAATCATCAAACGATTCTTCCATGGCAAGAAACAAGTATATATTACTTTTACAGGCTTTTTGTAGGTCGGAACTCTATTCCTTGAATGATCAAACCAGACTTCCAATAAGGAGACTTAATCTCAATTACACTCAACTCAATTTCATCACAACAAGCTTCATTGCAGAAATCCCCAAGCTCCGCTTCCATCCACCCATCTTCCCTCTTGTTTGGTTTCATTACATCTCTCGTTTCTCCCCTTTCTTTGCGAGCATCCATATCCATGTACCCATCAAAGTAGATGAGCTGTTTAGGAATATCTTGTCCAACCAAACCAACTCCGACTTCTACAGGCAAATCCGCCAAGCCAGGACATTTATCCACCGTCTTGAACACAATGTAAGCCGAGTAACAAGTTCCAGGGGATAGGAGACGAGTATTGGTTTTGCCACGAATCTCAAACCACCATACATTCAGAAGCACTGCCACTTTTTCAAACCTACATGACACATAAATATGCATATGGTATAACATCTTTCCTGCTTTGATTATAATTTTATGAATCATTGCAAAAGTTATTAATGCTTAAGATAAACCTGAAAACAAACAAAAAGGAATTAATTATACCTAGATTCAGGAGTTGAAATCCATTTCCAATGTTGAGGACTGTTTCCCCATGTGATCACGAGTTCTTTCGTAGATAGCATGATACACTTCTTCCCACTCGCTTTATCTAACCAAAAGCTCTTTGATTTTTGGAAATCAAAAAAAGAAAATGTCAAAGAATCAGAAAAAAAGATAGAAACAACATTCATGTCCCCATAATTTTCTAACCGAACGCATATGATCAATTTGATCCGTGGGATAAACATATGTATACCTTTTTGCCATCTTCGATTAGAAAATGATGGCAAAGAGAGAAATATAGCTCCTTCTTTGATGAGAAAACTCGTGGTACTCGTGGAATCAGAGATGCATAATCCGGCGGAAGAAACTTGTCCCACACGCTATCAAGTTGGACAGCAGATCTGAATGTTTTGGAAGCGGAAGCAACAACACAAGCATCACGAGGAGTTGTAAAAGAGATTATGTTAGAGATACAATCTCCTGGCAAGTCATCAAAAGGCGATGGCCCGGACACAATAGTAGTATCTCCTCCTCTTTTGCCTTCACATCTAGATTCAACGCCTTGTTTCTGCCCCATTCCTTGCGTTCGTATCAATCGTCTGTCTGCTTTAGAAAAAGCTTAAATGAGAGAGCCAAAAGACTTGTTAATACACTCATGACTCGTCTAAAGTCGTCTCTGCCGTTAAAAAATCAAAAGGAACGACTCGTCTAAAGTCATCCCCGCTTATTTACGTAAGTAGAGATCGCATTCTGAAGTTGTGCAGATTTGATACAACCGCAAGCATGGGCCTTGTATGGTAACTTGAACATGGGCCTTAAGAGATATGGGCCTCGACAAAACCGGCCTTCCATTTGTTTTGATAAAATCGATTGCGAAAAAGGAAAACCCCAATCGACTTGTAATTGTGGATGAAGAGGGGCTATATAAGCATTGCTTTAGGTTTGGGTTTATGAATCGGTTTTTGAAGTTTAATCACCAAAGGAGAGGAGAGAGAGATTGAGGGAACAGCAGCAAAGAACAATGCTTGACTCGATCCCAAAGTTGTCAGCTTGGGAAGATCCTAGGCCTGAATCTGGTGCTTATTACGACATGCCCGAGTGGAAGAAGGAAGCTTTCGGGGAAACACCGACTTTTGGACGGAGATCAAAGCTCTCTATCCAGGAGCAAAGGGAGAGCCTTCCTATACACAGCTTGAAGAAGAAGCTGATACAGGCGGTGCACGATAATCAAGTCTTGGTGGTTATCGGCGAGACTGGTTCCGGGAAGACAACGCAGGTCACCCAGTATCTCGCCGAGGCAGGTTACGCAAGAAAAGGGAAGATTGGGTGTACCCAGCCTCGTAGGGTCGCTGCAATCTCCGTCGCCAAGAGAGTCGCTGAGGAGTTTGGCTGTCCTTTGGGAAGAGAGGTAGGGTACGCGGTTCGGTTTGAGGATTGTACCGGACCGGGTACGGTGATCAAGTACATGACCGACGGGTTGCTTCTCAGGGAGATGATGGTTGACGAGAACCTCTCTCAATACTCTGTGATCGTGCTCGATGAAGCTCAGGAGCGGACGATTCACACTGATGTTCTGTTTGGTCTTTTAAAGAAGCTGCTGAAGCGCAGGCTTGACCTTCGTCTGGTTGTTACATCGGCCACGTTGGATGCAGAGAGATTCTCTGAGTATTTCTTCAACTGTAAGATATTCACAATTCCTGGAAGAACCTTCCCTGTTGAGATACTGTATTCAAAGAAGCCGGAGTCTGATTACTTTGATTCAGCTCTTGATTACTTTGATTCAGCTCTCATCACAGTTCTTCAGATTCACTTGACTCAACCCGAGGGTGACATTCTCCTCTTCTTGATGGGACGAGAAGAAGTCGATTCTGCATGCCAGTCTCTATACGAGAGAATGAAGAAGCTTGGTAAAAAAGTTCCTGAGCTCATCATTCTTCCTGTTTACAGTGCCCTTCCTATTTACAGTGCCCTTCCTAGTGAAACGCAGTCTAGAATATTCGAGCCTCCCCCTCCTGGTACTCGGAAAGTGGTTGTAGCTACAAGTATCGCAGAAGCCTCTTTGACAATAGATGGGATATACTATGTTGTTGATCCCGGGTTTGCAAAGCAGAAGGCGTAAATCCAAAGCAAGGGATAGAATCGCTAGTCGTAACTCCAATCTCACATGCGTCTGCGAAGCAGAGAGCTGGACGTGCTGGTCGCACCGGTCGTGGGAAATGCTACCGTCTCTACACCGAGAGCGCGTACCGTAACGAGATGCCTCCTACGTCAGTCCCTGAAATCCAGAGGATCAATCTTGGGATGACAACGTTGACCATGAAAGCAATGGGCATCAACGGCCTGTCATCCTTTGACTTCATGGATCCACCTCAACCGCAGGCGTTGATCTCTGCTATGGGGCAGCTGGGCAGCTTGGGAGCTTTGAATGAGGAAGGAGTGTTGACAAATCTTGGAAGAAGAATGGCGGAGTTTCCTCTTGAACCACCGCTCTCGAAGATGTTGCTAGCGAGTGTGGATCTCGGGTGCAGCGACGAGGTTTTAACGGTGGTTGCTATGATCCAGGCGGGCAACATATTCTTTAGACCGAGGGAGAAGCAAGCTCAAGCAGACCAAAAAAGAGCCAAATTTTCCCAGCCTGAAGGTGACCACTTGACATTGCTAGCTGTATATGAAGCTTGGAAGGCCAAGAACTTGTCAGGTCAATGGTGTTTGGAAATCTTTATACAGCCACGATCGTTACGGCGTGCTCAAGACGTGAGGAAACAACTTGTCAGCGTCATGGACAGGCTTAAACTAGATGTGGTAAGCGCGGGGAAGGATTTCACCAAGATAAGGAAAGCAATGACGGCAGGATTCTTCTTCCATGGAGCGAGAAAAGATCCGCAGGAAGGTTACAGGACGCTAGTGGAGAATCAACCGGTTTACATTCACCCGAGCAGCTCGCTGTTCCAGAGGCAACCGGACTGGGTGATATATCATGATCTTGTGATGACGACCAAAGAGTACATGAGAGAAGTGACTGTGATTGACCCAACGTGGCTTGTTGAGTTAGCTCCAAGGTTCTTCAAAGTCGCTGATCTCGGTCAAAATGAGTGATTAAGCTATAATCCGAGCTTCTTCCTGCGACCTGATCTTTACGATGCTCATTCTTTTATGTGTTTGTCAAGTTATATAATTTCGATTTCTTCAACTGTTTGCTTCTTCACAGATCCGTTGCGTCTGCGTTGAGGACTTAAAAATAAACTAAATCTAGACAACTTTTAAATATTATTATGTGTATTTGTTGCAGTGGATGTTCTTGATCCTGACTGGTCCAAAGGTTCTTTCTAAGTGATTATAAGAAATTGGCTTCTTTTTTAGTTTAACCAAATAAGTAGTATCATATTACATGAAATCTACATCAATTTTGAGCTATTTTTCCACACTATGTAAACTCAAGACGCCAGCTCTAACATCAGAGATCAAATCAATACTAGTTACTACTAATCAATCCTAAATCTCTAACCTTTATCAAAACTTTGTCCATGTGATAGATAAACCAGAGAACCTTGTTAATAACAAAGAAAGCGTCACTGACGATCACAGAATCTGACACACAGTTCGTCTAAAGTCATCCCCGCATATTTACGTAACTACCCTTTTAGGGCAGCAAAAATGACATACTTCCCATTCATGTCACAACATGTCTTCATTGTCTTGTCTCATTCTTAACTTTGCCAGAGCTTTTTCACAGGGCGGAAATCAATTCCTTGAATGATGAATCCAGGTTTCCAATAAGAGTACTTAATTTCAGTAATATGAAACACAATTTCATCATCATCCATTAATCCTTCTTGGTTGAAGAATTCTCCAAAATTTACCTCCATCCACCCATCTTCCCTCTCCACTACCTTCGTTAGCTCCTGCCTTTCCCACTTTTCTCCTTCACGAGTTTGATATTCAATCCATCCAACTCCAATGCTTTTTTGGATATCATAAATTCGATATTTTGTCTTGTACACTACGTAAGCCGAGTAACGAGTTCCAGGAGATAGAAACCTAGTTTTCATCGAACCGTGGATCTTGAATGGACACCCCAAGATAAGTTCTAGCACTTTGTCAAACCTTCAAACACACAACATTGTCAGATTAATGACTTGTTACATGAATTTTTAATTCAAAACTACAAAGTAGATTAGTCCACGTACTTTATGTATCACTCAGTGTCCCTTTATTACACGTACGGGTCTATCTCATTCGAATTCAACCAAGGAAAAACAAAAAGGAGTTACCTAGATTCAGGAATTGAGATCCATTGCCAAAAATGAGGATTTTCTCCCCATGAGAGATCGAGTTCTTTTCCAGATAACATTATACTTCTCATTCCATTTGCTTTATCTAAACACAAACTCTATGATTTTCGGAAAAGAAAGATCAACTAATTAATCAGAATTAATCTTTAATGGTAGAACAATTTGAAAACTTATATAATCAGATATATACCATTTTGCCATCTTCGATTAGAACATAGTCATCGCATATAGCGGAATACAGATTCTTTGTCGATGAGAATGGATGATTCGGAGATGAATACTCCGGCGGAAGAAACTTCTCCCCTACGCTATCGGACTCGATCGTTGATCCAAAGGTTTTCGAAACAGAAGCTGCTACGCAAAAGGCAAACAAAAATGCAGTTCTTGGAAACGATTCAACTCCGAGATTTGTCTTCATCGTTTGCAATGTACCAAAACGGCTGCGTCAAGATCAGCTGGATCACGCCAGAGAAATTGTTATTCTGACTTCTGAGGAGAACTCCTCTTAACTTGTTACCTAGTTGACTCCTTTTGGTTTTGAAAATTTCAGCCAAACAAAAAACATACAATTTTACAATGTGAAAAATAGAGTTTGTGTTTCAAAGGTTTCAGTCACTAAATTTCATCTACTGTTCTCTACTTCTAGTTAACTACTCTAAGATAACCTTTTTCACTGCTTAAAATGTGGGCATCAAAGGAATCTACAAAAAAAAACACACAATTTCACTTTATTGAGTTTAGTTATGTAAGAAGACTATCATCAAAAATCAAAAACCAAATATAAAAAACATTACAACCCACAAACTTTAAATCATGTCACAAGTCTTTTTTTGTTCCAAAGAGGTTACAAAAAATACATAACCGGAAATCATCAAACCGTTATTCCATTCAGTAAACCGGCGGTATATCACTTTACCGGCTATCTCCTTGGCCTGAACTCAATCCCTTGAATGATCACGCCACATTTCCAATTCCCTGAAGTAATGTCAACAATACTCACTTCAATTTCATCAAAACCCATTAATCCTCCTTCGTTGAAGAAATCTCCAATCTCTGCCTCTATCCACCCATCTTCCTCCCTCATCACTGATTTCATCAGCTCCTTCTTTGGCCAAGGTTTGTATTCATCGGTAGTCTCATCGAAACATATGAATTTTCTTGGCATCTCTTGTCCCTTAAACCCAACTCCAACTTGTATGGGCAAATCTCGTAAGCCGTGACGCCGGTTCCTTATCTTGTACACAACGTAAGCTGTGTAGTGAGTGTCCGGAGATAGGACTTGAGTGTTCATGTTACCACCCATCTCAAAAGCACATACATTGAGAAGCTCAGGTACTTCTTCAAACCTACACAACACAACTTGTGCAACCATTTTTGGTGCTTATTCCATTTTACGGTTTAATTTTAGTTAGAAAAATAATAATTAGTGGCTTAATGAAGGAAAAATGATTACCTAGATTCAGGCATTGAGATCCATTGCCAATACTGAGGACTTTTTCCCCATGTGATCCATAGTTCCCTTGGAGCTAACATTACACACTTCTTCCCACTCGCTTTCTCAAGCCAAAAGCTCTTTGATTTTGCGGAAGAATAACAAAATAAAACCCAAAACAAATATACATGATTTTGAACTTCACATACTCTAAATGGTATCAAGTTTTTTTATATAAATCAGATAGAATCACATCTTTTCCCACATATATGACCAAATATGAAGGTGAGAGACAAAACATTATTCTTTAATCGTATAACCAAAGTGCAAAGTCGATGGATAGATGGATATACCTTTTTGCCATCTTCGATTAGAGAATGATTGCAAAGAGCGAAATAGAGCTCTTTCTTGGATGACAAAACTAGCGATGGAGGAGCCAGAGAAGTATAATCCGGCGGAAGAAACTTGTCCCACACACCATCGGACCTGACCGCAGATTCAAACGTTTTGGAAACGCAACTAGAGACGCATGCGTCCCGAGGACTTGTAAAAGAGATTATCTTGGAAACGCAATCCTCAGGCAAGTCATCGAAAGGCGATGGTCCGGTAACGATCGAAGAACCGGAAACTTCTTTGCCTTTGCCGTTAGAGTCAACGCCGTGCTTTGGCCCTACCGACGAACCGGAAACTCCTTTGCCTTTGCCTCTTGAGTCAACGCCCTGTTTTTGTCCCATAGTTGTCTTTGTCTGTATCATCTTTCCTTCGTCTGGAAGCTGAGAGACTTTAAAGAATTTGTCTAAAGTCGTTGAGGAAAACCAAAAAAAGAAAGACTCGTTGAAAGTCGGTCCACACACATTTACGAAACTACCCTAATTTTGCACCATTGTGCACGTTTCGTCTTAATTTCATGCTCCATTTGTTTGGTTTGGAAATATCCTTAATCTTATGATAAAGTCCCATTACATTATACATAAATATCAAATATACCTTAACAACCAAACCTTTATCAAAATTGCTACAAGATATACAACAACAACGTTTTGACTTACTTAAGGACATTAATGATTAGACTCCTAACAAAAAAAAAGCAATAAAGCATAACATGAAACATCTTCTACTCTGTAATAACAAAGACCTCGAGCAAAGTTGTTGTTCATGATAACCACTAGATTCTGGAAGGACGGATTTCAATTCCTAGAACGATCAAGCCACGCTTCCAATTAAGCTCCGTCGTCTCTAAAGCACTCATCACTAGTATTTCCTCCATTGAAGAATTCCCCAAGCTTTACCTCCAACCACCCACCTTCCCTCTTCTCTGGTTTCGGGCATAAAAGCTGCCCCTTGTCCCCTTCTCTCCATCAATGTATGTGGTCGGTACATTAGGTATTTGATTGTAATAAAATGTCTACAAAATTATTGCAAATGGTAAATAGAAACACTGTTTTCTCTTCATTAAAATTGTTTGTCAGTGAGATTGATGACAAAATTAAAATCAAAAATCCAGATTCAGAAACATTACAAATCCACAACTTCGATTCCTGGGTTACATCAAAGTATACAAATTTCGACTCAAACCAAAACATAACCCGAGCCATCGAACCACTCTTTAACAGCAGCAGGAACTTCAAAGAACAAAGTCGGAGCTCAACAATGACGAGACCAATAGATGAGCGGCCATGATCCATCAACCACTGGTTCTCGGCACCACTTTCAGACGATTCTCGCAGGTCGGATTTCAATTCCCAGAATGATCAAGCCACTCTTCCAATGGAGACGCTTAGTCTCTAAAGCACTCATCTCAATTTCATCACATACGCCTCCTCCACTGAAGAACCCCCCAAGCTCTATCTCCATCCACCCATCTCCCCTCTCCTCTGGTTTGACAATGTTCCTCCTTCGCCTCCTCCTCCTTGTAGAAGCTTCCCGTCCACCCGCACCTGCATCAAAGCATATGAATCTTGTAGAAGCTTCCTGTCCAACCACTCCAACTCCAGCTTCTATGGCCACGCCTTCAAAGCCGTAACTATGATCCGCTTTCTTGAACACGACGTAAGCCGAGTATCGAGTTCCTGGAGAAAGGGCACGAGTATTCACCCTGCCACAAATCTCGAACCAGCATACATCGATGAGCTCTAGTACTTTTTCAAACCTGCATAAGTTTTTTTTTTTTTTTTTTTTTGCAGCATTGTGTCATGATCTGGAATGAGTCAGTACAATCGATTTAACACAAAGATGATGACGACGGAGAGTACCTAGCTCCAGGACTTGGATCCCATAGCCAATACCGTGGATCATCTCCCCATGTAACTGAGAGGCTCATCGCAGATAACATGATACACTTCTTCCCACTCGCTTTCTCTAACCAGAAGCTCTTTGGTTTTCGAATAATCAGAGAGATTCAATATCAGCACAAATTACTCACAAAATCGCAGAAAAATAAGCTTGTTTCACATCATTTGAAGCCATAATTCTTCTACCAGAGCTCAATAGTTCTCTACACAAACTGCAATTTCGAAAGCTGATGTATACATACCTTTAAGCCGTCATCGATTAGAACAGGATCGTCGCATAAAGCGAAATAGAGCTCCATCTTCGATGTGAAAACTCGCGATGGAGGAATCAGAGATGGATACTCCCGCGGCAGAAACTTCTCCCATACGATATCCGACTTGGCCGCCGATTTAGATGTTTTCGAAACCGAGGCGACGACGCACGCTTCCCTCGGACTTGTGAAGGAGATTATGTTGGAGATGCAATCCTCCGGCAAGGAATCGAACGGTGAAGAACGAGAGACGATCCCTCCTCCACCTTTTCCTGTAGAAACGACGCGCCGATTTTTCCCCATCACTGCCTGAATCTGTATCTGTGTATCATCGTCTTCCTTCCTCGGAAATAGTCTCTTATGAGACGACTTTCTCAAGTCGTTCTACACGAAATTTACCAAAATGCCCCTCTATGTACCACTGAGCGCGTCTCCTTCACGCTCCTTATTACCTTTGGTCGTCGCCTCAGAGGATTCGTTAGTTTTGGATTTGGTTTGGAAAAATTCTTAACCAAATTATGAAAGGTCAAGTCAGGTAGGCATTATGGATCAACGGCGACGATAATATTATGTTATTATTATTTAATTTTATGATTAGAATAATTTCACATAGTTCTGACTCGTTATTCCAGAAAAGTAATGCTTAAGCTACCAAATAAAAAATTGGATAAATTAAAATAAAATAAAATTGGAAAAGCGAACGCTTTCTCATTTTGATTTTGAATTTCCGAAACAGAAAATAAAAACATCTTAAAACACGCATTTTAATGTTGAAGCAACACTAAGGGAAGAACCTGAAGCCAGACGTAAATCCGCCGCAAAATACCCAGTTTTCTCCGACGGTGTTGGAGCTTCCTCCGCCGTAACGCCGTCGTTATCTCCACGAAGCTTGACTAGCGTCGATTAGATTGCCGTTGGGGTGATTTTGTGTTTCCTTTTGTTTCTCTTTACAGGTGGGATGATTCGTTAAACCCTAGCTCTACTTTCTAGTTTCTAAGTTCTCTGATCTTTTTTAATCTCGTGATTTTTTTTCGTTTTTCGCTAGATTGAGAGATCTAAGTGATTTGACTACTGTAGGATTGTTTGCTATATTTGATTTTGATATATAATTGATTTTAATCCCCCATTTTAGCCGTAATTGGAAATTCCGATGCTCGGAGATTTTCGTCGTCGAGATTCTCCTTGTAAATTAGCTTTACTTCTTCGTCATCGTTTCCTTGTAAATCATTCCCTTGTGTGTCTTCGAAGTTGCGAGGCTTTTGCGATACTATAATTTATAAGCTAAGCATCGTTTTCGTCTCTTTTGCTTATCTGCCTTCTTCCTTCCCAAATCATCCCCAATTTCTATTGATTTTGATGTCTCTAGGGTTTGTTCTTTCTTCTGTTGGCCCCTCCACTTGTTTGTTTCCATTCTCCTTAATTCTTCTTATGTTGTAGACAATGATTGTTCCTGTGATGGCCTACAAATGTTGATTTCGTTCCTCTGATATCAATTTTTGCTTCTCTTTAGGTTCTGAACACAGATGTCAAATCCATTGAAAGAGCCAAAAGAAGATACCCCAGGAACTGCTCGTCACATGAGGGAAGATAATGAGTATGTTCGGCTTGTTGTGGCTCATGAAGCTGCTCCAGCTGAAACCGTTTCGCCAATATCTCAATCCGAGATTCGGAGTAAAAAACTGATGTGGTGGTTTAAAGCTTTGGGGATATGTGCACTTACTCTCTTGCTCACACTTATTTTCGCCAAATGGGGAGTTCCTTTTGTATTCCAAAAGGTGATTTCTTTATTTCACTTCTCCAATAATGTTTATGATCCATGTCACAAACTCTACGCTTTTCGATTGTAATAGATGTGTGTTTCGATTTGTAGGTTCTTATTCCAATATTGCAATGGGAAGCAACTGCTTTTGGCCGTCCTACGCTCGCGATTGTTCTTGTTGTTTCTTTAGCTCTGTTCCCTGTGTTCTTGATACCTTCTGGTCCATCCATGTGGTTAGCTGGGATGATTTTCGGTTATGGTCTCGGTTTCGTTATAATCATGGTTGGAACCACTGTTGGCATGGTTCTTCCTTACCTAATCGGGCTAATGTTCCGTGAACGCCTCCATGTAAGAAGAAACATTTCAAGTCATATATGTTGATTTTTGCACAAGATCACTCACACTACTTGTGTTTCCTTTACAAAAATGCAGCAATGGTTAAAAAGGTGGCCTCGTCAAGCTGCTGTTCTTAGACTAGCTGCAGAAGGAAGCTGGTTCCATCAGTTCAGAGTCGTGGCAATCTTTCGGGTTTCGCCGTTTCCTTACACGATTTTCAACTACGCAATCGTCGTGACAAGCATGAGATTCTGGCCTTACTTGTTTGGTTCCATAGCAGGAATGATACCAGAAGCTTTCATCTACATCTACAGGTCAGACTTGATATTATATCCCCTGCTGAATTAAATTATAAATTGAAAACGTGATTCTAAGACCGGTTTCATGTGCAGTGGTCGGTTGATCAGAACATTCGCGGATGTGCAATACGGACATCAACGATTGACAACAGTGGAGATTGTGTACAACGTGATCTCCTTAATCATTGCGGTTGTGACCACTGTGGCTTTCACTGTGTACGCTAAAAGAGCTTTGAGAGAGCTTCAAAACGCGGAAGCTAACGAAGATGAAGAAGTTCAGGTAAGAAAACAGGCGAGATTTGAGATGAAGAACGTTGTTGAACAAGAAGATAGTAATCATCGGCGTTTGGGTTCTTCTCACGCATTGCCCTAACTGAAAACTCTCAGGGAAGAAGATATACGCTAATAGATTTGTATAAAAAGCTTTTGAAATGTTGATTTGTTTTTCAGCAGGAGTAAGAGTAAATAACAAAAGGGGAATATCCGAATATGTCTGATGTAGTAAACCAGGAAGAAACTAGTCAAGGTTGGATTTTTTTAATAGTGTTGCTGATTCCAATAATTGAAATAAATAAGAAGCAGTTATTAGTTCTTTTTACAAATCCAATTCGAGTATTTTGGATATCAAAATTTTGTGTATTAGCCTTTGTCGCTAAGATTCTTAAAAAAAAAAAAAAACTACTGTTCAAAAAAAAAATTGGGGTATTTGCATTTGCAATTTTTGGTTAATTTAATATAGTAAATAGATTATTGGAAAATCGAAACGTGTGATATATTATAAGATGGTTTCATTACAACAAGAGTAACGACAGAATTGAAGCAAAAGCGGAATTGTACGAAACCAGAAAGATTAAGAAAAGACTAAAAAGGCTAAATAGTCTTCGCATATACTGTATATATGTACCCAAAATGCTGCGTTTTAAGGACAAAAGGACATCATTTCTACGGAAGTTTGTTAGATTTGCTTTGTCTGAAAAAAAAGGAAGTCATTGTCCGATTCGTCTCCGATTCGCCAATTCTGTCTCTTTTTCACGATCTGAATAACCAACCAAAACACACACCAAGTTTATGAAATCTGCTAGAAAATAATAATTTGTTCATGGTAATCTTCCATTGGTGATTACATTTTTGTCTGTCTCTACTCAATTTCCCGCATTTTAGATATTTTCAGTTCGTTGACTTTTAATTTTAATAATTTTTCAGGCGTATTCCGGCGAAGTTAAGGAGAAGCTGAAGCTATACTCTTACTGGAGAAGCTCGTGTGGTCATCGAGTGCGACTAGCCCTCAGTTTAAAAGGTCTCACGTTTCATTTGTTTTGCCTCTGCTTATTGTTTTTTTTTTTCTTCGATCTACTTTTGGTTTGATATTTTTTTGGGTTGATTTTCTTTTAGGGATTGAATATGAGTATATACCAGTGAATCTGCTCAAGGGAGATCAATTTAATCCAGGTGCGTATGTTTCAGTTTCGATTCGTGCATGTGTATGTGTATGCGTGTGAATGTGAATATTATATTTGTGTTTAAGAAGTAAGGTCGTATGTTTAAAAGTTTAAGCGTCCGATTAGTCTTTTGGTTTTTTAGTCCGTCCTTCTTAATATGAAAACAAAAACTCTAAAATAATTGATTTGAAAAGTGAACATGCTTTTTTAGAGAATTTAATACAGTCCTTAACAATTAAACTCTAAATATTTTTGATCCTCAAGATTTCATGAAGATCAACCCAATGGGTACAGTGCCTGCGCTTGTGGATGGAGATGTTGTGATTTCTGATTCTTTTGCCATCATAATGGTAAGTTTAAACAGCCATTTATGTTTAGTGGTTTTGTAAATAATTAAATGGAACATTTTCATCATACTTGGGTTTTTTTTATTTGGTTTTCTTGATTGACAACAGTATATTGATGAGAAGTATCCTGAGCCTCCTTTGTTACCTCGTGACCTCCATAAACGAGCTTTAAATTACCAGGTTATTACGATCCAAGAAACACTATAATATATGCAGTTTATACCAAAGTAATGGTTTCTTCGTCTTCTTCTTCATAATTTTTTTTTTTTTTTTTTTTGTATTATTTCAGGCTGCGAGTATTATCTCTTCTGGTATACAGCCTTATCAAAATCTACCTGTCATTGTAAGGACATGAGATTTAATTAAATTTATTAAGATAAAACATAACTAATTATGCTTTTCGTTCTTTTTTGTACAGAGGTATATCGAGGAAAAGACAAATGCTGAAGAGAAAATTGTTTGGATCAATAACGTTATCAGAAAAGGTTTTACCGGTATGTCAGGTCTCTCTTAAGACAATCAAGAACCAAGACATATGTTGTGAAATTCTATTTTATACTTTGGTGAAAGTCTTTAATGTTTACTCTTTACGTCTAACATTTTTTTTACACTCAGCTCTAGAGAAACTGTTGGTGAATTGCGCCGGAAAATATGCGACTGGTGATGAAATTTACTTGGTAATTTGCTCTTATATCTTCTAATAGTAACTATTATCTAAGATTCGTTTAAAGAGCATGTAAGCGTTGATTTATTCGCAGGCTGATCTTTTTCTAGCAACCCAAATCCATGGAGCAATGATCAAATTCCAGATTGATGTGGTAACATACATAACTTTTGGCCTTACATTTCTCACAACTCTTAATTATTCTCATAACCTTATTTCTAACATCTTTTTCGTAAAAAAAAAAACATGTTTTTGTACAGGAACCATACCCGATCCTCGCAAAGTGTTACGAGGCATACAACGAACTGTCTGTGTTTCAAGATGCAATCCCAGCGAAACAGCCAGATGCTCCATCTCCAGCCAAGTTGATTCTGTGAAACACAAAACCTTTTGTACCACGTTTTAATTATTTCGAATGATGGATCGTCACAATGTCTTCGGTATTGTCACAACTTTTGTTGTTGTTGCTGTTTTTCACTCTTTTCAATTTCCTTTCTTCACAAAAGATATTTAATAATTGAATGAGACCTGCATCGACTTGCAATGGTCGTGGTGGGACTCTTTCTCCCACTAAAGCTCTGTTTCGTTTCATAACAACGGTTCTTTTTTTTATCACACCAATGGGCTGAATCTTTGTCGAGCCTGGGCTTTTAGATTAAAAGCCCAAAAGTTTACTTCATCTTAAAATTTTGATTGGTTACAAATTCAAATAAACAATTGCATCGCAGAGTCAAATTGAAGATTTGCTTTGACGTTATATGACAAAAAAGAGGTTTTTAAAAATAATTTCCAGTGTCGTCGTCTCCGAATTCGCGACTTCTTATCTGTACTGAACTAAACACACACAGTCGCTTGAATCTGTGAAGAACAATCCATTTCCTAATATCATGGTTAAATCTCTTTCTCTTTTCTAATCTTCCCATTGTGATATCAGATCATCGTCTTCACTCCATTTCCGCGTAATTTTTGCTTTTTCCCGTTTGTTGAATGAGTGATGATGAATCTAAATATAATATTTTCTGTGTGATCAGGCGAATTCAGGCTCGGAGAAGAAGGAGAAGCTGAAGCTCTACTCTTACTGGAGAAGCTCGTGCGTACATCGTGTCCGTATCGCTCTCGATTTAAAAGGTCTCGCGAATGATTTTTGCTTTCGCTTCTACTCTTTGGAACAAATAGTGTTTTTTATTTGATCTGATTCGGGTCTTGTTCGATTGTGTTTAGGGCTTGAATATGAGTACATACCAGTAAATTTGCGCAAGAGAGATCAATTAGATCCAGGTGAGTGTTTTCCAGTGTTTACTCGTTTTTTATTTGGATTCAAGGTTACAGTGAACTTGATTGAAAAATTTGCAGAAGCTATATTAGTAATCATGTGGGTGAGATTGTTAAGTCAATTGTTTGAGGTGATTATGAGTCATTTACTCATCATTGGTCTTCTTATGTTAAAAAGTTCTATTGTTTTGATGCTCAAGGTTTCAAGAAGATCAATCCAATGGGCACTGTACCAGCGCTTGTGGATGGAGGTGTTGTGATTTCTGATTCTTTTGCCATCATAATGGTCAGTGAAACAGCGATTTGAGGGTTTTTATTTTGTGGAGATTAGAAGGAACATTTCATCAATTGTTTGGTTTTTGTGCTTTTTCTGTATTGACAGTATCTGGATGAGAGGTATCCTGAGCCCCCTCTGTTACCTCGTGACCTCCATAAACGTGCTGTAAATTACCAGGTTTATTTCAATCTTTTTCGTCTTCGGTCATGTATAGGCCTCTCGTTTTCCCTTTTGAATCTTGCTTTGTTACATGTTTTGACTTCATCTGACAACCTTGTAGTTAGTACTTTAAGCGTATGTTCTGCGCAGTAAGTCAGAGTATTGTGCACAATACCAACTTTGATTGTCCTGCTTCCCACTTTCTATGCAGATTGTGATGCAATGGTTCTTGTTTTGTATATTTCAGGCAGCGAGTATTGTTTTGTCTGGCATACAGCCTCATCAAAACCTGGCTGTTATGGTGATGACCTGAGATTAATGTTACAATCTTAGATTGTACCATTGTGGGTTCTAGATGAGGCAAACCTAGTTACGTTTTTTTCCATTTTTTTCACAGAGGTTAATGGAGGAAAAGATCAGTGACGAGGAGAAAACTGTGTGGGTCAGTAACGCTATCACAAAAGGATTCACAGGTATGAGGTCTCAAATCCTGCAACATACGGAGACGTAATCATGAACGAATGTACTGTTGTAAATTTTTTGTAGTTGATACTGTGGTTAAAGAGTGCGGAAGTCTTGCTCACTTCTCAGTTGAATATAGCCATGCTTTATGCTTTATATCTTTCATCTCTCGAGTTGATAAAAGATTTATCTTGACCTGTGTAACTATATGTCTCATTTGTCCTTCAGCTCTCGAAGAACTTTTGGTGAGCTCTGCTGGAAAATATGCGACTGGTGATGAAGTTTACTTGGTATTGCTCTGAACATCTCTGGATTTTCTCTGTGTCATGTAGAAACATCTCAGTGATTCTTTTTGCCCCTTTAGATGAGTGTTACAGCGATGAAGCATTTGTTTTGCAGGCTGATGTCTTCCTAGCACCACAGATCCACACAGCAGTCAACAGATTCCAGATCAACATGGTACTTCTTCTTCTTCCTGTCCCCGACATTGTTTCAGGTCTAGTTTTCGGTTTCTACAATTCGGTAAAAACATTTATGTCTCTCGTATGGATATTCTACAGGAACCGTACCCGACTCTTGTAAAGTGTTACGAGTCGTACAACGATCTTCCTGTGTTTCAAAATGCAGTCCCGGAGAAGCAGCCAGATGCTCCTGCTTCCACGAGCTGATTCTCTGAACAGTAAGCTACTCTCAGCTCAAATAAAACTTCAGACGACAACAACAATGATATATAATTACGTTGTACTCATATATAGAACCAGTTCCTTTCACTTGTATGATACAATAAAGTTCAGAGAGTTTTGAATTCGAAAAGATAGTTTTATTCATTCAGAGGAAGCCTTTGTCTCTAAGACTCTGAATCGTCTCCTTAACCGCATCTTCAACCGCAGTAAAAACCATCCCAAATCCACTGTGCTATGATCAAATTCCAGATTGATGTTTAACTTTTTCCTCTTTAATTTTTTTCACAACCGTTGTCTCATATTTCTAACAGTTTTTTGTTGTTGTTGTAAAAGCATAGTTTATATTTTGTATGGATATTATACAGAAACCCTACCCGAAGGTGTTACGAGTCATACAATGAAGTAACGAACTGTCTGTGTTTCAAGATGCTCCAGCTCCAGCCAACGGTTCTGATTAACTTTAGAGATTATTAATCTAATGGGCTAAGTCTATCTAATGGGCTTTTGTATGAAAGGCCCAAAATTTTACCTTTGAATTCAAATAAACAATTGCATCACAGATCAAATGAGTCAAACCGAATTTGGTGATTTGCTTTGACGCTAAATGACAAAAAAAAAAAAAAAGAAGATTTTACAAATACTATCCACTGTCGTCGTCTCCGAATTCGCCACTTCTTATCTGTACTAAACAGTAAACACACAATCGCTTGAATCTGTGACGAACAATCCATTTCCTGATATCATCATGGTTAAGTCTCTTTCTCTCTTATAATCTTCCCGTGGTGTTATCAGATCATCGTCTTCACTCAATTTCCGCTTAATTTTTACTTTTTTCCCGTTTGTTGAATGAGTGATGATGATGACTCCAACTATATTTTCTACGTGATCAGGCGAATTCAGGATCAGAGAAGAAGGAGAAGCTGAAGCTTTACTCGTACTGGAGAAGCTCGTGCGCACATCGTGTCCGCATCGCCCTCGCTTTAAAAGGTCTCGCGAATGATTTATCTTTCGCTTCTACTCATCTTTTTTTTTTTGTAACATAATAGAAGCTGAAATGGATCTGTTCGATCGTGTTTAGGGCTTGAATATGAGTATATACCAGTGAATTTGCTCAAGGGAAATCAATTCGATCCAGGTGCGTATTTTCCAGTGTTTGTTTTGATTTGGATTCAAAGTTTATTTTGTTTTTTTGCTGAATAGGATTCAAAGTTACAGTGAACTTGATTGAAAATTTGCAGAAGCTATATGTGTAACCATGTTGGATGAGAATGTTTAGTGAATGTGGTGATTATATATAAGTCGTTTACAGCATTTACTGCTAATTGGTCTTCTTATGTTAAAATGCCTATCGTTTTGTTCCTCAAGATTTCAAGGAGATCAATCCAATGGGTACTGTACCAGCTCTTGTTGATGGAGATGTTGTGATTTATGATTCTTTTGCCATTATAATGGTCAGTGAAACAGCCATTTGAGGTTTTATTTTGTGGAGATTAAAAGGAGCATTTCATCAATCTTTCGGTTTTTGTGGTTTGTATTGACAGTATCTCGATGAGAAGTATCCTGAGCCACCTCTGTTACCTCGTGACCTCCATAAACGTGCTATAAATTACCAGGTTATTTCAATCTTTTGCGTCTTCGGTCATATATAGGCTTCTCGTTTGCCTTTTGAATCCGGCTGTGTTACATGTGTTGCCTTCATCTGACAACCTTGTTGTTAGTACTACTGTTAAGCTTATGTTCTGCGCAGTAAGTCAGAATATCTTGCACAACACCATTTTTTATTGTCTTTGCTTGCCGTTCTTATGGAGTTTACGCAGATTGTGAGTGTAATGGTTCTTGTTTTGTATATTTCAGGCAGTGAGTATTGTTTTGTCTGGCATACAGCCTCATCAAAATCTGGCTGTTATTGTGAGGACCTGAGATTAATGTTAATATCTTAGATTCCACCATCATAGGTTTTTGATAAACCAAACCTAATTACGTTTTTTTCCATTTTTTCACAGAGGTTTATCGAGGAAAAGACCAATGCTGAGGAGAAAACTGCGTGGGTCAATAACGCTATCACAAAAGGATTCACAGGTATGAGGTCTCAAACTCTGCAACACTTTGTCATCGGCATAAGTATAAGATACAGAGACGTAGTCATGAACGAATTCGCTTTTGCAAATTGTTTTTAGTTGATATTATTGTTTATATCGAGATGTATAATTAAATGTCCCATATGTCCTTCAGCTCTCGAGAAACTGTTGGTGAGCTCCGCTGGAAAATATGCGACTGGTGATGAAGTTTACTTGGTATTGCTCTAAACATCTCTGGATTTTCTCTATGTTACTCTCTTCCAAGATAGGAGCTTTTGTCCCTTTAGAAGACTACACTTTGTTACAACAAGTTAAGTAGACAAGTGTTAAAGCCATGAAGCATTGTTTTGCAGGCTGATCTATTCCTAGCACCACAGATCCACGGAGCAATCAACAGATTCCAGATTAACATGGTACTTCCTTCTCTCTGTCCCCAACATTGTTTCAGGCCTATTTTTCGGTTTCTACAATATGGCAAAACATTATTTTTTCTTGTATGGATATTCTACAGGAACCATACCCGACTCTTGCAAAGTGTTACGAGTCATACAACGATCTTCCTGTGTTTCAAAATGAAGTCCCAGAGAAGCAGCCAGATGCTCCTGCTCCCACCAGCTGATTCTGTGAACAGTGAGCTACTCTTCGCTCAATAAATCCCTCACAGATAAGACAAGAGCATCAATGATATATAATAATACCTTGTACTCATATATAGATGTATCATGTAAACCAGTTCCTCTACTTTGTATCATACAATAAAGTTCACAGAGTTTGGAATACACGCAAAGATAGTTTTATTCATTCAGAGGAAGCCTTTGTCTTTCAGACTCTGGACCGTCTCCTTAACCGCATCTTCAACCGCAGTAAAAACCATCCCGCGCTCAATCAATCTCTTAGCAGCATCTTTACACGGGGTAAGCCCAGGCTGAGTTTCTCCATCGAACATGTGAACATCAAACTCAGGGAAGAGTTTGGACACGAGAGCAGCGAACTCACCGAACTGATAAATCCCATTAGTGCATAGAAACCGACCAGAAGCTTCAGGTGTTTCGAACAGCATCACTTGACTTTCAGCCACGTCTCTCACGTGCACCGCACCGAGCCAGTGATGCTCTTGTGTCTCTGTCGAGCCTTGCAAGAGCTGTAGCAAAACGGCGCAGCTTGCGTTTAGGCTCGGTTGCAGAAGCGGTCCGAGACATGTTGATGGATGGATCGTCACAATGTTGGTTCCATGTTTCTCCGAGAATTCCCAAGCCGCTTTCTCAGCTAATGTCTTCGAAATTGGATACCATTTCTAAAATCGAAATATAAATATATACAAAATAATCGTTAATTAAGTAATAATCCGGTAAGAAAATCACTAGAGTGAACTATGTTTTCAGGAATAGTGAGATACTTTTGATGATTTCAACAAAAAATGTTTCAAATCGAAATGAAGGAAACCTGCTTGGATTTGCAAAAATCGAGATCGGTCCAGGACGACTCATCGACGAATTTTCCTTCCGGCCAGTTAGGGTTCGGAACCAAGGCCGAGATTGAGGACGTGATCACCACGCGTCTCACGTTGAACCTCTTAGCTGCTTCTACTACGTTGATGGTTCCCTTAACCGCCGGTTCGACCAGTTCCTTCTCTGGATCAACCGGTGGATCCAACGTACAAGGTGATGCCACGTGGAACACTCCCGCGCATCCATCAATGGCTCTGGAGATAGCGTCGGAGTCTAGGAGGTCGGCTTCGAAGATCTTTATCTCGGTGTTGATGTCGTCGGATCCTGGTAGTTTCAGGAGGTGGGTCGGGTCGGATCCTGGGTAAACCGAAGCGTGGATTTTGGTATACCCTTTCTCAAGTAACGTTCGGACTATCCAGGATCCGATGAAACCGTTCGCTCCGGTCACACACACCGTCTCCTTCGCCATTGATGATTTAAGTAAGAGCTAACAGCTTTCTTTTTGTTCTCTCTATTTTCCTTTGGATTGCATTTCAAGTGGATCAAGCTTCGTATTTGTTTTGATTTTCGGATTAAAAAGTTGGGTCTTTTGGTCTTTTCCTGAAGATAGGAAAAAAACACCCCACCAGTAAAAAGGATCCTTTTTTTCTTACCCGGGAAACAAAAGAGAGAGAGAGAGAAGAGAAAAAAAAATCGATTTTTCTAAAAGATACTATGAGTTGATAGAAACTTATCGTTGTAATGATATTATCCACTAGTTATATAGACTTTTTCAAATTCTGCGACGAATTAAACCACAATTGAACAGATGAAAACCACCGGAGCGCCGCCGCATAGAGGTGGCTCCCCCTCCTCTGCCGCTTACTTTTACCGGTCTTCATCATCTTCCTCAGCTAGCTGTAGAGTTCTCGTTGTGAAGATGGGAGGAAAAAGCAAGAGTCCTCAATCTCCCTCTTCTAAGGTCTACTCACGATTCACATTTATGTAAAAGGTTTCGTCTTTGAGACACCCAAAAGTCTCTCTCTTTAATCCAATCAACTGAGAATTCGCAAGAGAAATTTAGTGGGTACTAACGTTTAAGTTCATAGATTTGAATGAATTATGGATTTATCAATCATTTTAATCAATTTGGTTCCTCTTAGATCTCTGTTGTTGGAGTTACAGATATGATGGATCTCCATTGAGAATTTTGCAGCCATTGTTTTGATCTTGGTATGACCATTAAGTTCATAGATTTGTATGAAATCCTCAATCCTCAAATCCTTTCTCTTAGTTTATGATCAATTTGGTGCCATTTAGATCTTTATCATTGTAGTTATGGATATGATCAATGTCCATTGAGCATTTTTCAACCATTGATCTGCTTTTTGTTTTTCATGGCAGGATTCAGAGCCAGAACCACCAAGAATCAAATCGAATGTGAAGCATAACTTGCAGCTTCTCAAGCTATGGAAGGCATGTAGTAGTGTGATCTTTTGTTTACTAACTACATATATTATATATATGACCAATTTGTGTTCACTGAATGTGTTTAGTCCTTGGAATGTTGTGTTATATGTAGGAGTTTCAGAACAGAGGATCTGGCTCGGCAAAGCCAGCAACTAGTTACAGGAAGAAGAAAGTAGAAAAAGACGAGTTACCGGATGATACCGAGCTCTACCGTGATCCTACAAATACACTTTACTAGTAATTACTCTGTTTTGAAAGATTCTCATTTTTATCATCTTCATGATTGCTGTTCCAAGAACGGGTTTTTAAGGTTTGAGAGTTTAAGGAATGTTTGTGTTTATCCTGAAAGCGGTTTTACAGCACGAACCAGGGTCTGTTGGACGATGCAGTTCCGGTTTTGCTTGTTGATGGTTATAATGTGTGTGGGTATTGGATGAAGTTAAAGAAACATTTCATGAACGGTAGGCTTGACGTTGCTCGCCAAAAGTTAGTTGATGAACTTGTGTCCTTCAGTATGGTTAAAGGTACAACCTTTTGAAGAATCTAGAATTGATTTCATCGATCAGTTTGGTTCATTTCAATATGAGAAAAGTTTGATTTGAGGTTATTGGTTGTAGAGGTTAAGGTAGTGGTTGTGTTTGATGCTCTCATGTCTGGTCTCCCTACTCACAAGGAAGACTTTGCTGGGTAAACTAAACCGGTTTCTTCTTTCTTTTCTTGGGCTTAACCATTGTTATCAATATCTTTCTCTACTTGAACATTCAAAAAAGTTTCTCCTTTTTCCAGTGTTGATGTGATTTTCTCCGGAGAAACTTGTGCTGACTCTTGGATTGAAAAGGAGGTCAGGAGAAAAAAATGATCTCTTGACTCTAAAGAATCATCTCTAATCTTTCTTAGTTTCTGATAGTATGTTTCTTATTCGGGATCGATATGAACAGGTGGTTGCATTGAGAGACGATGGATGCCCTAAGGTTTGGGTTGTAACATCTGATGTATGTCAACAACAAGCAGCACACGGAGCGGTATGTGCGCATCATGCCGATGTTATATAACTCGTAATGCTCATATCTTGTTCTTGATTTGTAACTCATTCTTGACAGGGAGCTTATGTTTGGAGTAGCAAGGCATTGGTTTCTGAGGTAAGAATAAGATCCATAGTGTAAGTACCATTTTCTCTGTTTTGGGATTTGCTTTTCATGTGATCTTGTGAAACAATTGTATTTTTAGATCAAATCAATGCATAAGGAGGTTGAGAAAATGATGCAGGAAACAAGGTTACATTGTTTTTTTCGCGTTTTCTTTAGGTTCTGCGTTTGGAGCTAACAACAAAAAACTCAGAAAGCTCTTTACTACTTGTTTTGGTACACAGGTCAACATCTTTCCAAGGGAGATTGCTGAAACACAATCTTGATTCTGGAGTCGTTGATGCGTTAAAAGATCTAAGAGACAAATTATCGGAAAACGAATCAAAGAGATGACAAAGACCAATCCGAATTATATATAACTAGGCCTGGTCTCTCCATTTAACTTCTGTCCCAAGTAAGCTAATCTGACTTATAAAGCAGAGGCTGGGAGGAAAAGAGAGAGAGCTCAAAGGCTATATTGTTGTGTCTTTTATCTGAATTTGTTTTGACAGATCTGTAGATTCGTTTTCTTTTGTTAAAACATTGGTTATGAGGTGTACAGATCATTTGTGAAATCAAAATTCTTAAATTTATACTAAGCAAATATTTAGGTTGTTTATGGATCATATCAATTTTTAGGGTTCCTAAATATAAAGTATATCTAATTTAAAGATTTAATTTCTAAGTTCTAACTATTAACTGTTGACTAAAGAAACGAGAAGAAACATTAAAAAAAAAAGTTATTATACTTCAAAAGTTACACCAAATATTGTACCCTTGATTTTTTTTTTCATTCCTTATGTTTTAAAAACTATAGAATTAAAATATTATCTATCAAATTTGGGAAGGAACAACAACTTTTTTTTTTATCTATTTCATTCTTTTCTTATTCATTCATATTGTTAGTGTAATGGTCACCAGTTAAAACTTTAATAGAATCGACAGATCTTTCTCATACTAAACAGTTATTATATTTCCCACCCTTAATTACCACTATTTTGGGCAAACCATCCTTATTCTTTACTTAGTAGGTTTTCTGAAACTGGAAACTTAATTTGTTGCTGTAGCTAGCTAACGGACACAAGGAACCTGAAAACTTGTAGCAGCAAGATCAGTTCCTAGATTTGCTCGTCTTCAGTAGGCCTTACTAAGGATCGTCTCCTTAAAACATTTACTTATTGCTAATAATAAGTAAATATATCCTCTGGCCCGTGCAAAATAATACTCGCTCTATAAAAGGTAACATAGGATTATACGTTGATTAATCCTTTTATCACAATAAAGAAGAAAATGCATAAAATCAGGATAATGTTCCTCAATCCTCGTTATCTAGTTTTCGTTTGCTTCCATATATCCAATACTCGTTGACCTTCAGAAGAAGATAAAAAAAGATCCGTGAGTGATAATTTCAATAATACACAAAAATACATTAGTTCATATATTATATATAGGGCCATATATACACAGACAAAAGTTGAAATTGTCGTTTAGAACCCGTTGACTCTCTATAAAGAAACTTCCATAAAAACACGTGTACAGACAAAGTTACACACACGTATATAAATATGACAGAACAGAAAGATGGATGTACTAGAGAAGTGACGATAAACAGAGAATAATAGATCCAAGAAAAAAACATGAAAGCATTATTGAAATATTCTTTGGCAAAAAAAAAAAAGCATTATCGAAATATATACAAAAAGTTAAGAAACTATAATTATTTCGGTGGTAATAACTTAAGTCAACGGTAGAAACAGACGAAGAGATTCACGAGATATGCACCTTCTCATTTAATTTTTTCTGTCCTGCAAATAGACATTTCTTTATTTCAGTACACTTCATGGCCCGACTTCTCCAACCATTATGTCCTAATTATAATACTGTCTATTTATTCTATATATACTTTCATGGATCTAAGTTTTAACAAAACTTATTCCTCCACTTTTTCAAAAAAACTTATTCCTCCATTCAAATTTCAAAACATAATAATAATAATTTAAGCAAGTTTACCATCCAACGTCAAAGTAAATATTTTGAATCGAGATATGATATTAAACTAGATAATTCTTATATTGTTAGATAATGAAATCGAACCAACAGGACCGTAAATCAATGCTAAAAAAAAATATACATTGTACTAATATAATTGTAAATTAATGTATACTTATTTAAACATATACTTACCAATCATACATATAATTTACAAAGAGTTTCAGTTACAGTTTATATATCTTAAATTCGTTTATAATTTTAAAAAATAAATAAAAGATGTTGAACATGTGAAAATTGAAGTCAATGTTTTTTTCCGATAAGGCGATAACAGTTATATGGGTTCAACCAGACAAAATTATATATTTCGACTTAAAAAGATTAAAAAAATGCATACAACATCGTATTAAAAAACATTATTAATAAAAAAATATATAATTTTCCATCAGCTAAGTGATATTCAAAGTACATTTTACTTTTTGAAAAGTATCTAAATAATTGGTTGGCAAAAGAAACCTCAAGTTACTAGTTAGATAAAATTCGTCGCACAAAATCTCATATGTTTTTAGGATATCTAAATAGAAATATGCTTATTTGTACTGATTCTTCTGAATACCACTGAAGATAATAAGGTCCCCTACAGCATGATTCTTGGAAAAGAAGAATATCGATACAAAATGAATATACAAAATATACTCAACGATGAGTTGTTAAAATGAGAAGAAAACAAACAAAAAAATAATATATTCTAAAGTAGATATTTGTAATTTAAAAAGTCATAGAGTCAACGGAGTGTCAGAGTCGTGTCCTGGGTCCGTCTAGTCAGAGAGTCAAGCATTTTGTAGCTTTAGCTTGACCCCATTCTCATTTAATCCGACGGTGCTGGTGGGCCTCTTGTCCTATCTATCGTCCGATCGGATCCTCCCACGTCATGTATCCCATTCCCGTGACGTCACGCCTACATTCTCTTTCCCTTAATCGTATATGCAAATAAAAAAAACTAAAGTAATAAATAATAAATCAATATTAAAACACTGTTCATTATTTACTTCAACGTGTCATGAAATTACAAAATTATTGCTAAACATGTAACAAAAACAAACATATACTATAATCACATGCACATACATGTAGTAGCACGCAATTAAAAGCCAGAAGAAGTCAGATAATCCCTTTCGGAAAGTCGGGAAATTAAGGATGAATAATGCTATGTAAACGTCTTTGACACACAAAATGTGTTTACGTTTCAACTTTTATTTTAAATAAACTGTATTTTGTTAATGGTGTATATATATAGGTATCGAAACCTTTGAATCATTTTTCGGATGGTGAGGAACACTGAAAAAAAAGTTATGTATATATATTACAATTGAATGGCAATAAGCAATAATTTAAACCGATCCAACTTTATAACACGTGACACCTTTAGAATCTAGTCGTGTCAAAGACAATCAAATGTATGAAATTTTCAACAGTCGAGTTATGTACTCTCTTTTTCTACTCAAGTGTAAGTACATGTAAAAGTAAGATTACGAACACTTTTTCCACTCAAGTGTAAGTACATGAAAAAGTAAGATTATAAAATATATTTCATCATGCAATAGTTCTCTCGATTAATTTATATAGTTATGAACATTCATTAATTACTGCAATTTCTAACGTTCAATAATTTATGATATGGACTCTCAAGCTCTCAAATTTATCCACAAGTGCATGCTGCCTGGTCGGTCCATACAAATTCTTGAGCACCTAAATTTAAAGATTCGATGTATCGACCTATGAAAATATCGTGTACTATCAAAATTAATTATAAAAAAAAAATTACATAATTGAAGGACTATATATGTAGAGGAGTGATGGCCAAATGTCATATTCATGCATTAAGTTTTGTCCCCACAATTAAAATTAAAAAAAGTTAGAATTTGTAATTTTGTGTAAAAGAAGACAAATGGTTCTCCGATAAACTTGTGGCTGCATTATTGGTTGGGCGGTCCATACAACACACACAAGATAGACACTAAACTGAACAACGGTCTTATTCTTCCATGCAATTTGGTCGGTTTTCTTCTATGGCCATCTCTAAAAACCCGCATTTAAAAAAATAATTCTTGGCCATACCATGCATTTTTCAGTTTCATAATTCACTATCCTTCCATCGTTAATTAATTATTTTTATCATTTGTAAAATCTTAACGTTTCTATACCTTTTTTAAAAGAATATATTTGATTTAATAAAGATTTACGTGATAAAAGATAATTATAAAACCCAAATTATATCTATTGCTACCATTAAAACAATTAGCTAGTCTCTTATGCAAAAAAAAAAAAACATTAATCGACTCCAGGGTTTTTTTTAAATTTTATTATTCTCTAATATTATGTTATATAGTTATGTATGTAAAAGAATTCATAAAAGTTGTCAGATGTAATGTTGTAACAGAAGTAAACATGGACATCTCCCAGCAGTTATACAAACATAATTGTATTACAAGAACAGAAAAACAAATTAGTGTAATAGTCATATACATGGGCATGCATGGTTTTTTTGTAATTGATAAAGATGAACATATGCAATGGTTCGTTTTGAGTTTCTAGATTAGTTTACATATGAGAGTGAGATCAAAATAACTAGATAAGTATATGGTATGGAGATCAGTGTGGATTATATTATTATTGGCTTCGAATCGTGTTGATATCAAACAAAATAAAAAATGAAAAGAATTGACAGAGGAGTGGAGAGAAAAACAAAAGATTAATAGAGAAGCAAAAGGGAAAACCTTATTATTCATTGTAAAGCTAAAACAAAAACATACTTTTGTTAATAGCAAAGAGAAGGAAAAAGATTCACCACACCTTTTTTTTTTAACTTGAATGATATTTTATCAGCGTAGAACAATTGATCTTAAAATAATTATATCATCGCTATTTAGTATGTCCAGTCATACCTTAAATTTTACTTTGTCTCCTATCAATTTCTAACAACTTGCAAATATCTTGTCAATCATGCACAATGGCGTTGTATTCATAGGCCGGCTCATCATGATATAAGGTGCTGCCGTGCTGATTCATATTTATATCCTTTTTTGGGGTAAATTATTTTATTTATTTTCTTCTTCTTAAACTATAAAATATTCATTTGTTTTTGTCAATTTGTATGTATATAACATTTTCCTGGCTGTAAATTTCAGCAAAAAGTATTACTACTACAGATTACTACTTTGTACATAGCATTTATGGAACCATTTCGTCATTTATTAAACTTTCAAATCAGTTATACGAATAGGTAATTCTTGTATGTGACGTTACTGTTTCGTAACTCATATTGATGGATATTTAATTCAGATTTGGATATGGAAAATAAAATGTAGGATATAAAAATCTATGAAAATGAAATATATAAGATACTAATTAATACATAAAAATACAAACAATTGAGTAAATGCAAAAAGAGCCAAGAAAAAGGGTTGACAACCGCCAAGAAGGCCCAGGCCACGAAATGCCTGTGGCTCCCTTATTCCCAATACACGAAGTATATTATATATATAAAATATAGGTATTTTGCCAAATATGTATAAGTTTAATTAAAGATTATATATAGGTTAATTATTGATGATACTTTCTAGTAATTACTGAATATGAAAACAGTTAGCCAAAAAAGTAATATGAAGCAAAAAAATAGTTACCATTCTAAATATTTTCCAACTACGTAAGACCAAAGTCCAAAATTATAACCAATCACGAGCTAAATATAAATTCTTACTACAACATTCTAGCAAGAGAGACGAAAGTGATACACACTGGTCATAGACTCACAGGGCAGTTCATGTAACCAGAAACTTGATACATCGGTAATAAATAATTGCAAGGAAGGGTCCATATATAATAAAAGTTTGACTCATAATATATTGATTTAAGAATGAAGTTGGTGGAATAAATAAACATCAAAGGTGCACAATTATAGTTATTATAATACCTAACTATACAAATTTGATGACCAATGAGATGGGTAACCAAATCAAAATTATGTGTTGATCGAAATTTTAGAACACACACGAATGTGAAAGATACGACCGGAGTCTTGATTTGGAGAGCAAAATATATTTTAAAATGGAGGTCGGTCCATGTCATTGGAAGCTAGATACATCACAATTCTTTTGAAATATATTTGAATAATTGCGATGAAGGAAGGATCCATAATTATAAGAGTGTGACAATTTTACTAATATAATAATAAAGTTGGCGGAATAATGAAATACTAAAGTTTTTATTTCAAAAAAAAAATGGACGACTACAGTTCAATTATTTATCGTATAAGTAAATCATTGTCACCTAACTACAAAATTGATGACCAATGAGATTGTATTGATAGGTAACCAAATCCAATTGAATTCTATTTTGAGGAAACGAATCCGTTTATTGGTTAAAAGTGTCTGATTTAGCTAGGACAAGACTTTTGACAATGAGGGCATACGACTTTTTAGGTTTATAATTACTTAACCAATTCTAGTATTATCTTTCTTTCCTAAACCTCTTTGTAATCCTTAAATTCCATGTTCTCGAACCCGCTTGAATCTTTTTTTTTTCTTCTTCAAATTATGACTAATCTAACCTAATCTTAACAACTTGGTTAAATCAATTGCCGAAGCACATAATCAAATAATGTTGCATTTCAGTTTGCAGATTCAGCCAAATGGTGATCAAGCATAGTTAAAATTTCAAAAAAACTTTTAAATTGCCTGCTATATGTAAGCTATAGTAAAATTTAGATTTTATATATGTAGAAAGCTCGTTGGACCAAAAAAAAAAAAATATATATATATATATATATATATATGTAGAAAGCTCTTTACAACACTTTTAAACACACAAGAAATCACGATCCTGCATTTATCGTGGAGGATTGTATAGTCTCTTGTGGAGTTAGTGGCTTCTTGTAGAAAATAATGCAGCCCGTTAACAAGATATAGGGTGGCAATAATTTTCATCATTTCATATAGAACTATCAAACCGCTTACATGTATTGTATGTTTATATATATATATACGTACGTAACAGTGTTATATAAATTATTTGTATTTTTCTGGGATAAATATGTGAATCTTGGGGAACTCCGTTTTATATGAAATTCAACTTCAGGTATTTATAGATTTTTACATAAAATCTTAAAATTTTATCTTTCCAAGGCACTTATAATTCTCGCCACCCTACTTGCTACTGCTAGCTAAAAGCCAAATCTCTGGAAGACTCGTCGTATGCATATTAATTATGCATTGGCTTAATCTTTTCTCAAAGTCTCTTAGATTATGAATTTAATTGTATCCCCTGTTATCACCGGGTTCACCTTTTTCCCGTTTTCTATAAATCATAGATTTGGAACAATAATATATAAGTTAGATGTTTTTACCATTTTACATATTTACGATGGTCAATCATGACTGAATATAGAATATAATAACTTGAACATATTGGTCTAAAATAAATGTTTGCTTTGATATCATAATGGTCTAATGGTTTTTTTTTCTAAGTTCTATAATTTTTTATGGGACAATGTAAATAGAAAATTATAAGTCTATTTACACCACCAAGCTTAATGTGATATTTGTTGTGATGCATGCACTCACGGATTTCTCTTGAATCGAAACATTTTAGAATTTGAATAAGAAAAGAAAATAAAGTTAGTAAAACGTAGAGTAAGGTTCCGAAAAACCCCACACTCTTGTTTCGTAGAAGCCCCACTATCACCTCCCTAAGCTCCCTTTCATTCATTCCCCATTTAACTTGATATTTTTCATTCATTTTTCATACTAAACTTAACTACATAACATAACAATTTCTGGAAAAAAAAAAACTTCGCTATATATACGAATTTCTATACCAATAGACAATAACTATAAAACAATTTAAAAAAAGGTATAAGCTAATATCTAAACGATGGTAGACAGCGATGCATGGTTATTTAACGAGCAGCCGAAAACAATATTTTTAACGAAAACTTATACTTTTATATGAATAGATACTACATATGAACAGAAGTTTTGAAGAATTGAGCTTATAATACGTCCGAGTTCAGCTTCTTACTAACTTTGGAAACATGGAGAGTGTTGGCCAAAAAAAGTTGGAGAATTTGTTTTGCATTCATAATTGCAGAAATAATAATTTATAACGAAGATATGGTGGGGCAAAAATATCATTTAAAATATACTGTATAACGAAAACAATAAAAGAACGTTCATGAAGCAAATGAAAAACACGTAAATATATTTATGACGAGTGACATAGTGAGCATACATAATATACTTTATTAATAATATAGGCCACCAATCAGAATGCTTTGGCCCATATAATGAATAAAATAACAAGAATAATCCAAAAGTTAGTATTATTTTATTTTAATATCCGAGATCCGATTAGTCTAAGCTATAACAATGACATATTATGCATCCTTACCACTAGGCACAATGAGGAGTTTTTGTTACATTTTCACGTTTTTTTTTCTGACAATGGAACGGAACTTCGGATAAATCATAATTGGGTAAAAAACCAAGAGTAAACAACAATTTAAAACAAACTATTTGCATAGTGTCTTATTAGTTCTTTGTTTCCACTTTCCATAGTGTCGCTTAACACCTACCAATATATATATATTTTTTTTTTTGTTAAAGCAATATATATATATACGTAAACACTAAACAGAACTAATTAATATTAGGAGCTGTAACAAGAACAAAAAAACTATAAGATATTTGTTTTTATGACAACAAAAACTAGAAATGGGGAGTGAGAGAAAGGTCCAAAGGCACGGCTAAGAAAACAAAACCGTGGACACCCTGTCCTCAATTTGACAAGTCTTTGTCTCCTCCTTAACTTCTCTTCTTCTCTCTCTGTCTTATTCTAGTTTGCTCTCAATTCCTAAAAAACGACGACGTTTGATCCCTATATACTTTTCCTTTCTTCTTCTCCTCCTCTTATCTCTACTCAACACCACTCAATTTCATCTCTCTTTTCCCCTTCCCTTGTTTAGTATAAAAACCAACAAACCCTTAATCATTTTTCATCATCATCTTAATCCACATGCATACACATATACATATATAGTCTCTTTTATCTGTATGGCAATTGTATCTTCCACACCAAGCATCATCACCATGAGTAACCAAGTCAACAACAACAATGAAAAAGGTTTAGAAGAAGATGACCATAGAGGCGGCCACGAGAGTCGTGTTCATAATGATGATGAACCTGATGATCATGATCATGACATGGTCATGCCTGGATTCCGATTCCATCCCACCGAAGAAGAACTCATAGAGTTTTATCTTCGCCGTAAAGTCGAAGGCAAACGCTTCAATGTAGAACTCATCACTTTCCTCGATCTTTATCGCTATGATCCTTGGGAACTTCCGGGTAAATATACATTCCACATGTATATATACGCATAAACCATCTCAAACCATTTGGAAATCTTATTACAGAAACACACGATATGTATATATACAAATACTAAGATCTATAGTTACAATTAAGTTTCCTTCTTTCTCTCTCTCTCTCTTTCTAATTCGTTTCTTTAACCTATATATATAACCTTCTTGAAGATTATGCTTATGTGGATCTTCTATATTTCCTAATATCTTTCAACAATTTCGTATACTACTTATTTTTGTGATGGATATGCTTTTATTCATCTAAAAAAAAAAAGTCAAAGATTTATATATTTTCTTAACCCTATAAAACCCTCTTTTTACCTCAATCATTACTACATAAGATATTATATACGTGTGTGTGTGTGTAGTATGTCTATATGAATACAAGTCTTAGATTTTGGGGTTATTTTAAGATAACATATGATATATGTATTTCTTTATATGCAGCGATGGCCGCAATAGGAGAGAAAGAATGGTACTTCTATGTGCCAAGGGATCGAAAGTATAGAAATGGAGATAGACCGAACCGAGTAACGACTTCAGGGTACTGGAAAGCCACCGGAGCTGATCGGATGATCAGATCGGAGACTTCTCGGCCGATCGGATTAAAGAAAACCCTAGTTTTCTACTCCGGTAAAGCCCCTAAAGGCACTCGTACCAGCTGGATCATGAACGAGTATCGTCTCCCTCACCATGAAACCGAGAAATACCAAAAGGTAATAAATCCTCTTTATATATATCCCATACACACATGGACATAACCCTAGCTAGGTTGATGCCTTACAAATTGAAATGAAATCCCTAGATTTGAGTTTGAATTTGATTTATTTTTCATTTTGGAATTGATTCGGTAAGATCCAAAAATGCTTGTGAAGGTACTTTAATTGTATGGCGGCGTTTGCGCTTAAATCCAGAAAATGTTCATGCCATACGCATGAGCTCTTTAAATTACTAGCTATGGCCCATATGTATAGTAGAAGGCATTAATAGATAGCTACATACATATATACGCACACAAGTATCACATTCGATATTCACACATCTTACATGTATAACCTTAGTTTCTGCAGAGCCTTAATTAGTGTTCTTACAGTTCATCACATTGTTCTTGCTCTTTCTCACATTCATGTCTCCTATTTAAGTTGCCCGACACTTTTTAAAAAAATTCCTTTGGCATATATGAATATAACAATATATCTATATAAACTACAAATTAAAACTTCTATATATAAGTTATGAATGATAACGGTATACGGAAAGTAATGTATATACTGGAGTTACTGATAAAGACAATATTATTTTTTGTTTGTTCCGTATATTATCTATTACACTTGTGTAAGATGTATGCATTACTTCTTATTAGATAGCTTAAACACCAAGCTTGACATAAACTTATAAATTTTAAATGTGTATCTTTTAAACATCCAATTTCACTTTAGTGAATTACATATGGTTCAAATGTAGTATAAATAATTTTCCATCAAATATGATTTTTTTTTTAATTTGAATATATGTTAGTCTATATTGAACCTCTCTAATCATGTGTTCGTATGTATATATATATAGGCTGAAATATCATTGTGCCGAGTGTACAAGAGACCAGGAGTAGAAGATCATCCATCTTTACCACGTTCTCTCTCAACAAGACATCATCATCATAACCATAACTCATCATCATCATCATCCCGCTTGGCCTTAAGACAACAACAACACCATTCATCCTCCTCTAATCATTCCGACAACAACCTTAACAAGAACAACAACAATCTCGATAAGCTCTCCGCCGAATATTCCGGAGAAGGAAGCACCACAACCACCACAAACAGTAATTCTGACGTCACCATAGCTTTAGCCAATCAGAACATATACCGTCCAATGCCTTATGGTGCAAGCAACACACCGATAATCTCTACTATTAATCAAGACGATGATGAAACCGCCATTGTCGATGATCTTCAAAGACTCGTTAACTACCAAATTTCCGATGGAGGTAACATCAATCACCAGTACTATCAAATCGCTCAACAGTTTCATAATCAACAACAACAACTAAACGCTAACGCAAACGCGTTGCAATTGGTTGCGGCGGCGACTACAGCAGCGCTAACACCTCAGACGCAAGCGGCGTTAGCGATGAACATGATCCCTGCAGGGACGATTCCAAACAATGCTTTGTGGGATATGTGGACTCCACTAGTACCTGATGGAAACAAAGATCATTATACTAATATTCCTTTTAAGTAATTTAATTAGATCTTGAATATTACCAAACTACTACATTATAATGCTGCTTCGTTATATATATATACACTCGTTATTTATATTCTAAACTAGTTAAGATATAGCCAGACTTTGATTGATAATTGCGATTTATGTAATGGAACTGGTTCTCTACATATATATATAGTCAATTTTTAAGTAATAGGTTTATATCCAATCCAAATCAGTTTATATATGGAACAATTCGCAACACATATAGTACTAATTAAAATCAGATGTTTGACATTAATGTCGTTTACATTAGATCCACGTTGTTAAACCTGATTAGTGCGACTTTGTGGATAAACAAATCTACTAACTCTTAATAATTCAACAACTGATGTCAAAAATATAAACAGACGCTGTCTAGTCTCGTCTCCGCAAGTATAAGACTTAGGGTTTGACCAAAAAAAACCTAGGAAAGTGCAATGTAATAAGACCTTATGCTTTAGAAGACAGAAATATCTTCAACTTTTCCACAAATTTTGAATACTTATCTCGGTTCAAAATCAAAACCTTTTTGTCACAAAAATATATCTAGTAAAATGTCCCATTACTTTATACGAAATGACAAGCATTACAAGCATATTATTAATTTTATTTATATTTCAATGTGCTCTTGTTTGGTTAGCCCTAGTTAAACTATGTCTTATGTTTTTTAATATACATATATTATTGATAAAGTTCTCTTTTTTTTTCTTCTTTCAAATAGTTATGTACGTGTATAATAGTGTTAGCAATCATTAATTATTCTTTCAAATAGTTTTGTGAATTATATTGTTGGCAATCATTTTTTATTATTTAATAGTGTTTTTAACGAAAGAAATATCTAGATCTTTAATTCACAGTCTCTGACTGTAGACTTCTACCCAATCGTGATAATAGTTTTGGCGGAATGACAAACGTTAGTTCATCAAAATGCGGGTCGGTCCCGAACCCTATCCTATAACTAACATTTGAAACAAACTTTTTTTTTTATCCGGTTGAGTTAATTAATTAACCGCGTTAATTTGTATACTTTATTATTTAATCATATGTTTTTTATCAGTTTTTGAATTCATTGAGTATATAGACCACATCATTGATAATATGAGATAAATGTATTAGGGTTGTGTTTGCTAAACGTACTCTCTAGACTCTAATTCTCTAGCTAGTTAACCTACAAACAAATTATAACAAAATCGCTAAACCAAACCGAATCTGTTAAATACTAGTTCTTTATTTGACATGCACATAGAAACCAGTTCGGTTAAATATATGTTTCTTCATCACTTCATGTGACTAGCAGACAAATGTATATATAATATACGTAGAGAGATGATCAAAACTTCAAATCTCATTATTCCCCAAGGTTGCTGCAAAAGCCCATTACCCTTTAATGGGCTGGCTCCATATTTCCATCTCTTCACATTTCAACCATACTTGGGCTGTAATTTGGGTTAAAGGCTACGGCAAATATTGGCTAAGCTCAATTTTTTTGGGTTTGACCACATTTTATATACATACCCTAGGATATAAATCATTGTTTATTTAATTAGATTAATATATTTTAACTTGAATTTGAACCGAATCTAAACTGAAAAACCAAACCGAGCTGAGCTGCCAATAAAAAACTAAAATGAAACGAAACATCAGTCCCTAAATTTTAATCTCTCATTCTACTTCCAAAAACATAATATTGAAACTTGGAAGTTCAATAATAAAATGGAAGAAAAAGCATAATATTCGAGAGTTTTTTTGTCGTCAACTACTTGGGAGTCTATAGATTGGGCCGAGAAATTAATAGTCGTAGGGTGCGTAAGACCGGAATTAATAATTATTATTATTATACTGTTACTTATTCATTATTTTTACATAATAAATACGCATGTTGGCTTTGTTAACATTATATGTATAATGACGTCAGAAAAACAAACATACATAAATAAATAAAAATATTAGTTATATATGTCCCCTAGCCCCAAAATTGTCTTAGATCGGTTCCTTTTTATTCGTTTTAGGGTTTGTAGCTCCTCTCTATTTTTCTTTTCCCAATTTTCCCCAATTAAGAGATTTATACATTTCATCTCCCCAAATCCGAACCCAAAGTGAAGTTTCTTCCTTCTGGGTCCTTCTTGTTTCCTGCTCCTCGATTCCTTAAAAGCATTCGCCCCAGATTTTGATTTTCACCGGAACACTCACCTTCGCCGGCGACTGTGAGGCTAATTCATTCTCCGGCGACATCGTCTGTTGTTAAGACAAATGGAGGGAATCACTCATCCTATACCTCGAACTGTCGAAGAGGTCTTTAGCGACTTCAGAGGTCGACGAGCTGGTCTGATTAAGGCTCTCACAAACGGTGAGTTTGGTTTTTTTTTCTCTCTCTCTCTCTCTATCTCTCTGTCCTTTCTTGCTTTTGTCCGATTCTGGCCTATTTTGTTTCTCCGAGAGTTCCGCACCGGCGAATCAGAAGGTATCCTTCTTGTGTAAAATCGCGGATTTGCTGCATTTTTGGGTTTGCTTATTTCGGGAAAGCCGTATTATTTGTGGGTTTTCTTGTCATGTCGTGAGATTTGACGTTTCTGGGTTTGTATTGATTTTTGGTTTTTCTTTTTTTGTTCATGCAGATATGGTGAAGTTTTACCAGACGTGCGATCCTGGTGAGTTATCTCTCCAAACAGTATTTTAAATTAGAATTGCTTAGCTTTAAATTCAAATCGCCAGGTTTCGTTTCTGGTGTTCTAGTTTCGTCCACTTTCCAGTTTCCGGTTCCTATGTGGAGGTTACTGAGATTGTGTGTTTCTAGTGCGCGATATAGTCTGTTCACTGAACAAAGTTTCTAGATCTTTTTTTGCGAATACAGTTTCAGTTGATTTGATTACAGTGCCCTTTAGTTGTTTCATAGTGACTGTATTTTGGGTTATCTTCTTCCTCGGGTTTGAAGACTTGTTTTTGTTTATTGTAAGTGTTGCGTCTAAGATAGAGTTAGTCCTCTCCTCTGTATGGTTTCTCTTAAAAGGTGTTTCTTTTCTTTATGTTTTGGTACATGCAGAGAAGGAGAACTTGTGCCTCTATGGACTTCCTAACGAGTCATGGGAGGTTAATCTCCCCGTCGAGGAAGTTCCTCCTGAGCTTCCTGAACCAGCTCTAGGCATCAATTTCGCAAGAGACGGGATGCAAGAAAAAGACTGGGTATCTTTGGTCGCTGTCCACAGTGATTCCTGGCTGCTCTCTGTTGCATTTTACTTTGGTGCACGCTTTGGGTTCGGTAAGAATGAGAGGTAATGTTTCCTTCTCAGCTCAGTCTTTTCGAGTGTTATGTCTCAAATATGAATAATCTCGTTGCTCATCTCTTGTGTGGTAACGCTATAATGACCACTCTAGCATCGTCTTTGCTTCATTGAGACACCTGTTTTGATCTCATCGAATGCTTTTTTTTCTGGAAGTAAGTTTTCTAAACAATCTAGTAATCACTTCACTGTAAGCTTATCCGATGAATTGATTTTTTAACAGGAAGAGGCTCTTCCAGATGATAAACGAGCTCCCAACCATTTTCGAGGTTGTGACCGGCATGTCAAAGCAATCCAAGGAACTATCTGCTAACAACAACAGTAGCCGAACCAAACCTAGCGGCGTCAAGGTATCTTCTGTTTTCTAAATTGTATCCCTCTTTCTTTCTCGTTCTTCCTCTCTGCTAAGCTCTTATGTCTTTGTGATTCCTGCCATGCAGTCTCGCCAATCCGAGTCTCTCACAAAGGTTCCGAAGATGCCATCTCCACCGCCGAAAGAGGAAGAAGACGAGAGTGAAGACGAGGAAGACGACGATGAGCAAGGAGCGATTTGCGGCGCTTGTGGAGACAACTACGGTACAGACGAGTTCTGGATTTGCTGCGACGCGTGTGAGAAGTGGTTCCATGGAAAATGTGTGAAGATTACACCTGCGAAAGCAGAACACATCAAGCATTACAAATGCCCAAGTTGCAGTAACAAGAGGGCCAGGCCTTGAAGTTAAATTACAACCAGAAGAAAAAAGAAAAGGTAAAAGAGTTTAGGAGGAAACTGTGAAAGAAGGAGAACATGTTCCCAGTTTATTGAACAAAAAAAGAAATTGCAAGAGAAAAGGTTTTTAGAAGCTGTAAGAAGGTAAGAAAAAAATACTCTTGTTTTTTTTAATTGCTTAGTCTTTATTATGGATTGAGACTATTTACAATTGGTGATGTTTTTCTTTTTCTATTTTGGATTTTTTGTTGTTGTTGTTAATGTCAACGCTACTACTAATTTGCCTGTTGTTGGTTATATGCTTATGTTTATCAGTTTATGTGATTTTACTGGATTTTCAGCTGTCACATAATTTACTTATTGTACGATTTAGTTAAAGTTCAAAAAGCCTGGTGAACTTATTTGTAATTTTATTATTTATTTCATATATCTCTGCAGTCAAATTTTGACCCCAAAAAATTGTTTTTTTTTTTAATGACTTTGCTATTCGGATCAATATTCTTGTCAACAGAATCTTTGGATTTCTCGGACAGAACCAAACTGTTCGCTTAGTCTTCGAAAATTTATAGCGATTTAAGTTGTGATAATTGCTCCTTTCGTTTACTATACTGAATTTTAATAAAAACAGGTCATATTAATAACATTAGCAACAACAATCAGTTGACAGTTTGGCCGAGTGGTCTAAGGCGCCAGATTTAGGCTCTGGTCCGAAAGGGCGTGGGTTCAAATCCCACAGCTGTCATTTCTTTTTGTTTTCATTTCTTAAATACTCACTTAATTTATTTATTTTGTTCCTTTTGCATGATATTTATTAAGGTTTTATTATGAAACAAAACTGATTAAATAGATTGGACCTGTCACCTATCTAATATATGGGCCATGGTGATAGGGGCCTCCCAATATCTAACAAAACAGTTGCATGTGGTTTTTGGTCTTTTGCTTTTTATGCATACTATAAATGCATTATGTAAAGAATCCAACCAATAAAACCATAAGCGTTGTATTAATGCAAATTCAGAAAGAACTCAAATAAGTAGTACACAAATAGGTGTACATCTATTGCGTTGTTGATATATGTTTGGTTTAAACCATTCAGTGCCAAGTCACTGGATAGCTCAATGCTTCAACCTATCCATTCTCTTTTAATGCATAAATCCAAAATTAAGATGTCTTTCAAACTACTAATTTACCAAATTGAATCCATTTGAATCACATTTTTGTTTTTTTAGATGTCGAACCGAAAACATAAGTTAACGTTAATTAAATTTTGTTCCAAGTTTGGTAAATACACGAATCAAACTGTGGGATTTGATACAAATTGTTTGTTTTTTTTTCTTGTTTTGGAATTGTATGCCTATATCTTAAAAAAAATGTTGTATTTGTCTTTTCGTTTGTGGAATGTATATAATTATTTTTGTGGATTAGCAAACGAAATTGTATTGATAACAATCAGACATCTAGCAAATCTCCAAACACATATACTGGTATGATGTTATAAAAAAAAAGTTTGATATTTAAACTGTATTACGGTGCATTACCCTTGTAGGGTTGACAAAAGCAAAGTTGTGTTATAATTAGATTGCATAATTGGGGTTTAAGACATGGTTTGTGAGTTGTGAAATTTTCAATGTGTCCACACGATGTTCCATCTCATCCTTTCTTTTGACTTTGTTACAAGTTTGACCAAATCATTGAAAGTTTGCTCAAGATTAACCTCAGAATTATCGGTTACAGAATATTTGTATATTATTATAGATTTACGTTACAAAAATGTTCCTTAAATAATCTTATTCTTCTCGACGCACGAAGATATCATGAAATATATTCGATGATAATAACAACAACAACTGTAATCAAAAAAATAAAATCAATAATAAATACTAATAATGGCAACAAATAGTCATGTGATGTTATTCATATTCTTCGGCGTATCCAACGGACCAAAACATTAAAAAAAAACAGCCAGACACATGATATTTTAACTGTAAAGACATTTGTCAGTGTCACGGCAAAGAAAGATTTAGGCTCCCATTTGCTCATAAAGCAATTTGGTGAGATACATGACTCTGCACTAACGAGACATATTTATAGAATTTTATTTGTCTATATCGTAACGAAACAAGCGTGAATTGTATCTTCTGGAGGGACTTTGTCATTTGTTGAAAGTCTTTGTTTCACTTTCAATCTCTTTTCTTGTTCATTCATTTACCAAAGATCGGGGAAGGAGACACCAAGGAATTTTATGATCGTATTAAATAGATATGGCATCATGTGTTAGGTATAAAACTGCATTTGTACTTTTCTGATATGATCATCACTCTTGTATTGTATGCAGAACCAAGAGTAACTTGAGCAAATACCAATGGTTGCAATAAACGCGACATATACTTTATATATATGAATATTTGTATGTACAAATAGAAAAGCCAAATCGGTTTTTTTTTTTTTTATCAGAATGTGCTTATATGGGAAACTAAAACTTTAGCTATCTTTTTAAAATGCTCAAGAAAATAAAATGAACGTGTATAAATTGTTAAAGTTCTTGTAAAAACTATGGCATTTTATTATCTTGTTTTGTGTCTCTATTCATCTTGTTTTTAGGAATATTGCAACTCTGAGTTCATATTGGTTTTCATCTACAAAATTATTACTGACACCTTTTTTGTAGGAAAAACAAAATAAAAATTATACAATGAGGAAAACAGATGACAGAAAACACTAGACAGGGCTTTGACGAGACCCGAGCAAAGGTGAATCCACACCTTTTTTTCCTTTGGGAGTTGCAGTTTTTTTCTTCTTACATTTCACTTTTTCTTTCCAAAAACTAACTAAATAAAAATGGACATTTTTAATACAATCAAAACAATTGAAATTTTAAATTTTAAATTGAAAATTATTCTCTATTCTCTCTCTCTCTCTTTCTCTCATGCTCTCTTGCAGTCCGCAGGCAACTACAGTTTCAGAACTCGAGATTCCTCATTTTCTCTTTTGTTCCAGCGCCGGCGATATATACGCTCTAGGAGGTAGCTCCGGTGAACCAACCGTGGAGAAAAAAAACAAGTAGACTATTTTAGTTTCCTCTTTCTATAGTGTTTCGTACTGTTTCTTCGATTCCTGGATCTACTGTTTTTTTTGCTTCTTCTGATTTTTTCTTATTTGGTAACCACTTTGATTGTTTCAATGGTGGTATTCGAATAGCTCTCGCTTGTGTGCTTGAGCATGCGAAACAGTTCTGAAATGCCGCTGAAAACGCGAGGCTGAGAGAGAGAGAGAGAGAGAGAGAGAGAGGAGCTGACTCAAATTGCGGAAATGTCGGGCTCGAGAGTTTCCGATCTGAGCAAATTGCATCTGAAGAGAGAGCTGACTCAAATCAGGAAAGCTGGCCGAGGTTTGCGCGATCCAGGCACCACTTCCTCGTGGAAATCCCCTCTCGATTCCTCGAGATCCGTCGCTGCGGCGGTTGTGGAGCCTCCGGCGAGTAGAAGCGGCGGGGGTTCGAGTCAGAATGGTAACAGCGCTCAGAAATTCCCGATTCGAGGAGAGAGTAGTAATCGGGGGACTGGAAACGGGAAGGAGAAGAAAGTGTTCTTGTACAACTGGAAAACTCAGAAATCTTCCAGCGAGAAAAGTGGATTAGCTAAGAACGGCAAGGAAGAAGATGAATCTTCGTGGACACAAGCCAGTGTCAATGACGACGACGACGACGACGATGATGTGAGTGATGCGAGGAAAGGTGGCGATTCTAAGAGCGATTCATACCTTGGGGAAATCCAATCGGCTTCGATGATTTTCAGGTGCAGAGACACGAATCTAGCGTCTCAGGGTGTGCCAAAGATGAGGAAGAGCAGTGTTGGTAGCAAGAAGAAGAGTAAGAAAAAAAACTCGTCTCGTTTGGATTTTCTATCAAAGTATCAACCCAGAGAAGAAATCGTCTCTAGAAAATCTGTAAAATGTAATGCTGCATCAGCTTTAGCTGTAAGGAGAAGTGACTCTGCTGGATTATCAGATGATAGCAATTCAGAAGATCTAAGAAAGGTCACTGGTGCGTCTCCTCTGCTTTTGAAGCTGAAGCGCAAGAACTGGTCACGTTCTTCCTCCAAGTTGTTGAGAAACACTAGAAAAGAGGATTCTTCATGTACTTATAATAGCACGCCGGCTTTGTCGACTAGCTCATACAACAACATGTACGCTGTTCGTAACCCAAGCACCGTTGGATCTTGGGATGGTACCACGACTTCGCTGAATGACGGTGACGACGAGTTGGATGATAACTTGGATTTACCAGGGAGGCAGGGCTGTGGCATTCCATGTTACTGGACGAAGAAGGCGATGAAACACAGAGGTGGGTGCAGAAGCTGCTGCTCTCCGTCGTTGTCTGATACGTTGAGAAGAACAGGAAGCAGCATCTTATGCGGGAGCCAATCGGTGTATCGTGGACGTAACAGACATTCTTCCGGAGGATACAGTAAACAGAAAATCGCGTCGAGAAGCGCACAGGGTGTTTTACCTTTGCTCACATACGGTGGTGATGGTAGAGGAGGGTCTTCTATAGGAACCGGGCTTAGTGACGACGAGCTTTCGACCAACTACGGAGAGCTTGATTTAGAGGCTCAGAGTAGATTAGACGGGAGGAGGTGGTCTACTAGTTACAGGAGTCAAGATGGTTTGGAGGCTGTAGCATTAGATGGCGAAGGAGAAGAAGGAAGCACACCAGAAAACATCAGAGGCTTCAGCCAAAAGTACAGACCACTGTTCTTTGATGAGTTGATTGGGCAGAGTATAGTGGTTCAGTCGCTGATTAACGCTGTGAAAAGGAGTAGGATCGCTCATGTTTATCTTTTCCAGGGTCCTAGAGGAACAGGGAAGACATCGACGGCGAGAATTTTTTCAGCCGCCCTGAATTGTGTGGCCACTGAAGAGATGAAGCCTTGTGGGTACTGTAAAGAGTGCGATGACTTCATGTCTGGGAAAAGTAGAGATTTTTGGGAACTTGATGGAGCTAATAAGAAGGGAGTTGACAAAGCTAGGTACCTTTTGAAAAACTTACCGGCGATACTTCCACGGAGTTCCTCAACATACAAGGTTTTTGTGATTGATGAGTGTCATCTGTTGCCGTCTAAGACGTGGCTGTCTTTTCTCAAGTTTCTTGAGAACCCTCTGCAGAAAGTTGTCTTCATATTTATAACGACAGACCTTGACAACGTTCCTCGGACCATTCAGTCGAGGTGCCAGAAGTTCCTCTTCGACAAGCTCAAAGATGCTGACATTGTAGCGAGACTAAAGAAAATTGCTTCAGACGAAAATCTTGAAGTAGAATCGCATGCGTTGGACCTGATTGCTATGAACGCTGATGGTTCACTTCGAGATGCTGAAACTATGTTGGAGCAGCTGAGTTTGCTGGGAAAACGCATCACCGCTGCTCTAGTAAACGAGCTAGTAAGTTTTTTTTTTTCTTTCTAATTCTTCTATGTTTCTGTGCAATGAAAAAAAGTAAAACCTATTAATGTAAAAAATGTGGCGCTGGTGTTTTTGTGCAGGTGGGTGTTGTTTCAGATGAAAAATTGCTGGAACTTTTGGAACTAGCATTGTCATCTGATACAGCAGAGACAGTGAAGCGAGCTAGAGAGTTATTGGACCTTGGAGCTGACCCAATAGTCTTGATGTCTCAACTTGCTAGTCTTATCATGGATATCATCGCTGGTACATACAAAGTTGTAGACGAAAAATACAGCGAAGCCTTCCTTGATGGACGAAATCGTGAGTTCCCCAGCAAAGTATTTGAAATCCCTAGTGGTCATAAGTGCTAAAATTTAGCGTATTGATACGTTATGTTCTGTTAGCTTGTTGAGACAGACCATCGCCCATTCCATTTTTTAACTCAATCAACAACATACGTTATTGCTTCGTTTTTGTAGTGACTGAAGCGGATATGGAGGGACTAAAGCACGCTTTGAAACTTCTTTCTGAGGCTGAGAAGCAGCTTAGAGTTTCTAATGACCGTTCAACATGGTTCACAGCGACTTTGCTTCAGCTTGGGTCGATGCCTTCTCCTGGAACCACACATACAGGAAGTAGCAGTAGAAGGCAAAGCTCTAGAGCAACTGACGATGACCCGTCAAGCATTTCGCGGGAAGTGATGGCTTACAAACAGAGGAAAGGAGGACTTCACTTTAGCAAGTCAGCATCCCCAACTTCGATTAGAAAAAGAAGCGGAAGTCACTCCCGTGAAGCGAAATCGTTCTCCAGGGTTATCGATAATAGCTGCTATAAATCCTCCTCCTCATCTAGCCAAGTTCAAGAGAGCGAAGCTTCAATCGCCTCACATGACAACAGCACCGCAAGCACCATGATGCTTACTCAAAAAAGCTCGGAGAAACTAAACGATTTATGGAGAAAATGTATAGAAAGATGCCATTCCAAAACGTTGAGGCAGCTGCTCTATGCTCATGGGAAACTTATATCTATCAGTGAAGTTGAAGGTGAAAAAAATCCTCAAAACTTTCTTTTCAATTCTCACTTTTCGTTTCTCCTTCAAATGTTGTGCGTTCTTAAAAAAGGATGAAAATATGATTTGCAGGTATTCTAGTAGCTTATATTGCCTTTGGAGAAACCGATATCAAATTAAGAGCTGAAAGGTTTCTAAGCAGTATCACAAACTCGATCGAGATGGTACTAAGGCGAAGCGTAGAGGTCAGGATAATCCTCTTGCCTGAAACAGAGTCACTCGTAGTTCCTCACCAAACCCGAAAACAAGAAATGACCAACAAAGGTGGAGATGTAAATGCCATCAATGGTTTAAATGCTGCATCAGACGTGGAAATCGGTAGCAGCGAAGGAAGCAGATCAAAAATCCCGATGCAGAGGATAGAATCGATCATCCGAGAACAGAGATTAGAAACCGCGTGGTTACAAACCGCTGATAAAGACACACCTGGATCGGTTATACGGATAAAACCCGAAAGGAATCAGATTCTACCTCAAGAAGACACTTATCGCCAACCTAACGTAGGTTCTGGTATTTCTTCTTCTGGACTAACATCTCACCATTGGGTAGATGAGTTAAACAATGACGTTAAGCTTTTGAAAATCGGCGAAAATGGTGAGCTTCAAGAGAATCTAATGGGTAAAAGAGGAATGCATTGTCCTCTTTCCCCGAGCTTACTTCATGATTCTAACTTCGGACACAACAAAGACAATCTGTAAGTTCCTCATGATCCTTTTTGATTCATGCCGCAACTAAAACCCGAGTGAGATTTTGATAAACATATCGTTATGATGATTTATTGAACAGTTTGGCTTTGGTTGTGTAGAGGAGGGTACGAATCAGGATCAGGAAGAGTTGGTTGTAATATGTTATTTTGTTGGAACACACATAAGACTCAAAGAAGAAGCAAGGTATGTGCTAATTAATCGAAACTTGTTCCTTCTTTTTTCTTATATTTTGATTCAGTTTGTTTTTCTCATTTTTTTTTCTGTTGCGGATATGATTAGTCGAAACAGGGTAAGGGAACTCCTGTTCGGTCTCAGAGAAGTCGAAAGAGACGATTCTCGCTGTTTAATGGATGTGCTAAGCCGAGGAAAACAGAAGGTAACTTTAGAAGATGAAGCTTTAGTTTCTAAGTCATGTATACAAAATTGTTCCCTCAAGCTCTAATTTCTCTCATCGGTTCTTCTTCCACTTCCACATATTTTTTCTTTAAACATATTTGTTAATTGATCTGTCAAAGGATAGCTTTAATTTATTCACTGTAAAGTTCCCCTATGAGTTTAAAGACTCCAGTTTTGTTTTCTTTTTACAAAACTTTAAAAATTGTTACTACCAAATAAAAAAGAGCAAAGAATTGTTTAATCTTAATCCCACCTTTTTGTCCTCCGGTTTTCGGCGGATGCTAACAATAAACTCATACGTTATTTTCAATACATGACAATATATAGCATATTTGTATCATTGGGACTTGGGAGTTTTATCATAAACTATGATAACAATTTTTTCTTCTCATTGATCATAAAATACAACTGTTCATATTTTGGCTGAAAGAGCCGAATCATAACCGAGTCATACAAAAATTGGCTCCATTATCACCAAAAAAAAGGTTCCATTTCGCTAAAAGAGTACGAACATTGAGAATTTCAATCCCCAATCGACCCAAAAAATCAAAGTACCAAGCCGTATACTTCATCCTACACACATATAGAGAGCTTTATGAACATTTTCATGTAATAAAGTTACTTTTTATATATATAAAAAAAACTTATAATGGAATATATACCTCATGAGTCCATGCTCAAGATTCTCTCAGCGAGCAGTAAATCATCAGGTGTTGTAACCTACAACAGAAAAGACAGCTTTAGCAATCAGAAGATCCAACTGTTCTCATTCTATCAAAAGCTAAAATTAGTGTTTGTTTACCTTGATGTTTGTATAAGATCCTTGAGTGACGTAAACCGGATGCTTGAGGTACTCAACTATTGAAACATCATCTGTTACCTCCAGTCCTTCTCTGTTTCACATATATACACACAAACAATACTCAGTCTTCTTCCATTTCAATCACGACCACATCATTTTTGTTTACAAGGTTTACAAACCTTTTCACAAGCTCGAAACCTCTCTTCAACAGCTCGGGTTTGATCACCTAAAGCGAAAGCCATAAATTCAAATGGTTTGAAACAACAACAACAAAAAAAACAATCAAAACATTTGTATATCATATGAAGCATGAAAATGAAAGAAACCTGTGGTGTCTGCATTTCCCAAAGGGTTTTCCTGTCGAGAGTTTTCACCACGAGCGAATCAGAATTGACCTGCATTTCGCAATGTAACAAGTATATTACCCTGAGACAATGAGCCAAAACAGAAAAAACTTAACTTTTAGGTTTGTCAAATGTTTTGAAGAATTTGATACCTCTTTGATTGTAGCCTTAGCAGGAACACCAAGTACCGCTGCTCCAACCGCCAAACCATCTTTAAAGACCTTAAAGAATCAAAACCATGACAAGAAATTCTTAATGAAAATTTTGCTTCTTTGTCCCAAATATTTTGTTACTTCGGATAAGATAATCGGTAACTATGAAATATACCTTCTCGACATCTTCAGTTTCCACCAACGGTCTGGCAGAGTCGTGGATGCAAACAAGCTCAGAGTTCACATCGATTTCCTGTGGAAAACAAACTTTAAGCTTAATATGAACAATCAATTTTCGAATAATTTACTCTGCCTCGGGAAAGAAAAAGGTTATAAACCTGAAGTCCACTGTGAACAGAATCTTGCCTTTCTTTGCCAGGAAGAGCGAATTTGAGATCAGCATCAATCGAGTCTTCATATTCTATAAGACCACAAGAAAAATAAGCTCAGTGAAACCTTTCAGAGATCTCTCAACCAGAGCCATAACTAGTAAAAGAGAGATAGACTAAACCTTCAAAAATATCTCGGAAAAATGGATCACAAACAACTACGATTTCCTTCACTTCAGGCATACGTGAAAACGTGAAAAAGCTGAAAACAATTAGACATAGTCAAATCAACAAATACGAAGCAGAAGTACATCTCTTTACACGAAATATAAGCAATGTTAAGAGTGTCCTTAATTCCAAGACGGCTCATTACAGCTACACAGACTCGACCAAAATAGAACACTTTACAAAAATTCTGACTCTAAGTTAGAATTGGTTACCTATACAAAGCAATTGGCTGACCCAGGAGTGGTATATACTGTTTTGGCATGCTCATCTATTCGCATTAACATACCATAAACCAAAAAAAAATGGTGGCAAATGAGATTCCATGGAAAAGCCAACAACTCAACAGAGCAAACAATTAAAGTTCAGCATAAAGTTTGAAACTTTGAGACTCATTAATCTCTTAAACTTACTTTCATTCTCTTCCCTTGACCTCCAGCTAAGAGAATCACCGAGACGCTTTTCTCCTTCACAACAGTATTGCTCTGAATAACAAAAAGCAACCGACACAAATTCAAATTAACCTTCAGGAGAAGAACAAAGCTTCAAAATTGAGTTGACTCCAATTTTTGAACTTACATTATCAAATCCATCAGAGGAAGAACACTTGATTGGGAATAACATAGCATCTCTTTTGTAGCTTCTACTTACCCTTTTCGAAAAATGCAGTTTTGGAACTGATACAACATTCGAAACAATCAAAATCATCTCCCCGAAAGAGAGGTTTATTCGTATTGAAAACAAAACAAAAGTGTATAAGAAGAGATTGCCTGAGGAACGATAGCTGAAGCCCAGAGTAAGTGAAGTCGATTTGACTGAGAGGTTCGGACACAAAGAAGAAGAAGGAAACGGAAATGTCGGAGATTTAACGAAGCCAATATTCGCCTGAAGCATCGCCATTTTCTCTTTTATCTCGCCGGAGATAATAATAAATTAACGAGAGATGATAATATTCAGTTCACCGGCGAAACATATACAGAGAGCTAACTAAAACATTAGGCCCAATAGGTCCATTACCTTATGATTGATACTAATGGGCTTTAAATAAGGCCCATTATTTAATTCAACAAAACAGCTCATCGAAGCTAAAAAAAGCTCGCCGATATCGACAAGCGAAAGAACGTAAGATCGACGAACAACCGGAGAAAATGGCGAAACCGTTGGGTCCTACCGGAGAGTTTTTCCGACGAAGAGATGAGTGGAGGAAGCATCCGATGCTTTCGAATCAAATGAGACACGCGCTGCCTGGTCTCGGAATCGGTGTTGGCGCCTTCTGCGTTTACCTCATCGGTGAGCAGATCTATAGCAAACTCATGGTTCCTTCTCAATCATCGCACCAGAAACAACCCGCTCCGTCTCACTGAAGGCGATAAGGTAATTTTCCGATCTCCTCGAATTTTCTAATTTCATCGAAAGGCTCGTTTTCTATGTTTGATCTCTAATCGATTTGTTGAGTTCTCTCTGAAATTCTTAGTGTTACTCTGTTCTGTTTTGCCGAATTTTAATTACTGAAAGATTTAGAGCAAAGAAATTTCGATTAGGCAAAAGCAAACCTTAGACGATGTTATGTTTAACAATTTTGTCGATTTCTCCCAGGATAGAGATCTCTATAGCAACTTTTGTGTGTGTCATTTATTATTTAAATGGCAAATGGTTATGGCTTTCAGAATTCTGAACTAAGTGTGGTGCTTAAATCGACTACATGATTTCTCCAATTTCAGTACCTTCTTCCAGTAATTCTCTTTATTGGAAATTGCTAATTTGTTCTTGGCTAGAGTATGTATAAGCTAGAAAATTTAAGTCCAATACAAATGGTTATGGCTTTTAGAATCTTTAACTAAGTTTTGAGTATATAATTCGATCACATGTTAAAAAAAAAAAAAACTCCAAAGTTGACAGCTTTATTGTCAGTTATTGGCAGTTGCTAAATTGTTCATGATCATGAGGTAGATTGATTTTTTTTAAGCATCATATAACTCCTTCATGGCATTAGTTTTCGCTAGTATAAGCAAAAATTTTGCTGCAAAACAGAATAAACACTAAGAGATTAATACAAATAGCTAAGTATCTGTTTCAATTGCTGTACGTAGCTTTTTCTTCTTCGGGTGTCTGTGTTTGTTTTTAAGCCATTCATTTGTCTCTTCGCTTTATACTAATGATCTGAAAGATAAGTGTCATTCCAATTTCCATCTCATCTTCTGTGAGACCTTTTCCTTTGAGTGTAGTTGTTAATCTTTGAAAAGATTGTAAACTAAAAGAGATTATTAATCTTGTTGCAGATTGTTTCGATGATGAAACCGTGGCAGATAAAGAGCTGAGGGATTCACAATTTGCCGTTTTTCTTGATTGTCTCAATAAGATGTTGATGAAAAGACAAAGACTTTGTTCTCTTTGTTGAATATTAAAAACGTGTATGACAGTTTGCAATATTGTTATGTGTTGTCTTTGTTTTAAGAAGAGAGCTCTTCTAAAATGACACTAAGTCTTCCCTTGATCAAACTACGTCGTTTCATTCGAAGCTATTGTTTCTGAATATAGGCCCACAATAAACAAGACCGTCCACAATTTTTGGGCCCAAGTAGTTTTATATTTAAAAAAAAAATAATGTTCGCGAAAATTACTTGGAGGTGATACTTTTTTTAAGTTAATTTATTTCAAAAAGTATATTATATGCATGGCTTTAGATTAACCAAAATTTATTTCTGTCAAAATTCACATGTAAACTGAGTGATGGATATTTGGATGGATCGTTGCCGTATAATTGAAGATACAACAATTTAAAATGAATTATGTTGGCTCCTAAAGTAGGAATATTTTGTTGCCGACATATTTTGGCTATGTTATAAATATGTAAGAAAGTACGGTTTGTGTATTTTCTTACACGCTACGTCCATTCATCCACTGCTATATTATTATTTTTCCTTTCCTCTGCCATATTATTGTACTTGATAATATATATATATATATATATATTTTACATATAATTCTCTATATAAAAATGAGAGGGAAAATAAATTTGCTGACAGTAAATTAACTGCACGTAAAAATCCATTACTGTGTCTGAGAGAAATTCCAGCAGTCGTGCATTTCCTTGGTGGTAAAATTTTCCGTTGTTTCGAGATTAATCTGAGACCGAAACATTTTAATAAGGAAAAAAAATCACTGAACATTTTGTCTTCTATGAATAACTGAGAATGTTGCGTACTTTGACACTGAAGCAAACTAAATTTAATGGCAATCCAAGAGTTGATTTTTGTAGGTTTCTGAAGTTTATATGATTTTGATATTTGTAATATGTGTGTATATTATGTGTGTGAACAGATACTGACGTTATTTATCTGCTAGCTATAATCTGCGAGTGTATGTTCTTTTTATTTTGATAAATCATCCTTTTTTAATGGATCGGAGAGTCGAATTCGGATAATATATGTGTTCTTTACGTCATCAAAGAACCAACACTTCCTTTGATATATTTTTTTTTAAAGTCATCTTATTTACAAATTTTGGGAAACTAAAGAATCATTTTAAAAAAAAACAATAGCGAAACATGCATGGAATAACAACGATGATATTTTATCTCTCATAAATAAAATTAACTTTAAAGGACATTAATGGACAAGAGCTTAAGCATGCGCCCTTTAGCTTTTATCGTTCATGGGATCACTAAAAGGCAAAACGTTCCTTTACTTGCATTGCAAATGCAAATTCAAATGCACATTGTTCCCTTTGTTTTCAGTTCTTTATTTGGTAACTATAATCATTCTACTATATTTTAAATTTAATGGCCTCATCCCACTAACAATTATTTTAGATTTAAATTTTGTATGATATACTGTATCTATACACCCACTACAACCACAAACCATATAGCAAAAGTATGATTGGTGTCGAAAAATAATGAGATTCTATACGTTTTTACCGAATCATTTTTGTTAATCGAGTTTTATTTTCATTCAATTTGCAATGTAAGACGTCTGAAAATAAGTTAGCCATTCAAAAAGTCACCATTATGACAACTTTCTCTAATTATTCGTCAAAACTGTATAGTATATGCTATATCCCGGTCCACTTTAGGGCTTATATGTCATCTTAAAGATAGTATCCTGGTGTATCTATCTATAAAGGAGAAATATTTTGATTCTTCATGGAATTTTTGGTTCTTGGATAAAAAGAGATTTGTGCGTTTCCAGTAATTAACACGTTTGAAGTCGCTCTTGTTAATTTTGGTGGATAATTAATGGGAACAGAATAAAGAAGAAGAAACAAAATTTCTTTTTGATTAAGATAACAAAGAAGATATTCCCCAGTAGACATGTATATACAGTGCATATTTGTTAAAAGGATTTGTTTTCAGTTCCAAAGAAGATTATTCTCTAGCAAATGGGTTTATGACTTACGAGCGAATCAATGGTCCCATATTCCTCTGTCGCACCGTTTCTAGTAAAACAGTAATTTATGAGCATTTATGAATTCTACATTTTCTATCTAAGTCGCTAAACTATAATTTTAAATATTTTTATGATCGGCAGTCCGCAAATTAGTGTTATGGACCCATGGTGGTGTGGTGAAAATCAATCTTTATTACCGACAAACATTAACGAAAACCATTGATATTGATATGCCCCCGAAAAGAAAAAAAAACAGAACCATTAAGTTTATTCACTCGGTTGATTGCATATCTTTATACACAAATTGATAAATACATATATATGTGATTTTCTCGAAAAAACATGTGTAATCTAGAATGTTATCGTTTTGTTATCAGCTATATAGTAAAGCATGTAATTTTCTAAAAACTGTTTCCTCTCAGTTAGTTTTGAAAAATAATTTGGTTTATAAATTGTTACTCTTTTCCCTTCTGCATAGATATATGTATGCTATGTAATAATTTATAATAAAATATATTTTATTTTAAATATAGAATCGAATACAAGACAAACTTATTGTAGACTTTATATAAGAAAAAAAAAAGAAAAACAAATATTTTCTATCTTCTTTTCTTCTTCTTTATATCGTTTTTTAAGGACATTTTGGTCCACCTTCTTGAGTCTTCCAGTTGTTATAACAAGGACATTCTTCTTTGTGTCCATACGTTCTCGAAGGTACACACAAACATTTCTTGCAGCATAAGTTACAATACATCAAGCATGCACTCTTGTGAGATGTTGCTGAACATCGAAAATCACATGCTTTCGGACATTCTTTACAAAAATATACAGCATTGTATCATTAAATGAATAAATTAGAAGAGCCACAAATAATATTGTGGTAAATTAAGGAATAAGTCATTTTAAAACATTATTACCTTTAATAGGAACTGAGCCTTCTCCTCCATTCTGCAAAGTTTTGGAGGGCGCATAAGTATGTAACAAAAAAAAATGAAAAAGTGTGCAAAGTATAACTATATTAAATTATATTTATTTTTCATAATTATTTTACACATGCACCTTGTTGATTGCAGGTGCCTCTGCTGGACTTTCTAATTCCTCAGCCTGTAAAAAAATTGGAAAACAATTTTTTTTATATAAAAAATATATTTAATTCACCGATATACAAATTAGAAGAAAGAAAACAACTGTTTTTACTTTTACATTGAAACATTGAGTAGCAAATAAAAAACTGACTACAAAGAAGACCGCGATGAACTTAGCCATTCTGTTTTTTTTTTTTCTTTAACTTCTTTTTCTATTTGTGTTATATTTTTTAGTTGGGCTATTAGCATGTCAATGTTGAATCTATTTATAATCAATACTATTTGCATATTATAGAAGGTACATTATAACTTAGAAGTTCAACGTACTGCAAGTTAATTGTCCAAATATATAAGAGTCAAAGGTTCACAATTATTTAAGATTTTCCTGCTTATAATTATTTTTTGGTCAACAAGAAAATTTTATTTCTTTGATATACATATGTAAAAGACTAACAGTAAATGAAATATCTTATTATATCACATATGGTCGCATTTAATACTAGCATAACTCGTAGTGTAATTAATAATTATAATGCACATCCAGTCAAAAATGTACTTACATGTTAAGGTTTTAAATTTTACTAAGAAATATATCTTTATTGTTATATAAACAAAAACTGATTTGAATTTGTCTCTGTTCAGATATTGCATAAAATATTAGCATATAAAGGCAAAAAATAATTATAATGCACATCCGATTAATTTTCCGTTTTAACATCGCATAAAACATTTGCAGATGGAAGTGACAATATCTATATATATATATATATAGATATATTTTTCGGCAAATGGAAGTGACAATATATATATATATATATATATATATACAATCCTTTTTTACTCTACAAAAAAAAGTATATACAATCCTTTCTTTTGTTCTCTATATTTCTTCATTTGTCAATAATATACGTTATGCTAAATTTAAATTGGAGTAGTAAGTAGTAACAAAGTAACAAAAGCTAGTAAGCTACAAGTCATGTCCCTCCACTTTCCTTTTGATTAAATAAAGTAATTACATTGTTTTTGTTATGTTGACACACATTTCGTACATATTATATAGATTATCAATTACGGCTGTGTATTTCTCTTTGCTCTTCATTCTCCTCATAAATGGTATGAGTTACTTCAAATTAGTAGGGGCCGTAATCCAATGTTTAGTGTCGAACATTGTTATTAGAGTTTGTTATAACGGTTTTCTCATTAGTTAACAGAATGAGTACTTTACAACGTCCCTTGTATATATGGCTAATCAAAATAAAACCTAACCATTGAACTAAACTAAGCTCGTATGATATATATACACATACGTGGCATAGACTGTATAATCTGATAATTATTTGTCTCATTAACGGATATAATGATATATACAATAAGTTTAGGTGGTTTTAATTTATAGGATAATTGAGATCGAAATGGTGTGTTAAAAAAAAAGCAAAAGCACATGCAAAATTTATGAAAAATATGTTAACTACACTAGTTTCTATTCTGTATTATCTTCATCGATTAAATTCTTATGTATACTTGCTACACGATCAATTTTTTTGGTTAAGAAAAAATGTATAATGATGGCCTTTACCTAATACACTACAGTATGTTTTTGCAGAGCTGTACATTGATGATTATGAACAATGGTCGATGCATCAGATTTTGTCATTTATTCATCTCCCCAAAAACACCAGCTGCTTCTTCGCTTGATGACATCATATTTCCTCAGTTTATAAATAATAACTTTAATTCACTATGGGTTCGTTTTTGATTAATTAGATTTCAACAGGTAACACTGCCGGATTTTAGAATTGTACGAAATAGAAAGAAAGCAAAACGGAATGAAGGAATGATTTAAAAAATAAATTATGATTGCTATATGATATGACTTAATTGCTATTAAAATTTCAAAATGATTAAATATAACTACGATTCTACAAAATTGATTGATGGATAAAAACAACTGAATAGCTTCTAATCTTAAGTAATTTTACTATGTTACGTAAAACCATTATAATGTTTATATATATATATATCATGTGTACCTATATGATCTGCCATGCATGTCATATATACCCATGATACAATATTCGGCCATATTATAAAATATGATTCATTGATCTTTGAGAATGCATGAACAATAACTCAACGATCATTAGAAGGTATATAATCACATGCTTTTAACTTATAAAAAAATGCAAATGTTTGTTATCATATTTTCCTCGTAATAAACGGAAATTAGTTATTTAACTTCTTTCTTTCAGGAAAAATTAGTCACAAAAAACACCACGTTGGTGTCAAGAACTGAGCGTCGTTTATTTATTTTGGCTAACAGAAAATAATTGGAATCTTAAAGTTGAGAAAATTATGTTTTAAAGATTAATAAAAGAAAGTCGGCATCGTAAATAAAGAGTTTGTAATTTATCAAAGTGGTCACTTCACATTTCGTATCTCCCGTTTCCTTGTTTAGTTTGGTTGATTGTTAAAGTAACGTAAAGGTACACCGTACACATGTCATTCTAATCTTACCACACATTATACAATCGAATTATCCCACACAGACATTCATTGTAAAAGAAAAGAAACTTTTTTTTTTTTTTTTTTTTGGGGCAAAAATAAAAAAAGAAAAGAAACTATACTATATAATATATAAAGCGAAAATCATATAAATGAATCTTAGAAGAAAATATCAAATTATCGAGCATCACCTCGGTCTTTCCCCTTTATCCTATTTATCTTCTTACATTTTTGAATTAAAACAAATATACTTATATCCCTTATACATAAAGGATGTTTTTGAGTAAATACGAAAGGCACGACCATCTTGAAAATTGTGATCCAATTTTTGGACCATTCAAACCTAACGTCATTTATTCTTGTGGTCCCTTTGTATTTTATTTTTTTCTTACCTCGAATCAAAGTCACTTAACGTGTGGATGAACACATAGTATGGACGATAGAACAATATAATTATACATATATTTTTAATATAATTTACCATGATTTTGATGATATTTTTTACATAAGGTACAGAGTTAAAATAAAGGAGTTTCGAAAAAGCTGCTTGCAGTGGAGGGAATTTTAACAGACAACAAACAGAAACAAGATGGCAACAATAAAAGAAGAAGAAGATAAAAAGTATCTCAATTTCATGTTTGTTCCATAGCACAAAAGCCCACAGGGGATGATAAAAGAACAAAGTGATCTGCATGCACCAATTTCTTAAGACTTGTATGGTCACCAGCTTAAAACAAATTAGTTTTATGGAAACATAATAATTATATCTAAAAAAATATCTGAAAAAAAATATTCATTAAGAAGCAATGACAATAGTATTATTTTCTTTTTTAAAGTAAAATCATTTTATCGATCCATAACGATTGACTATGTCTAAAAACATAAAAAGATCTTTATAGCATAATACTCATTAAGAAGCAGAGAGTAATTTATCGTTGTAAAGTCTCTGTGTTTTGGCATTATAATTTGGGATATTAAAGAACTGTAAAAAAATAATTAAAGCGGGTTTTGCATGATTAAAGCGGGTTTCTTTAGAGATTAGTGTTTTGCTAAATGGCCAAGAACAGTAAGTCTGGAATGTTAAGCAAGAACTTCCATTTACCAAGACTTTACTATTCTTAGGCCAAATATTACAATTCTCTTTATACCCTTTGTATTTTCTCTTTAGAAGACATCACTCACCTTGCATGCCCAAGTATTTACATATCCTTGCCACCAACTGACATTTATGAAGGTATTATTGGAAATACGATTAACTTGTAATTGTAAATACACATTTTTTAATCATTTTCATTATTATAAAAACAAAACATATTACAACAGCAAATTATTATTCATAGATCATACATATAGTCATAACAAAGGTCTCTAATTAGCTGTACACTGAAAACGTGATTTGGGCAAACGGCTTAATCTGCAGCATAGTAAAATTATATCTTTTGATTTCCACAATTCTCGGACTTAGTAGAAATAGAAACATTATTTGATGGAAGCATATAAACCAAAGAGAATTTCACATTTTCGACTTATATATATTTATGAATACATTTTACAGGATAGCAAAATTACATGGTACGATTTTCTTTTCCATTAATTGTTTTATTTGTTTCTATACAGTTTTATGTTCTAGAAAAGGAGAAAATCATAGTATACGAGAGCACATATTTTGTAGGACCATAATTAATACTAGTAACTTCAAGTGAATAATATAAATTCACATGCATGACATGACAACCTCTAGAAGCTAATATCAGGCGTGACGTATTTAATGCTGAGAGATAATTATACGATGTGATTTTGAGTAAAGGAACGATATGTGGTTTTCACTTTTTACTAGCTTAACAAATTTAGCCATTCGTTTTTATGTTATGTTTTGTCAAGTTATAATTAATGCCATAAATTAGCTAAAAAGTGCATTTGTCAAGCGACTTCTTGGTGATTAAATGTGTATTAGAAACTAATTTCTACATGTTTGTTTTTGGCAAAGTGGAGAATATGAAATAGAAATATTTATTCCATTTTATTATTTTCTGTCAACAGCTTAAACTAATTTTTTTGTCTAGCACATGCTTAATTTTTACATGTTTGAAAACAGAAGGTTTAACGCCATTGTAACAAGCTTTTCACCATTTCAACATCAAAACGATGATGAAATTTTCATTTTTTTCCATTACACGTTGTAGCTAGTATTTGTTTTGATACCAATATTTCTAGTATCTAATTTAAAACCAATAATATAGTATGGGATATTGTAATTTATTATATGACTTTCTGCTAGTCTATCTGCTTCAATACTCTTCCCACTAATTACCTGACACGTTTCTACACTGTTGTAAATTTGATGTCTGATAGTGCAAGCCAAGCAATCTCCCATAATCTTTAATTCTCAATATTTTCCTCCCCTCTCTTGATAATTTTTCTTTGGGAGAATTTGAATATTTTCTAATAAGCATAACAGTATATATATTTATTAATTCTTGTATTAAGTATTAACTATTAACATAGGCGATTGCTATATTTTCATATTGTAATACGACGTTCACCTGTGAAATGCGAAAACAAACGAAACAAAAGACAAATTTTACACTGTTAGTACTATTAATTAATGATACACATTCATTTTTGTTTCTCAAGATCCCTTTAATTAAATGAAAACCAGGTCAAACTGATGTAATTAATTAATGATGTGTTTTTCTCTTTGTCTGTAGAAAAAGAGAGGAAATAATTAGCTGTGGCTTTCATTTCTCTCTCTCTCTCTCTATCTCTCGCTTTTCTAGGCTTCAGGCTTTCACTACTAATACTCTAAAGCCATTAGTTTAAGCAGTGCCTTCACATCCAAAACCCACCTGCAATTCTCTATATCTGCCTTTTTATCTTCTCTCTT